ATAATGGGAAATGGAGAAAAGTAAATTCCCATACACTTTCTTTTCACGTCGCAGTGGCGTCAAAAAATAGAAATCCCTACATATTACATGGTAGTACATGGTAGTACATGGTAGTACATGATACGATATGATATAATGTAATATAAAATTTCAAAAATACATTCCCCCCACCAACAGAGGTGGTGCACATAGACACCGACACCACTTTTTGCGGAGTCGCTGCAGGCTGCAGGTACTTACTTTTCAGCAAACAACAAGTTTGGGGTTTAAAATCCGGGGTTGGAGATAAAGAAATCGAGATAAAAAGGAAATATGGTAAGACTTACGAAACTTACAGGTACGCAACACTTTTACAATGTCAATTACATCAGTATCATGACATGACATAACATGACATGATAATGATGATGATGAAATTGTAAACTTCTGTAAGTTCCAATACTACCCTACGGTACATGTACCGTCTCCGCGTGCCCCAATCGGCGAACTGTTGCATATGAAAGTGAAATGTTGCATAGGAAGTACAGAGTACAGAGTGGGTTATGCGTGCCAATTGCGGGGATGATGCGAGGCGTGTTGTTGGTTTTTTATATGTACGGAGTATGATGTTGCGGGGTAAGTGTATGCATGCATGCGTGCAATTTAGGCGGGTTTTTGGGAGTGGAGGTGTGTAGGTAGGTGTGTAGGGAAGGGGTGGGGGGAGGGGGGCGTTTGGGAGGTTTCTTTTTGTGTGTTTTGTGTTTTATGGGTTATGTGGATGGATGGATGAATGGGGAATGATTGGCGTTGCGGGACTGGGGAATTGTAGATGGATCATCAGATCACCAGATTCATCGGTTAATATAGTTAGTATTCGAGTGTTCCTATAATAGAATTTTCTTGTTTATTTATCTTTTTAACTTTTAAACTTTTTTAAAAAGAAATAATTGTTTATTTTTGTAGAGAGGGGTGGTGGAATATTATAAAGTATTTTATATTATATATATTTAATTTCTTAAATTTGAATTTATGTATATTAAATTATAATTTTATTTATTTATTTTTTATTCTTTATATTTATTATATAATAAATAATAAAACAAAACATAGTTTCATTTATTTTAAAACAAAAATAAAGATATAATTTATATATTTATATATTTATTATATGTATAATATAAGTATATATAATTTTATTCAAGTAGAATAAATATATATCTAGATTTCTATATCATTTTCACAGTATAAGATAATGATATTGTATCTTAAGATGTTGAATTGTAGATACAGTAGATAGTGAAATGAGATGGTGAGGTGGTGAGGTGGTGCCTGGTGGTTTGTTTTTGTTTGGTTTGATTTGTGTATTGATTGTTCGAGTTGGGATTTGAGGTTTGATATTTGGGATTTGGTATTGGGATTTGATATCTAGTACCTGATACCAAAGGAGAATTTGGTTTGGATTTGGATTTGGAAATCAGGATCGCCTGTGTAGAAACCTGAGGAGATACTAATCTTAGGCTGGAGGGAAGGTTGATTTTGTGTTAAGATGAGGGTGAATGTGTGGATGGATATGTGGATGGATACATGGATGGGTATATGATCCAGTAGCACAAGTGTGCGATGAAATGCTTCCTTTTATAAGGAAGAGATAAGATGCAATAGATTCTGGTTTTAGAATTGGGAGAACTGCTAGGAGAAGTGGTGATTATGTTCGTGAAGACTTTTCCGGTTGGGTACGGAATTTGTATGGGTGGTATGATATGTTATGGTTGACTGGATGTCGGTTTGGCTATATCCGTCTTGTTATACTTTTATTTGGGATACTTGCTGATTGGTGTCCTGTGTGGGATGTAGCTTACCGCGTAGTTCTATTCCACAGCGGGAAGGGGGTTTTGGAGAGGTTGTGTCTTGAGTGAAATGGTAGTGGGATAGAAGTAGTGGCGATGTGGATAAGAGATGTGGGAGATGAGGGACTGAGGATGAGAGGACATAAACGCAGATGAAAATCGAGGACCTTTGTGTTAGTATATATGCATGGGGAGAACATGTAGAGGTATTTAGGTACGGTCTTTTTTGAAGCAGGGTTTCTTCATGATCCTGAATCATTGTACTGTCTGCGTGTTGATGTGCAGCGAGAGCGGAGTTGTTCTTTGAAAATTTGCAGAATCTTTATACCCACTCCAGCTGTGAATAATGACTGCCATTTTCTGGTTGTGTGATAGGTGCTATGTTGTCTTTCTTTAATTTCTGCCATCACTTTTTTATTATGCTCCCCTATTCCCATTGTCACAAATCGAAGTTTTATTAGCATACGTCTTACCAATCCTTATAATCATATATTTTCAAGCAAGTATATCGTTATAAAGTCTGAAGATTACTTTCTCTACCGATCTTCTATTTATAGCTTATTAAATCGGATAGTTCATGAAGTTTTGCGTTCTAGGATCGATTCCGCCGTGCAGTTATGATTCACCCGCGCCCATCAAAGAAGGTATTCCTTGTGGCTTATTGTCTTGGGTTGCCAAAGCCAGTAAACGCTAGCTTATATAGTGTCAATAGAAGTTAATCTCGGGTATAGTTTCGAGTTTATGTAATTCTTCTAATCTTCTAGTATCTAAAGTTCGAGTATCTGAATGTACACACTCTCTCAGTCTTTATATCTGTCATTTTTTTTAAAATTAACCCACTCATCTCTACTCTAGATACTCCTTGTGCTCAATTTTCAAATAAGTCTCAGTACATTCAACACCGCAGGACTTATTAGATTCACAGACTCAACTAAATTTGTGAAAATGAACATTGAAGTGTGATAAAGAGCCAACACCTAAAATTATTTCCGCAACGAACTTTTCCAGGATAACTGAACAGCTCATGCTGTCTGTGTGGGGCGTTACAACCTTCCTCGATTCCAATATTTAGAATCATTTGAAGTGTTTTATATTGTCAGCCGTAGAACTGAAACAGATGAAAATTGATGCTATCCACGACATCATCACTAGACTCTATAAAGGGAGTTGCAAATTGCCATTGCAGAGGTGAGTTTATTTCAGCCAATTATCTCAATCTACTAAGCAATATTCCTTTTCAACCTACAATGAGACATTGACTATACCGATATCAGTTGAAAAGCCGATGAAGAACTTGGACCCAGAGCCTCGGCGGCGAAGCCAAAGTCACCCGTTGGAAGCGCCAAAACATATCCCACTCAACTGATTTTATCCCATTCAATCAAACCTCCCTGTTGCACATCACTAGTATGCGGCAGTGAATGCGGAGACTAGCAATACCAGCAATACCGAAGCTAGAAGCACGGAAATCCTCAGATATGCAATCAGAATAACGAACCGGAGTTACTTATAAGTACCGAAACTATCTGATGTGCAACATTATTGCTATCTAGAGCTAACAATGCCCAACTAAAAGTACTAAAAGTTTTAGATATGCGAAAAATATTAAAGTGAAGCTGGCAATATCTATGCTGAAAGGTTTACTAAGATCCGCAAACATGTAGGTAGATATACAACGTTATGAGAAACCATCAGCTAGAAACATCAAAGCTCAAAGGAATACCGCATATTAAATAAGTAATATGGCGAAACTAGTCATATTTAATGTTAAACAATTATCAAGATACATAATACGACTTTTCCTTTTGGATGGATTCAATACCCCGTTCTAGCTAGTCAGCCTTCCCATAGGATTTAAAAGGATAGACGATGGTACCTCTGAGAGGATTCATTTATCTCCTTCTGAAAACTTGTTATGACGTGAGCTGTAAACCTGAAAATGTAGATTTACAATATAAATCTTCTGAGGATAAAATTCTCAGTGGAAAACTTGTAGAGATGGACTGAAACTGGTTGAGCTGTCAAGCGAAATTAGGTGAAATCCTAATGTTAACCAAATCGTTCTCAAATATTATTCGTTTTTGAATTCCTCACTTATGAAGCTAAACATGTTTGAAGGGAAAGAAATTTTTGTCATCCATAAACCAAGTATGAGAAGTTTTTTGTGGAGGTCAGCTACGTCCTCTACAGGAAACTCAACTCTTCGCACAATTGTGTGGAAATCTCTGGGAAAGCTTAACTCCTTGATTCCTATAATAGAGCTGGAATAAAAAACAAAAGCTTAGGAGCCCCTAAGATCCATAACTAGGAGGTACTTCTATTTATCCAGAATATCTCAATTACAAATCACTATAAATGACGCTAGAAGGAACTGCAGCAAGACATTCACCTCTAGTATCCCCTGTCAGCTCGACAGAAAAACATAGTCTGAGAAGTGTCGAGACGAATAATGAGTAGATCGTATTAAGGATGATTTTCACTAATTACTAGTACTTTAGCTTTAACACTGAACAAAATCTATACAAATAAGATAGCCAATAGAGAAACTCCTATGTTACATATCTCAATTCTCAATACCTGCGTGCTTATCTGAACATATAGACAGAGGCCGAAAAAGCCAGCTACGTCATCTCAAGCTTCGGTTCTCACTAATAGAAGGCTGGAAATGAGACAAGATGCTACCTTACACTGGCTAGTTAGCAATGTAGAGAATCTAATTTACTTTGAGATGTCATAAGTCAAGCATTTAATCGAGTTGAGTTAATTTCAAAAGTTGGAGGAATCTTCAGATCGAATTTCATGATGAATCTTCAATGGACTCATATAAATGACAATACGGGTGAACATTTTGTATATCGGAGGTGAAGATACAAGGGAATGAACTGTCATTGAGATCTCACGAGATAGGAATAGATTGATGATGGAGTAACCCCATGTAGTTCCCATTCTTTAACTCGTGAGAGTAAGACCTTACTTGCACAACTATGCTTCATTTAGGGATTTCCCTGAAGAACATTGGCGACTGGGAATATAGAATATGTGTTTGAGACATAATTTTGCAACTGTAGAGTCGAAGAAGATAAAAAATGTCAGTGTAAAATAAAGCTTGAAGTTAGCCACAGATGAGCTGCCGAGAGGTCGGAAGTTTGGGAAGATTCAAGTACGAAAGAGATTAAATTCAACCTAGTAGTTCCCCCAGAAACATCACTACCACTTTAAAGACATCGTACTATTCAGCGTAGTCTCTAGAATGATGTTATTCAATATTAGACCAAAAACAATCAGAATAAAACTGAAAGTAACCTTAATATCACTTTCCCTCATATCCAGCCAGCCCAAAACATCATGAAAAGAGCCGGCAAACAGCTCCAAACAATATGAAAAGCAATTTGAATAACATCCATTCATCCATCCCTATGCATCCAAATTCTCGAGCGTTCCAGGATTATGCGCAACCTTATGACCATGTTGATCGGTGAAAACGACTAATATCATTTAGTTTTCATAGAGTTATCATCAATAGAAATATATATTTCAGCAAACCTTTTGGAGGATTTTTGACATTCTCCTTCGAAGATGTTTTGGCATCTTCCTGCGTCATGATTATTTCTTCGACCTGAAAAAAAAAATTAGAATGAATTTTTAAATGGGTATTCAAGAACAAAATTTACCTCTCCTTCTCGTTTTCCACCTCGGGCTTTGGTGTAGACTGTATCGCCTTCATTGATGGGATTTCCTTTCTTGTCTTGGACTTGATCTGGCATGGCTGTGATTTTTGATGTTGCTGATTCTCAAGGATAGATTATGGATGTTTTTGATTTCGTTCTACTTTGGACACTGAAAAATACAATATCAAATAGCTGTTACTGTGAAAGAAATCCTGTAGTTGTTTTGTGGTTGATGTCATTGATTATGAAGCGAACCCCTCTCTCGGCAAGGTTCATGACCTCACCCCTTTTGAGGATATTCTTCCAATCACTGAAGCAACATATCAACATGGAAATTGACATCATCCAAAGAATTACCTTAGAATATATTCATAACCTCATAACTCAATTTATATCACAGTAATGCGAAATTTGAAGTTTTTCCTCCATAACAATCTCATCTACCAAACCTCGTTAGTTCCTATTCATTCTAGTCGAAATATGCGTTACACAGGATCCTGCTACTGCCGCGCCATAAAATATACTTTTAACGTCGAACCATCCGAAGCCAGAACATCTCTATGTCATTGTCACAATTGCAAGGTACTCCCATCCCTTTTCATTTTCCTTCAAGATTTCCCACAATAGCACTCCCTTGCTCATTTTGAAAAATCACTAGAAATTCTTTGGCACAAACTACGGCCTGACAACTAAAATCCCCGCCTCATCATTCAAAATTATAGAGGGCGAGCCCAAAGTCCACGAAGCGGATAATGGGTCTGGGAGTTTATTGCATAGGGAATTTTGTGGTGTGTGTGGAGGAGGAATTTTGGAGTATGGGGTAAGCCCAAGATATCTCGATTAGGAAATGATGGGGAGGAGGACTGACAATGGGATGAATTATAGGAGCAAGCTAAGGAGCATTTCAGATATGTGATGTATGGAACTATAGATAAGCCGGAGGGTTTGGATCCAAAAGGAGAATTCTTCTGCAAGTATAGGGAAAAATGGATGCCGGAGATTGAGGGTAAGATACCAAGTTTTCGATTATGAAAAATGTGAGGTTAACATTATTTTGTAACGAATAGGAATCTTTCATAAGCAGGAACTCAAAGAATGACTGGTTGGATACTAGAAATAAATAATTAAATAAATGCAATTTTTTGTGTGTAGAAGGGTATTCGGAATCACGATTACTTCCTGTTGTCCTTACATTTTCATCTTTTCCCTCATTCAATTTCCTACTATATATTCTCATGATAATTCTCTAAGAGATTTTTATCAAATAATCTAAAATGATTATACTTATACTTATACTGTAAAAATGGTAGGTCGAGATACGTGCATCCCGATAACACACTGTGAAAGGGAATTGGAAAAGAAAGCTAATTAGATCACATCGTAATACATCACTTATAGAGAAAACGGGGTCCACAATAGTTTTAGGGTTGAAGCTATATGAATTCAAAAAGATATATATAGAAAATTGATTATTATAAAAAGAAGCAAAAGCTCCTCTTTTATATCTAATTATAAAACATCACAAGATTGACTAATTAAAACCCTCTATATATATAGCCTATAATTCCAACTTTCTCACAATACAATAAGTGAGTGCACTGATTGTATATCGCTGTTTTGGCCGGAAGAATATATCATATTTTAGTGATCTTTTTAAATAGCCGTTACGGACTCGTATGCGAATCACTAAGCATTCACTTAAAACAACGGAGAATAATTTGGTTACTTAATATTTTATATGTCAAAATACCATGCTAAACAATAACTCCATGCCCAAACCCTCTATTGCCTATATGGTAATCTTACAAGATCAATCCTAAGGTCCGAAAACCAAACATCTAACCTCGATACTCTCTCTACCCTTTGCACCCTCCGGCGTTCTAGGATCAACAAAAGCAGTATGTGGAACCCTACCACCCTGAACCTTGGTACCAGGCTTCAAAGACTCACTATCAAAACACTCTAGCAATAACCTCTCATCATTCTTCATTCCTGACAAATAATGCCATTTCTGTCCCTCGTTATATCTGATACCTGCCGTTTCACCCGTTGTAGTAGGATATCTATGTTCCACCGGAACAACATCTTCGTCACTCGTGCTTGCGGAACTGGCAAATGCAAGTGGGTTACCCTGAACCACACCATTGATTGGACGCCACACATTTATGATTCTATATCGACCTTGAAGGAGTTTCTCTGCTTCTTCCGGCAAATGACGTTGTACACGTTGTTTAGCCGATTTCAGAGTTTGATCGATATGGACTCTTGCCACTGGACGCCGATGAGAATTAGGATCCGAGCGACGAACCGTATGATCGAAGATAAACACCTTATTCGAGCCTGGCACATTATCCAAGACCAATTTCTCGACTTCGGGATAATAGTTTTGTTTTATCGATTCATCATCCCGGAATTCTTTTTCCGCAGACTCCGGGACTCCGAGAATCACCTCGAATGCATCCTTGTCGAGGTTGTATTGGGATTCCTCACCGCGGATATCGGTGATTGGGATTTGGATGTCAAATTCACCGAAATTGCGCTCCGGTTGACCTGGAGGTGGCTTTTCGACGTACTGGAAGGGTACAGAGCCATCTTCTGGTGGCCTGAAATAGTTGACGGTAACAGTTGTGTCCCCGCGAGGAACAAAGCTACTGTCTTTAATATTTACTTGTCCAGCAACTTCAATTCTTGACGAAGGTGAGAGGTTGTGGGCAGGTATATTGTGAATAGGCGCGGCGGTAGTCATGATATTGAATTGTCGGTATAAAATCCGAGGTTGGACTTTCAAGGGTCGTAGTAGTGATCTTGTGAAGTGTGCTTTGATCGTTTTGAAGAACTGTAATCCCACAACTGCTGTGGGAGTATGTAGGTATGTGTATGTAAATTACCTATGCTGTGTTATTGTGAGAAGAAGATGAATTGATAGCAAGCAATTACTATGTATGTATATATAGATATAGATACTCGAGTATATATTGTGATATTGTAAGCGTTTAATGCTGTACCGTGCTAGCACGTCATTGAGATCTTACAAATCGAGAGGGATGGATTAGTCGAGTGTACCTTATCACCGCGAAAAATTGTACGCCAGCCCACCAAAAGCCGAGGAATAGAGACGATTTCATGTGTAGCATGCCATATGGCAAGTGAACGATTGGTTTAGAAATGTCGTGAGGTGACAGTTCCATTGAAATGATGTAACAAATCGGGTCGGTATGTCTGATTCCTTATTATTAATAGGCCTGTTAGCTTCAAAATCTGACGACTGATGACAAATAGAATTTGAACCAATTAGAAATTTTAAAATCAAGCCACGTCATATTTACCCCAGATTAGGGAGGGTATGTACCAGCGGCCGTTGCGCGCCTCAATTAGCTCTATTGTTACCATACTTACTTATTCACATACACATTTATAGGGAAATCTACTCAATAAGTGTTGTGCATTCAATGCCAAAAAATGTTATAATAGACAGAGCGAATATTAGTGTGCCGATATATGGAAAAGTACACACCATTTCCCGGTAGACGAGTCAAAAAGGGGAGTGAGTGGCGAGGATATGAGACTCGAATCAATTAACAACTTATGGAGGAGGAGGAATGGTCCGAATGGGAAATGTAGTGCCAAGATGATGGTGAGGTAATCCTCTCAACTTAAAAGCACGATTAGGCTTATTAGGGATACGAATATCGACGACTTGTATGTTGCTAGTCAGCCTTCAACTATCCAAACGTATCATAATAGATCTAGTTGAAGAAACGTGAAGATATCTAGTAAGCTGGTGATATATCTTATTGCTCTGTACTTAGGCAGAGTTAGAGAGGTGCGTTTAAAGGGAAAGTGATGATCAAGATAAATTCAAGGTTTCAACGGTGTTTCAGGAATAACCTGCTTACTAAGCGGAAACACTTCAACCAATCATGTACTTCCCTCACGTTGGCTAATTAATTAAGTCAATCAGATGTAAACAAACGGTAACCATATCGTCGCATCTCGAATATTCAAAAGATTGAAGTATCATCATTTTGCGACAATATTCACAACAAGCTATACACACTCCCGCATATGATGAAATTATTGAAACAAATTGCTGGTGAACGATCTCCATAGATCGATCCTCATTAGAACATAAAGGCCAAAGGTTTATATTCATTTCCCGCCCTCTTGCGCATTCATTGTTATGATGGTGCGATACGGCATGGACGAAGCTTCGTTATCATCTCCAGATCCCCTCGCCGACTCCTTGACATTCCAAGCGCCTCCAAGTTCGAAACCACGAAAGACTCCCACATCGCGTTTGTCACTGCCTTTGCCAGCCAGTTCTCCGAAGAAACAAGTTTTCGAATTGGATGTGGGAAATACACTATCGCCACAAAAAATCAGAGTTACAGTAGAGGCAGAAGATTCGGATAGCGAGGATGATCATGCCAATTTAAGACCCCACAATATGAGCTCTCCTACACCTGCGCAAATACCTCGACGAGTAGAACGAACAACGACAACAAGAGTGCCTTTACGAGGACTTTCGGACTCTGAAAATGATAACAGTATTAGATATGAGGTAACACCGAAGAGACGCAGAGGTCGACCAAGAAAATCAGATACTCCAGTCAAAAGACAAGGCGCCTCCAATCGGGCAGGCAAACGTGGACGGAATAGCATTGGAGCAGAGGTAGACAATGCAGGCCCGGATGTCGATGGCGATGGATTACCGGCGGGCGATCTAAGATCACGGTCGAAGTCCGTAAGGGGGATCAAAAAGGCAACACCGCGTAAAAGGAAAGCCAATTCTGATCTGATCCCGTCGAGTGTGGTCAAGAGAGGTCGCGGTAGGCCAAGGTCCAAGCTACGGGAAGAAATACGATTATCAGACGGAAGTGACGTGGCAGAGCAAGTACAGACTTGGACTGCCGAGCGCAAAGTCGTAGACACCGACATTCACGAGGAATTGATGCCGGAAGAGATAGATCTTTTGGCAACCATTAATGCCAATTTGCAAAGTCCACCTTCGCCATACCCAGCCTTGGAATCCACGTCGAGTTTCGCAAGTAGTGAAGACCTTGAAGAGGATGTTGTCATTGCAAGATTTCATCCTGGTGAAGCGACTCCTAGAACAACAGGTTGGTCAAGTGTTATGGAGGCCTCTCAAATTCCAAGTTCATCAAATAGGACACAAGAGGAAACTAGTCCTATAAGTGGAAGCGTGAAAAATGTAGCCCTGTCCCCACAGTCAAATGGGGTTATAGAAGGCGATGACGAAAACAATGGTTATGGGAAGGGTGGGTTTGACGATGACACTGATGACGATTTTGACGAAACTCGTGAGATAGATCAATTTGCCGGCGGAACGAACGATGCTACCGGAGACATGCAGGAAGAGGATTTCGAAGAAGAATTGGATGATGATATGCATCATAGACCTGAGTTTGACACTATCATGGAGAGTGAAGGATTTAGTCTAATATCACTTAATTCCGTGCCGTCATTGAAGAAACCTTTGAATGGCTTGCTCCAAGGTGAGGGGCAAGACTTGATCGCACGCCCGCAAAACAAAAACATTCTCTCACTTCACGATACAGTACATGATAACTCATTTTCGAGCATAGCACCAGGCATTCTCGAAGCTGCAACACCAGGCCGAAAACTTAAAAATTCCCATATTCTACGCTTTCAGAACGCTCGACCTGATGATTCATTTTCAAGTATACCGGCCGAAATCCTCCAGGCCGCGACACCAGCGCCTACGCGGAAAAAGGTCGGGGAGATTCCACAGCCAGAAAGGTCTACAGTAACCGAAGAAAGCCTAACCAGGCTTGCTGATAGAAAAAGTCCGTCGGAATCTCCCGTCATGCCTTCGAAAAAGACTGATGTAGTACGCGAGGACTTACCTTCTACCATACCGGCCGTTCCTCATGACAACGCCACTCCTCGATTAATGCGCCAAGCACCACTCCGACCAAGTTCAACTAGGAAGTCAGAATTTATCCCTAAACCAATCCCACGACCATCGCAAAGAACCCCAAAATCTTCTCATCTTGAAACATTCTCTAAGCCATCCAAGTCGCCATCGCCACCAGCCAAGGAGTGTACGCAGTCAGCCTCAGTAAAAGCCATTGGTACTGAAGCATCCATAAGTCAATATACTGAACAATCCGTTGCACAACTTGCTGAAGAATCTTTGATCGACTCTCAGATCCATTCGTCCCCGCCTGCGATTGCTCCACGTAAATTTACACATACAGCACATATTCGTCAGCAACGACAAACAAACCCTAAGATGACACAAACTCCTGCAATTATCTTCTCATCCCCTACTTTGCCACCTCCTATCCAGCCGTCAAGACAACCATCCGAAAGGCCAGAGTCGTCGAACACGAATGCATCATCACCTGCTGAGAAGGCTGGTCGTATTCTTCAAGATATTGTGATACCATCATCATTGCCGAGGAGTCGATCCGAGTCTTTAGCTAGCCCATTCAAGAGTCCGGCGACGGGGAGAAGATCGAGCTCAAGCATATATCCAGATACGAATGCTAATCGTCCCATACCTGCTGAGCAGCCTCAAACATCAGTACCAAGGTTGGATCCTAATGGAGATATGCTTTTGAAACATTCGCGAAGGAGAAGCTGGAGCAGGCCCATTCTTGATGAAGATCCATTTCTTGCTAATGGTGCTACACAAAGACGCCCATCTACAGATAAATCTCAAAGTTTAAGTCTCGAACTACCTAGCAGCCGTCGTATGTCGGTTTCTATAAATGCGACGGTCACTCCTCAGCACGAATCGTCAAGAACTACCAATTCTATGAATCAGCAAGCTGAATCGACTAGCCTTAACGCAGTTGTTGAAAAGACAATTCCACCGTCATCATCGACGGAGAAGAAAACTGTAGATGTGAAAAGAACTTCAAGTACCTTACAGGAGAAGTGGGCTGCGCAACGAGCTGCAGTGAGCAAACAGATCTCCACAGCCAGCATCAATGAGGTCATGGTTCTTAGTTCCGACCACGACGACAACGATGATGAAGATGAAGATGACGATCACGATGGTCGCGGCGACCACGATGACCATGATCGGGTTTCCGGAGAAAGGCGGGAAACTACAGTCGAAGAGAAGGATATCAGCAATGAAGTCAAAGAAGACTATGAAGATGATGAAAGCTTTGGACTTCTACTGGAGACACTTGACGCGTCCAATCAGGAAGACCAGCTCCACTCCGAGACATCCGGCAATTCGGAAAAACCTAGACGAAGTAAAATCTCTAGTCTGTGGAGGACAAATAGTAAACGTTTGGTCTATAGCGACGAGCTTGCTAGCTTATCCCCGGACCACAACACAAAAGCTCCCCTGGTTGAGGAGCCCTCGCCCAAAAGCGTTCCAAAGAATGTTGATTTGCCGAAAAGTTTTCAAGCTAATCCTCAAACGGATGGTGACGAGACTCTGGATTTATCTGGATGGCAAATACCCCAGAAACAGAATTTCCAACCTAAACTTCGTAGCATAAGCAATACCAGGCCTGATATATCTGCACTTTTACGTTTGTCGCCATTTGGAGGACTCCCAACTCTTTTCACTGGAGGAAAAAGACAAATTACTGAAGGACAATCATCTAGTGACGTGCCAGTCTCTCGGAAATCTCACTTTAAACTCTCACAATACAGCTCATTCAGCGATACGGAGAAAGAAACAAGCTCGTTCGCCCCAATTCCTCAGAAAATGGATTTTCAACCGCGAGTTTATAAGAATGATGATGCATCATCAGCTGCACCATTTTCTCAGCCATCGACACTTTCAAGAGGTCTTTTCGGAAAATGGGGAGCAACCAAGACCAATCTCCCCACTCCAGATACATCATCGTCGTCCTTGGTCGGTACTCTAACGGGTACATCGCCAAGCAAGAGCAACAAGCTCAAAGCCCAAACTTTCCGACCCGTCCAACCAGAAATCCTGCCAAGTCCGCCCTCCCAGTTCTCGACATCTAAGCCTTCCGCCTCCGTCGAAACAAAAGAAAATCGTAATCTCCAGAACCCCAAACCCAAATGGATCGAGCACCGTCTCGAAGCTCCAATTCCACCCTCTCCCACGAAATCTATCCTCCGCTCCCCACAACGCTCCTTCGACCCTCCACCTCAACCCTCTCCCAGCAAAAATGTCGTCTTCGCTTCCTCCTCTCCACAACCCAGTTCTCCTCTTACCCCCCAACTTTCTCCTACTCACTGGACACGCGATCACTGGCTTCTCCTTGATTCCATCTTACAATCTTGGAAGCCCGAGAACGAAAACCAAGACACCGCCGATTCCGAACCCAGAACTTCAGATGGACTTTTAAATTCTAAATACGGAAGCAGAAACTCCACAAGGGTTATTAGTAGATTATTGGGTAAAACTATCAATCTCAAAGATAAAGGAGTAGGAATTGGCGAAGGTGGTGTAAGGGCATTTAAAAATGGGGATCAAGAGATAAGAGAGATAGGAAACGAGAAAATGAGATTGGAACAGTGGCACTTGGAAGCAGTAGATGAATTTAGGGGTGAGGTTCCAGGGTGGGACGAGGCGGTGGTGGCGAAAAGGGTTTTTGCGCTGTTGGTGGGAGAGGAAAGAAGGAAAAGGGGTATTATTGTTTAAGTCTCTGTTGTTTGCATGTCGAAATTATGAGCGTTTGGATATGGATGCTTGGATATATGATTTCCAAGAGAGCAAGACTTACATTTTTGGATAGATCAATGGATCGATCACAATAACCCTCATCTCCCCCCTTTGTTTCTTCAATTCTCACTTCTGTGAACATGTATGTATGTGTATTTGGGACCACATGATGGATCTCGCCTTTGAGCGGTATGGATTTAGAGCGTTTTTCGGAGTCGTGGGATCATTGGATGGGGTACCTGGATACGTGGATACTTGGATACCTGGATATAATAACATTCATGATATAATTTTGGAGCAAAAAAAAGCGCAAAAAGGAAAAGGATTTGCTTGCCTGCGGGGGCGGTTCTTTTTAGCTGTTTTCAAGAGGGAAGGGAAGAAGGGGTTTGTTGGTGTGGGATTACTACTCGAGTAATTAGGTCCTTCTTAAGTGTACGCAGTTTGAAGGCCGTTTTGTGATAGGATGGCAGACGGGCGATTTCACACTGAGGATTATCTATATGGTTTTTTGTCTTCATTTCTGCTCACGTTTTTACTTCCTCGTGAATGAAAAAGATCTAAATGTGAATGTAGATGTTGGGACTGGATAATAGCAGCCACTTCATACCATGTCATATCATTTACTTTCGTCCAATCTTTACGCCTCTATGATACAAGTATGCATTATCTGGTCTTTCATCCACCAGCCTACTCCAGCATACTCGCTTGATTGGTATAAAGCACATCAACCACACTGCTCAACTTCTCGATTGTCGCTAACGCAGCATCATATCCTACATCTCTTTCCGTCTCATCGTAAATGATCAAACACCCAGCCCCTTGATCCAGTACTCCAATAATAACTTTATCAAGAATCATCTGTGATAATTTTCTCTCTACTTGTTGTGTATCGAGACCAACCATCTTCGCAATGTGGGCGATTTCGACGCGGGAAAAGGGTTCGATTACTTTGATGAGATTTTGTTCCAACATGGCATCATAGAGACGACGGAGATGGTTGCGGATGAAGGCATCGGAGCCAAGTTCGTGGCGGTAATCACCCAGTGCTTTTTCGTATTCTTCTAGAGAACGGTTGGAGTGTGCGCGTGCGACGGCTTTCATGGCTTCGAGATTCTTGCCTGCATATTTGATGGCTTGTTTGGAAGTCATGAGTTGATTGACATCGTCGGCAAGGTTGAGCATAATTTTGCAGAGAAGCATATATTGAAGAGCTGCGGTAGCTTTCTCCGGTTCGTCTTGTGTATGGTATCCATCTAACGCTTCGATGAAGTACGAGAACGCAGTATTGAAATCCTTGTCTTCGGCATGAAGTTTGCCAGATTGCATGTCGAGGCCAGCTTGGAGTAAAGGAGGGGTGTACACGGATGCAGCACTTGTTCTTGCAGCAGTGAGAGCGGCGCGACCTTTGGCTGTGTTTCCTAAGGCGTGATAAACGCGAGATTCGAGGAGTTGGACTTCGACGAGAACGAGCTTATCATCGAGACGCTTGAGCTCGCGAAGGAGACTGTTGATGAGGGTGAGGGCATCGTAGTAGGATTGTTTGGTCATGTAAAGGCTGACAAGACGGGTTTCAAGGTTCTGTCTTAGGAAACCACGACGTTCGGATGTAGCCCATTCGATACATGATTTTGTGACGGTAATTTGGGTATCTGTTGTGTTGGGAATGGCATTGAATAGATCTAGTAGTTGTCGTACTGGAGTGAAGGCACGTTAGCTGAGTATTGGGATTACCATAATATAGACCATTATCTGCTCATGCGCAAAAGCTTCCTGCAGTCTTCTCCTTACCTAACTTTGCTGTTTTGGCTTTTGCGAATGATGATAATACTGTCCGGCTTGTCGTGATCAGATCTACCAGTTCATCCGCCTTCCTACACACAAATCAGCCAGAGCTTCATGAAAGATCAAACCCTGCGATATATTCCACTCACCTCTCATCTCGGTACAATTCTCCTAAGCTAACCAATGCAGTTTCATATTCTCGAACAGACGCTTCCGAGGTTACTGAAGGTGGTTTGGAGATGATTTCCTTATATTGTGCCTCTGCCTTTCTTGGATCTGTCTTTACCAAGTTTTGGGCTTCTTGTATCCTCAAAGATTCTGCTGGAGCCATGTTTGATAATTGTAGAGAATTAAATGTGAGTGAAGTTGTAAAGTTGCCTTTGATGTTTTTGGTAAGGGAATCGCGTTTCTAGGTAAACTTCGCCATTACGATGCCACTAGGAAGCTGGAGCTTGTGGAAACGGCGCTAAAATAGAACCACCCCTGCAAAATTTTATCTGGGAGATTTTTTATCATGAACACAATATTTCTTTGCGATAACCATCCCTCACTCATTTCATCACCCACATCAATATAATTTTCATTTTTCAATAATGATAGCAACATCCTGATCTCAATATTCCAATATGGTGTGTTATAACCAATTTATCTTCATAATATCTCCGTGCTAATTCAATTGTTCTGTAGAAAATAAAAGCACTTAGTCGGGCGTCCATTCAAGCCCCGGGGTCTGAAGCCAAACAGCCCCGCAACCTTGGTATGTATAACTCTGTGGAGGACATCGTAGACAGAGCAGACGTTAATCGTTTCCATAGATCCAGCATTACATCCATTTGAAAGAGCTCGAGAATATACCCGTGCCCTCAATGCCACCAAAATGGAGAGGATGTTCGCCGCTCCTTTCATCGCGCAGTTAGGTAAAGGACATGTCGACGGAGTTTACACAATGGCAAAGGATCCTAATGCCCTCGAACGATTTGCAAGTGGCAGTGGTGATGGTGTCGTGAAAGTATGGGATCTAACGTCTCAGGATGAGGTTTGGCAAACTAGTGCGCATGAGAATATTATCAAAGGCATGAGTTGGACAAGGGATCAAAAACTTCTAACTTGCGCAAATGATCGATCGATCAAACTTTTCGATCCTTACAATACAACTTCGGGATCGGCGCCCGTGGCAACATGGCTAGGCACTAATGCATTCACAAGTTTGTCACATCACCGTTCGAAAAACGCATTTGCAGCATCATCCGGAGTCATCTCGATATACGATCTCGAAAGACAGAATGCGCCGCCTGATGTTCTAAAATGGCCAAGTTCAACGGATACTATTACCACAGTAGCTTTCAATCAGGTTGAAACTTCGATACTTGCCTCCACTGCTACGGATAGGTCGATTGTTTTATATGATCTCCGTACAGGACTTCCCATTCACAAGACACTTCTCAATTTTGCCTCGAATGCTATATCTTGGAATCCTATGGAAGCCTTTAATTTTGCGGTAGCCAACGAAGATCATAACGTTTATATTTTCGACATGAGGAAGATGGAAAGAGCCTTGAACGTACTGAAGGGTCATGTTGCCGCTTGTATGGATGTAGAGTTCAGTCCGACAGGGGAAGAGCTCGTCACAGCATCGTACGACAGGACCGTTAGGTTATGGAGCAGGACCAAGGGACACTCGAGAGATATTTACCACACTAAGCGCATGCAAAGAGTCTTTTCAGCAAAATGGACACCTGATTCGAAATTCATTCTTTCGGGTTCCGATGATGGCAATATTCGCTTATGGAGAGCTAATGCTTCAAAGAGAGAAGGAATTAAGTCGGCCAAACAGCGAACTGCTTTGGAATACAACGAGGCATTGTCGGAGCGGTATTCTCATATGCCCGAAATCAGACGAATCAAACGTCATAGGCATGTTCCCAAAGTTATTAAAAAGGCTGGAGAGATCAAATCGGAGGAACTCAAGGCAATCAAACGCAGACAAGAGAATGAACGAAAACATACCAAGAAACAATTTTCGAAGAGGCGCGCAGAGAGGGAAAAGATGGTTCTGGCAAATGAACAGTAATATTATGTATGATTGGCTGGGAAAAGCTTATATACGTGTGGAGTCAAGGTATGTGGTGGCATATGCGAGGCGTTTATGGAGGTTATGGTTGGTTCGTGAATACCACAAACTACAATGTTTGACTTGTACATAGAATATGAAATGCAATAATGAAATTCTATTGCATTTCTAGGTGTCTCACGCTCTGATTGATTACTCATCTTCCATGAATGGACAAAATAAAGTTTCAGTCAATGGGCAAGTGCCCATTTCATCTGGCACAGTCATTTTGGCGGTTTTTATTATCACCATCAAGAATGTCAGATTGAAGTTAGTTTGGGGAGTTGCCACCTCATTACTTCGGGAAGAATCATAAAAGTCAAAAGATAATACTGACTCCTTCAGTCCTCACTTCGAGCTTTACGAAGACATTGTATTTTATCAAAGCTTTGTGGGGTACAGTAATGATTTACAGTCCGGCTCAAGCGAGGGGATGGTCGGGAGATACATACAAGGATGTAAAAATGTAAAAGACTTGTTTACAAATTAGGAGTATAATAACTGATGTGAGAACTCTAATCTCAGCCTCATGTATAATCTCTGTTATAATTTTTTAGGTTCCGTTATTTCGTAATATGGCAATATGGCAATATGGCCTGGTTTCGCGGTGGAGACTCCTCCTTCCTCTTCAAAATGTGGTGGCTATTCATAAGGTAAGTTAGGAATAGACAGATATTTCCAACAGTCTTTACCGTTAATAAGTTGCAACTCACTTTAGCTCATACTTCCTTTACCCAGGATGAGAATATGTTGTAGTGGATTTGGTCTGGCGAAATTTTGTTACTTGCCTTGTTTGGTAAAATCCAATACTATTTTTCTAGATTGTAGACGGTGGAAAAGCTTTTATTGCATGCCTGGATAATTGAGTCGTGACTTTTCTATTCAATTGATTGAATATTTGTAGAATTTGGCCTCTTTTCCACCTTGAGGTGAGATTTGTACTGCTGACTGCTATTTTTCCTATGATCGGCTTTCTATCACCCCAAACAATGACACGAGACTTTCAGAGTAGAATATAAAGATCACTATTAGGCTCAAAGATTTTACCTCGACGGCTCTTCGACAGTGCACTATAGATATGTGGTCCGCCTTTCAGCTGCAATTTTGCGGTTCTACAACAGTAAAAAAAATGATTTGAGATATGAGGTTTTGATGAGTTCAAAAATTATGTTTCCAACTATTAAAAGAGAGAGCAATGTTTCGAATCATGCTCTTAGCCGTTCTTCTGAAGACCATAGTAGTAGCTCTATATTTAACCCCTAGAAGAATCCCGAAGTATATAAGGACGTATTAGACTAGAGAACTTTAGACACTAAGCTCTCTATGAAGGCATATCATGCCGAATCATATAACCAGAGAAACATATGGTCGGTTGTGGGTGGGCCCCCGTCAAATTTTCATCATGGAAGGTAGTTTTTCAAGGCTAATATGTAAGGTTTTGGTGCGATGTTCACGGCATCGACGGTGAAGTCCCAAAAGAAGTACTAATAAGTGCTATCAATTGTGGAGGAGATTAGGCATTATCCATACAAACAGACCGCGGCTTAATTAAGCAAATGTACGAGATATATCCTAAAATGAATGGTTAGCCAGAAACCTCTCGTATTTACTCAGTATTCACTATCTTAATGACCGTACGGCTCAAGATACAGAGAAGTCCTCCTCGGTAGTACCCGATCTTCATGGGCCCATTTTTAGCAAGCGCTCCAAAGACCCACAACAGCAGCATTGAGACAATTGGGGTAACCGCGGGAAGGGAACCCCATAATCCACATCCATCCACGCTCCACCACTGTAGGTCATGGCCAACCCACCTTACTATTTTCTCGCTTTTTTTCTTTATGCAAGGATTTAGATTAGCGATAGGTCATAGTGGATCAAAATGGCACCATTGCATCTATCCTACGCGTCTTATGTATATACACATATAAAAATGGGTTGAGATGAGCGAAGGCTCGGAGTTGAGAGTGGAAATATTGCAATAGTGGGTTGGATGGCCGGAAATTCCATCAATTCAACGAGTAGCATCAAATCACTACATTTTCACATCATCCATCACAATATTATTGCTATGGTCCCATTGACTCATGCCACTGTCCTATCAAGCACTTCAACTCACCGGGCTGGTTCGCCTTGGTAGCTGGAAAAGATTTTCTAAAAACTGGGTTCATCTGGCGAGAGTCTGTTCATCAACTGCAGGCTAGACGAAACGTAACCGTTTGTCACTTGATTGTCCCTCTGTACTCTGCATCCCTCATTCTGGAAAAGCCGAACGTTACATCACTGTGTATTCGGAATTGTTTAGGGTCAAAGCGACATGTCGAAGACAAAGGATGAGGTATCTGCCAATGCCATAACTTCTGGCGGCAGCAATGATGATACCGACCATGATCCTGGGCTCAAAACCACATCGTGGTGGCGTCACATTGTAGGATACATCTGGGATTCGGCGGAAGGTACACCACGAGACAGAAGATATGTCCAGAAGATTGATGCGTACATGTTGTAGGAGACCTCGTTCATCCTTTGACGGAACCAGCAGACTCACTAATTATCTTGAAGTACCGCGGTATGCCTAGGCTATTTCATAAAATATTTAGATCAAACAAATTACAGTGAGTGGTAGAGATCATCCAGAAAATCAAAACGTGGTTACTCACTCAGCATTTACAGGCAACGCCTTTGTTAGTGGCATGCAGGAGGATGTGAGTTCCCCTACCCCAACCGTTCTTGCGTTCCAAATTAGACCAACGCATACTGTCATCTTAGCTTCATTTATACGGCAATCAACGAAACTGGCTCAATACTTGGTTTAGTCTTGGCATCATGGTTGGTAGTGTGCCGGCAATGATGGTTCAACTTCGGGGAACGCGCTCTTCTTATTTTCTCCCCTGTTGCGAGATTGTATGGTCTGCGCTGGTGATGGGTATGGCTGCAGCGAAGACCATTGAAACGGTAAGTGCAACACAAAAACGTGATTCAAACTCACTCAAGTAAGTTTGATTCTAATTCCATCCAGATGTACGTTCTTCGATTCTTCATCGGGCTTTTCGAAGCATGCTCCTTCCCAGGTTACGTGGCGCTGCTCGGAGGTTGGTACGGACCTGCGGAACTCACCAAAAGAGTTGCCATCCTGGGATCGGTTGAATCAATAGCCAGTATGTTCAGCGGGTACTTGCAGGCCGGTTTGTATACCAGCTTGAACGGATCTCATGGTATTGCCGGCTGGAGATGGCTGTTCATCATGGATGCCGCCATCTCTATTCCTATTGCTGTCTGGGGATTTTTTGCAATCCCGGACTTGCCACATAATACGAAAGCTTTTTATCTCAATGCAGACGACAGAAAATATAGTATTGAGAGAGTCGAGAAGCTGGGTATCTCTGAGCCTGTGAAATTGACTTGGAAAATATGCAAGAAAGTCTTTTTGAACTTGAAGTTATGGGCATTTATCTTTCCATACGTGTATGTTAATCATTCCAAAATGGAGAGGAAAAATAATGAAGAACTAACGCAAGAGTAGGATGCTCGTGAACTGCCACTCGGCAACAAGCTACTTCAATCTTTGGCTGAAAGCGGAAGGATATAGTGTTGTGAAAAGAAACATTCTACCAACAGCAGGCAATGCACTAACCATCGTCGTTTCATTCGTCTACGGAATCATAGCAGATCGTACGGGTAGAAGATTTCTTCTAATCAACGTCCTGATGGTTATAATAATGGTTTCGAATATCATGCTATCCGTATGGAATATTCCCAAGCCCGCGCTTATGGCCGCCTATTACTTATCGTATGCTGGCACTGCAGCCACCCCAGTGCTCATTGTAAACTCCCCATCCCTAGCTATGACTTGGTGGCTAGCCCGGATCTGAACAGTTCTTGCTAATTCTGTTCACAGTCGTGGGGTAACCAACTAAATGCCGCTGACCCGAACTTGCGACAATTGCTTGTCGCTGCTGGAAATGTTGTTTCATTTGCATGGGTTCTTTGGGTACCGCGTAAGTCACCAGCTTCATGTTCGTATCATGGCAGCAAATTAATTCATAACTGACTTAATTACTAATATATAGTGGTTCTATTTCCTACCTACGATGCACCCAAGTATAAGTATGGTTATCAAATCTTGGTACTTTTTGCGGGTCTCGGGATCGTTGGTACTTGTTTGATGGTTTACATCCATAAACGCGACGATAGGTAAGTTTGCCTTAATATTGGTATACTATTCTGCAAGTGTGGCAAAGCTAACGATCGTCTAGAAAAAGAGAGGTGCCACAGATAGAATGCGTACGGAATGAATATATTCAGAAGACGGGTATGGATGATGAGACTAAAGCGTAATGTTGAGGGCACCTACCACCACCTACTTGAAATATCAAATTTCAATCTACAGTCTATTGTTTCAAATCTTGAGGCTGACGCTTTTATTTATTAGCACATTCCTGTAGTTTCGTATACAAACAAGCTTCCAAGGTCTATGTCGCAAGTCAGTATAATTAATTGCAATTTAAAAAACTACCCTTTTCATTCTTCCAGATGTTTCCCGTATCAAGTCCACCACATCATACCCTGCAGCCACCTCTACATCTATGCAAGATCGTACCATTCCATCCACGGAAGCTGTAATATTTGCTCTTTTCCTTAGCAGATATTCCACAGTCTCCATTTCTCCCGCTCTACAAGCACGATAGCGCCGTGCCTGCCGATTCAAACGATTCTCAATTACCTACCGCATACCAAATAACCTTCTCCTCTTAATCCAAATCCCGATCTGTCTCTACAAACAACTTCAAAGCTTGAAGATTACCCGTCTCCACCGCTGCAGTTGCCGCCTCGTCCCTTGGGTTTTAAATCCATATCTGAGCATGAATTTAATAAGCTCAAGCGAAGGGAAATCCCCCCTCATTGCCGAATTCTCGCTTCCCATCACCGGCAGAATACCCATTATTTGTAGGATTATAATTATAAGATGGCCTAAAGAGATTAATCTGAAGAAAGAGCAAGAATAAATTACCCTAGGAGCCCCTGAACAATAAGTGGGGTATCGCTGGTGGCAGAAGGATGCTAAGCGAACGTTGACGTCGTCACAGCATCAGCATGCATGCTCAAATGCTATTTTTAGTCATCAAGGATCCTCAACTTCTAGGTAGCCCCTATTATTGGGGTGACGTTTCTCATTCTATCGGTCCCCATTCGTAACTAATTAAGTGCGGCCGAGAACTAACCATTTTACTCCGCGTCGCTAACGACAGGATTTTACGTATGCGGATCTAAGCTTATATCATGATATGTTAGTGGTTACTCAAAGAAGTCCCAATTATCAAATGATCTAATCTTAACATTTTTTCGAGATTAATAAATGAGGGAAAAGAATGATACAAAGTTGGGAAATTCTATGTTCAGGGTTTTCCATCAATGTAAGAGTTCGCATGTGTGATATCGATGAGGGAGCAATGCTTAATCTCAGGAGCTTTTACAATGATGATGACTGGAATTAATGTTGATTCTCTATAGCTATGAATTAACTTCTTTCTTTTGAAACAGTAACGGCAAGTGGACGTTTTTATGGAAATACATCTCACTTTCACTGATATTATTCCCATTACGATTATGCATATTATTCCACAATTTGATGTATACAGATGAGCTTATAAATGTATTTGAAGCTTTCTCTACTTCTTTTGTCCCGTGTCAGATATCTCAGCTTCTTTCTGTAAAGATTCTTTACCTAGCTACTGCATCACAACCTTCATTTAACTTTATTTTTGTTTTTGGTACTTCTCTCCTGCACTTTAGTTCTGCTGTTCTTCCAATTCCAGTTGCAACCATGCTCTTCCCCAGAAGTAAATCTTTCTCCGTCTCTGTCTCTGACTTCGTCTTCGGTCTCATCTCTTGGCTTCTTCTCACCTCTCCAGAGACACTGCCGTCGCGCATCCCGTATTCTCAGTCAACCTTCACGAATGCACAACCAGTCCATCGACCACCAGAATTTTCATTCTCCCTAGCAAACAAGATTGCATAAACGCACTTCTACCCGGTCAACCTCCCTCTAGTTCAGCATTCATTTTCATAGGTAAAACAAAACCTGCCGCGCTCAGCGCCGTAAGCCTCCGTAGTGAAGAGCAAGCTTGCTCACATAGGTCCAGCCTGGAGAATCACTAAAGTTTTCATTGACCAAACCAATTACCAAACGACGGCTTCTACTCTCCAAATTACCCGCCAAGGATTTTCAGGGGTATATGCAGAAAATGTGCCGGAACAGCTTGTTTGGTGGCTAGTCATAAGGTGGAGCGCCAACTGACGATAGTATCTTTTCCACAAAGGAGTTTCCGGCAATGCAGGCAAGTGGAGAGATGAAAAGAATTATTTTGTTAGATATCGATAATAAACCGGCGGACCTAACGAAAATGGCGAAGACTTTGTGGGTCGTAGAGATAAATCACTGAGTGAGACACGAAGACTGAAAGCCCAAGTGGAGATCTGAACTAAAATATATGAGTCACTGGGGTTCGAAGGGTACGCCTGTTGTCGGACGGCTGCAAACTTATGAGTTTCCAGGCTCTTTGAGGCGTATGGAAGTTCAAACCAATTTGCCTGGGACTTTGATTTTAACCGCAGCGCAAAGTGCAAGCGGTGGGACTTAGATTACTGAGGAGAGGTATGGCGGTAGTGTTAAGATAATGAATTCGTTGCCTGTGTGACCGAAATCAGCGAAAATGATTTGTGATTGACACGTGGAATCTACGGTGAGGAGTACCTGTAGAATGGATTTAAACCATTTCTCCCCAAGAACCTCTTAGTTAAGGGTTATAATTAGCTAGAGCAGTTCGGATTCAGCTCTGTTTTACATACCACACGAATGAAATGTAACTACCCACAGCAGTTCAGGCTTGTCTTACCATAATATTGGACCACGACAATTAGAAGGGCAATTATTATTGTAAAAGTGGTAGCTCGAGATATGTGCGTCCCGATAGCACACTATGAAAGGAGAATTGGAAGAGAAAGCTGAATTAGATTACATTATAATATATTACTTATAGAGAAAACAGGGTTTACAATGATTTTGAGATTGATATTATAAATTTAAATGTATATATATAAAAGATTGATTATTGTGAAAAGGAGAAACAAAAGCTTTCCTTTTATATCTAATTATAAAAGATCATATGATTGATTAATTAAAAACCTTTATATATTTGATCTATAATTCCAACTTTCTCACATTATGAACTATACCAGAATGAGAATTGCTAAAGATTTCATCGATCTTGTATTGATCTTGTATCCAGGGATACATGTATTAACTATTAACGTTTTGCACTTAAGAGCGGATAGATTAATAATAATCTTGGTTGAGGATATAGTTAAACTAGCCATAGTAAGCAGTTCGAATTCAGCCTCAGCTTATATAGTAAAGGTCAATAATTATCTTACCACACAATTGAGCCACCACTACTTTACCGTCGTGATTCCTATAAAGCATCATCTATTAAAGTCAATCAATCTGCTTCGCTTTCACTTTTTCTTGCACAAATTTAAATACGAACACTTTGCGCCTGCATTAGATCTACAGCCCGGTATTGGCATGTTCCATTTGGATTCTGGAAGTGTCAAAAGTGCCAAGGTAGTCTTAACATTAATTTGCTCACGTTTTCACCCGCAAAGAAGCTCCCATGTGATCATAGCTTCTTTCACGTGCATGCTTCTTTCTCATTTCTTTATTTCATGTCTTCGGACTACTGTTATGCTTCACTCATGTCCTCAGATGTAGCTTCCTGGCAACATGAGTCTCGGAGAGCTCGTTAAGAAACGGAGGTGATAGCAAAGAGTTGTACGCGATTCTTTCTGGTTTGCACCATCAAATTTGGGCTTGTTCTTGGTTATGCCATGCAAAATTCACAGATGGTCTCATATTCTTTTGTTCGTTGTAGTAATAACGATTCATCGCTGATCTCCGAAGCAGAACAGTCTTGGATATAAGCACAGGGTTTTATTGAAATCTCAGTAAAGTAGTGATAGGTGCTTGACTTCATTTTGATCTACCCACTACTTCAGTATATATTGCTTGGTTTTGCGGTTAAAATGGGAAATTCACTCCTTCAATTCCACATCACAGGAATCAATTGTTTCCCTTCTACAAGACCACAATTGACAGAACAAACTTTTACACATATCATCCTCTTCTTCTTCTTATAACAGAATTATAAACCGCAATTGCCCGAAAGTTCCTTTACAAATATCAAGCAACACCCTATCCTGAAAGATTCCCCTAAGCACACACCGGTATAATGCGCTGCTTCATCTGTCACCACCATAACATGACCGGGAATCATAGATGCGCAGGACATAATTGCATAGCCTTACTCTCCACTGCAGATATTGTCAAATTCTATACGACTGTCCTCACTGTCGTCGAAGGGCGCACAGCGTTGAGAGCCGTGGAGCATTACATTGTGCGTCCTGGAACACCTGACGCCAGAGATACAGTGGACGCGGTTCTCCAGATTCAAGGTTCTGGCTTTAGAGCGATGGTGGTGTGGGGGGAGAATTGTGGGGGAAGAGATTGTAGGAATGTTATTAGATGTCCGCATAGCAGTATCAAGATTTCTATCGCAGAGAAAACGCGGGAGGGTGGAGCAGGGTACGGCCCGACTATGACTGTCGCTTACCCATAAGATCAAGATCATGAAGCGGGAGCAAGACGGGGACGGGTCGCGGGTTCGAAGTACAAGTCGATGTGAGGTTATCATAGAGCGAAGATATCCTGTTAGAGATGTTTCGCTTTGTTTCGTTTTGTTCTGCTTTGTTTTGTTAGATGGGATAATATGGATTGGATATATCCTGTTGGAGATGTTTCGTTTTGTTAGATGGAGTGGAAATATCCTGTTGAAGATGTTTCGTTCTGTTCTATTTTGTTCTGTTCTGTTCTGTTCTGTTATATGGGGTGGTTAATGCAATAGTGGATGGGGGTGATCAAGAAGATCCGCTAGGGTCTATGCTGTGTTGGATGTATGCAAATTTTGAGAGGGATGAGTGTTTTATTTTGTTTTGCTAGTAGCTCGGGTTTCCTTACATAGAAATTGACAAATTTAGAAATGGAGACACCACATATCTTGCAATTAGAATTAGTGCTAATAGTAACAGAAAGTAGAAAAGACGCATAAAATACAATCCGTCATATGTGTAACTCGCGTGATAGGAAAAAACTAGCTATAGTACCGGCTATCATCAAATGAATCATTCAAATCTCGTTTGGATTGGCCAGAACCGAGCTGCGACTTCCCGGTCAAGAAGATATCCTTCTCATTGAGGCTTAGCTTGTTGAAGGCTAGCATGACTGCTGTCTGTTCGGCTTCCTCCTTTTCCCTTATTTTTCGTCTATGAGCAAGGGTAGCTGCTGATGTCTCACCCTCTAATAGATAACGCGTATAATTGGTGCATTTCTGATACCAATATCTATCTGCCGCCTCGGACTGGTAAACCCGAAGATTTTCGTCTCCAGGCTCCTTAACGTAAAAGCGGTAAGAATCTATGCATTCATAGACTTCATCGGGTATCTCCACATTCATGCCTAATTCGACCATTCTCGCCGCAAGAAACTGGACCCATCTACCTCTTCCTGGATGGTCTTCTAACCACTTCACTACTGATGGACGTCCTTTAATCTTGGCCCACTCAAACCATTCTGGACGATAGCCACCATGCTCCCAATCTATGATAGCTGTAACATGTCCATCTTTTACCATGATATTAGATGCGTCGAGATCTCCATGGGAAAGTACATACTTGTCTCCTTCCTTGAAGGGATAGCTCTCCTTGAACTTCTTTTTCCATTCATTTGTGATTAAAGGGTGCTGACGAAGACGGGGCTCGGTACGAGCCCACCATTCTTCTTGATCGACAGTCATGAGATCCACGCAGTCGATATCAGCACCTAAGAGTCTATCTCTGATTCGCGAACCATCTGGAGCCTCTGGTTTTGTCGATGTAAACTTGCGTGCTTCCGCCAGATATTCTGCCAGCTCATAGCCGATTGTTCGATGCTGTTCAAAAGTCAACGAGCCGGAATCCTCCGCCTCCAACAGTGTTACGCCGGGGCACCTCTCCATCCAGTACCAATCACTATTTTTATCTTCCCAGGTACGCATGTCTTTTGCTACAGGAACATTTGATTTCTCAGCTAGGAGTTTAGTTATCGCATAATCCGCATTCGGGGGCGAACGGAGCCCGGAAGTGACTTTTGGTCTCTCTTTTAAAAAGTATTTGTCACCAATAGACCACATACCCCTGCAAGCATTCATTGAAACCTTGACATGACTGAAATACGAGTTATGCTCATGGAGGCTTGAGGTCAATCCACAGACCTGGCAAAGTATGAAATCTGGGCTTTTTGGGCGATGTAAATTGAGTTCTTCTTCGGTACTGCCTTTAAAGTGTTCATATACCGGTGGCCTCGCCATGCTGCTAGGATGCAATGTAAAATGTTAAATATGAATTGCAGTCTGTAGAAAAACTATTTGGACTTGATATATCTTGATGGATTGTATCGTGGAGACCCGGTGAGAAAGGAAGTTCTATAAGAAGAGTATTGAAAATAAAGGAATCAAAACATTGTAAAGCAGAATTTTGCTTCTGTACTAGCCGCTCGCAAAAGATGCCCACACAAACAGATCTCCTCATAAACAAATGTCTCTTTGATATCGCATGAAGGGCTTTATAAAGACATGAATCTGCTCTGTGCTAGGCACTTGCAAGAGATAGGACATATAAACAAATCTTTTGAAAAATCAAAGAACATCCCTTTATATTCAATAGAAAATTTTACAAAGATTTAAATTTGCTTCTGTACTAGATACTTGCAAAAGATATCAGATGCAGATAGATCTTTTGATAAACAGTAAATATACCCTTGATAATCAATGAAGAGTGTCGCCAAGATATAAACTAGCTCTCTCCTTTACCACAGGTTTTGTCTACTAAAGGAAAAGATGGCTTGTTTCTCAATTAGATCTTAATTTTCTTTCATAGTCGCTTGGTTTGATAATCCGCATCTGAAAATCCATTTTCTTTCTTGGGTGCAGCCATCACATTGATGAACGCCGGTCAAAACCCCTACTACGGAGTGTATGTTAGCTTAGTGGTATCACAGATATGGCTATACTATGGATGGAAAGTGTTGTGACCATCATAAGTTACGAAATAACGGTGCTAATGCAATCGCGTATTAGGAGGGTGGGAAAGTGGGGATTTGTAGCCGAGTGCGGGGTACGGATGACGGATTACAGTAGCGAGGTTTAGGTCTTAAGTCTTACAAAGTACTTGGCAGTTGATTGGACTCCTGAAAATTCCTTTGAACATTCCTTCTCTTGGACATTTCTTCTCTTGGATAATTCCTTCTCTTGGACATTTTCTTTCTTATTATTCTTTTTATTAATTTTTTCATTTTATAATAAAAACAAATTAAATACTTATACAAATTCTTAATTTAATAGGAATTTATAAAATATTATAATGTTCAAAAAAGATATTTAAAAAAAATTATAATATTAAGTATTTTTAAAAGTGTAAAATTAAAAAAGTAAATTATTGATTTTATTATTTATTATAGAAATCATATACTTTTATATGATTTTATATAATTGTCACGATTTACAGTTTTCATTATAGTAGTATTATTGATATCGATGATTTATATACTGATTACAAGGAGGATGTGATTTAACCGTTGCTTTCAAAATGTAACGATCTGGTTGAGGCAGCGGCTGCCTTAGGTTTCGTATGGTTGGTAGTTGTAGGTTAAGGCTAAGAATCACTGGTTATCCACTCGAAGGTGAATACGTTACTAGATCAATTGGAATATAGGTAAACTAATTGATAACTAAGTTGAGCACGAAGCTCCTAAACTATGAAACTATTCTGACTATATACTAATCTCTTTTTTCATGCTAGCTATGCTAGCTGGCTAGCAGAGCTAGCACATCACGTGATTGATCCTGAGGCCTCTCATATCCTAAGGCCTTTCCCTTCCTGGAACACTTGTCCCAGGAGCTTTCCCTCCAGGAACTATAGCCCTAGGATACGATATCCTCTAGGGTGATAGTCCCATTACAACCAATTAGATAGGACACTTGTCCTATTCTACTATGGTTGCCTAGGATACTTATTCTAGGAATCCTGGGGTCCTAGGCTTAGGTAATCAGGACCCCCGAAAGCAACGGTTAAATCACACCCCCCTGTAGTCGGCATATAAATCACCGACATCAATAATACTACTATAATCAAAACCGTGAATCGTGACACAAAAGTCCTGATTATCTAAACTTAGAATCTTAGAATTCCTAGGATAAGTATTCTAAACAATTATAATAGAATAGAACAAGTATTTTATTTAATTGGTTGAAATAGAACAATCATTTTAAAGAATATTATATCCTAGAGCTATAATTCCTGGAGGAAAGTTTCTAGGATAAATATTCTAGAAAAGAAAAGATTTTAAAATAAGAGAATGTTACAGGGTAACAGTCAACCTGTCCACATGAGCTTAGGCCCTATCGAAAAGCAAGGCGATTTGTATACAAATTTGTATGGTAATCGCCTCATGTGATCTCCCCACCTTTAGCAAGCTCGGATATATAGTCTGATCGTAGTCACATGATGGATCATAGGATCTAAGGGATCTAAAGAATCATATCCTAGATCTACTAGATCCTTATGATCCAATCGATACAAAGGTCTATATAGCTAGGAAAGGATTCCTTTTGTAAAGCTTCGTGCTCAAGATCAATCATTTAGTATAACCTACTATTAGTTACGAATTGCAACCATTGATATTACTTTAAAGCTTCTGCTTGACGCCTAGTTATAAACCATTCGAGGATCCAGGCCACTTCCACGTGATCTAGATCGCATCCCTCGTAACAGAGAAGTTTTAAGATTAATTATATAATATATTAGGTTTATTAGTAAAGCTAGTATCTTAGAAATATTAACTATATTAATCAACTAGTATAGTTAGTATACAAAGAAGAAGATTAATATATAATTAGAATAGTTTTATAATTTAAAAACTTTATATTCAATTTAATTATCAATTAGTTTATTTATTTATTAGTTAATCTAGTAATGAATTTATTTTCAAATAGATAATCAATAATTATTAGTTTTAATCTATAATTACTAATTATATGAAACCTTAAATAGCTGCTGTTTCGATCAGATTGTTATACTTTGAGTGTTGTTATAGTTAAGTTATATATAATATAATAGCTTTCAATCAATAGTTTATCGAATTATTTCTTTTCAATCCAATCGGGGCCCTAGTATAAATCGTTGTACTAATGGAATATAAATAAACGATTTAGATATTCATTTTTGATCTATTTTATAAATATTATAACAAATATCAAACTTTTATTATACAAACTGATCTTTATTATATTTTTAATAAACAATTTTTCTTGATTTTTATACAAAAGATTTTATAATTAATCTTCTTTTTCTAGGGAATTATATTCAATTGAATCGAATTATTTTTCAATGATTTAATAATTAAGATTATTAATAATCAATTGGGTCTATAATATTAGTTTCGACCAGAACCCTTTGGACACCTTTCAAGTCACATGCCTTTTGTATTCAACTCACGTTATGTCCTCCTCACCTACGCTCAATCTAAGGCTGGCATGGGAGATGGATGGAAGACTTGATTGGTTATCACAGTCTGGTATCGGAAGTGGAGAACCACCAATAGGTACGTAATATCCGCTGCGCTCGGCCAATCGTATCTTTTGCTTCGATTTGTGGTGTTTAGGCCTCGTCCTACGAGCTCCCCTGCATCGTCGTTCCTCCTCAGCGGGTCCCCCAAGCCGCTCGAGGATCCTCACGGCCGGGTATATATAGGACAGGTGTGTCCTGTGTTCTGGTCTATAATATTAGTTTCGACCAGAACCCTTTGGACAATTAACGATGCTGTTAATAGGAAGGAATGGCCCGAGGTGCTAGAAATGAGTTTAGGTTCAAATGGAGTTTCAGAGGTAGGCAGCGAAGTTCTGTTCGCTCGATTTTCTTCTCTTGAGCTTCTAGTTGGTGTGAAATCATTCATTTCCTGCACAAATTTAAAAACTTTAAACATTCAAGTATCCAAAGATTATTTGGCTTGTCGATACCAATAGGCCCCAAAAGTTTTGCTTAAACATGACATTACGTGCTATAGTATCCACAGGTCACGAAGAGCCATTGGAGTTATTTAGGACCAGTGATAAAGAAGTAGATATTGTAAAAGTGGTGCGTCCCGATAGCATATTATAAGGAGGGAATTGGAAGAGAAAGTTGAATTAGATTATATTGTAATATATCACTTATAGATAAAACAAAGTTCATAATAGTTTTAGAATTGATATTATATAAATTCAAATATATATATATAAAAGATTGAAGATTATAAAAGAAAAACAAAAACTTTTCTTTTATATTTAATTATAAAAGGTTATATAATTGATTAGTTAAAAACCTTTATGTATTTGACTTATAATTCCAACTTTCTCACAATATAAGGAGAATTCGAGGAACATATATAAGATATTATGACTTCCATATTCAACCCTCTCATTAATTTTCCTGCCTGGCGTACCTTCGTATTATTCAAAGCTTCAGGCTGCACTTGACCCTGCCCGCCCAAAATCTCACGCCAGAATCTTTAAAAACTGTTTTCTGGATTTCCAGGTTTGCGATTTTAGCATTGGTGATTTGTCTAAGAGGGACGCGTCGTCCAGAAGTAAGGAAGATCAAACAAATGACAATCAGTCATAGAGCCTAGATGTACCCTTCGAGTCAGTGAGTATCTTTTTTTTCTTGATCTTTCTCGCTGGGTATGGAAAGCGATAAATTTCGAAGCTCTACACGAAGCTCTTGCTTCTAACCTATCTACATAGCTACGAAGCCTACATGACACCGCGCGATGATATGGACACACACAGACGCAAGAAGTACAAACTCTCTTTTTACGATGTCTTCCCTGATTCAGGTCCTGGAGCAGTTTTGCTTTGTGCGATCAATCTTGGACGCTCTCAGCTAATTACCCCACAATCTGTACGCTGTCTGCGGTACACCAGAACATTCCAGTATGCTATTGATTGATCAGATATGGGAATTTTGAATTCTTCACCAGGAATAATGGCGCACGTAATGACGGATTTCACGACGATAGGTCATAGATAGTAATACACCAAGAAGTGGCTCCAAACCAGGAGTTTCTAGCTCTTTTGACAGCCGTAGGAACATGGTGAATGTTCGTTTGTAATTCCCTCGGGCAGGGAACCATGTTGATTGAAAGATATTCGAATTGGGTGAAGACAAATATAGGCTTAAATTAACCCTAATATCACTGCTAGCTTCCCTTGGGATGTAGGAACTTCGGCTAAAACAAATTTGCTCCTCATTTCAAGTGTCGCACTTAGATCTGACAATGAGGTTGTACTATTTAGAAGGTTCCTCATTTCTGCTGCTAACCCACCCTATGTAAACAACTGAACTATCAACATGAATCACGGAATTATGGCTCCTTTCGCTGGGCATTTAGATAGAAAGATGTAATAACAGGATAGTGAGTGAGCCGAGGGGAAATTCTGGTCTGCGTATGTTTTGGTCCTTGAAAATAGGACTATAATGCTTAAATGCTTACTCTCCACAGAGACGACATACATGCAGTACTACTCGCAGATAAGGGATTGGAGCTCGACATGAAGAGTGAAGATTTTTAGAAGTGATCTTTAGAATTCGGATCCAGCAAAAAATCATATTGAGCAGAAGAACTAGATTGTAATGGAGATAAATCGATGAAAATTTATATAATAACGTTGCATTGAAGTGGAATCCCGTCGTAATGGACAATTCAAATAAAGGACGCTGGCAATTATTCAGATTGTGTATTAATAGTTAAATGAATGAAAAGAGCTCAAATACTGAAAAAGGTCAGTCGAAGTTCGAACTTTGAATGGTGATGTGAGCACGTGATGTTCATGAGCAGTGTCAGCTATTTCTTGTACGCAACCAGACATGCTGACTCAGCAACTTCGAGCGACAATGTTCAAAAATGTAAGATGGTCCGTGCACACTGCATCAAGAAATTTGTCGCAGACGCGATGTAAACGCGCAGAGCAATGGGAACTCATTCAAACGGCCCTACAACATCCCACTACACACAAAACGTTTTGTTTGTCGTCTTTCTTGCCAATCACTCTTGTAACTCCAAAGCAGATATCCAAGAGACCTTCAAACATGCAGGCGCCGGTAGTAGTGATGAGTAAGTCTGAAAGGGTTTGAAGCTCTTCTCCGCTACCCCTCATCCTCAGAAAATGGCGGGAACGCTGACTATAGCTTTCAGACACCCAGAGTGGTGATAGGCAGACTGGCCGAAAAGCCCAGATGTCGAACATTACCGCAGCCAAAACGTAAGAGCTCTTCACAGCACCTCTCGAGCACCCCGCCATTTCAACATTCAGAACTGATATACAACAGTGTTGCAGATATTATTCGATCATGTTTAGGCCCCAAAGCGATGCTGAAGATGTTGCTAGATCCTATGGGAGGTATAGTTTTGACAAATGACGGGCATGCGATTCTTAGAGAAATCGAAGTGTCACATCCCGCCGCAAAGAGTATGATTGAGTTGAGCAGAACACAAGATGAGGAAGTTGGAGATGGAACTACTAGTGTTATTATTCTTGGTACGAATACTCCTGGGAATTCAAAATAATTCGGGCTGATATTTTCTAGCTGGTGAAATTTTGGCACAATCTCTCCCACAATTAGAAAGAAATATCCACCCAGTTGTTATTATTTCCGCTTTCAAGGCTGCGCTGAAGGATGCTCTCGAGATTATTGAAGAAATTTCTCTTCCAGTCGACATCAATGATGACAAGGCCATGTACCAACTCATCTCATCCTCGATCGGCACAAAATTCGTTTCCAGATGGTCTGAACTGATGTGCAGCTTAGCACTCAAGGCTGTACGAACAGTAACCCACGAAATTGGAGGTGGCAAGAAAGAGGTTGATATTAAGCGTTATGCAAGAGTTGAGAAGATTCCAGGCGGAGAAATCGAGGACAGTAGAGTTTTGGACGGTGTTATGCTGAACAAAGATATTACCCACCCGAAGATGAGACGAAGAATCGAGAATCCAAGAATTATCTTATTAGATTGCACACTGGAATACAAGAAGGGAGAATCACAGACAAACATCGAGATTAGCAAAGAGGACGACTGGAATAAGATTTTGCAGATTGAGGAGGAGCAGGTCAAGCTTATGTGCGATTCTATTCTTGCTCTCAAGCCTGATCTGGTTATTACGGAGAAAGGTGTCTCTGGTATGTTTGCTCGCCTGGTTCCTTTTTATTTTTGACTCATGAATTTTAGATCTCGCACAACATTACTTGATGAAGGGCAACGTTACCGCACTGCGTCGTGTCCGAAAAACAGACAACAACAGAATAGCTCGTGCAACCGGCGCAACCGTCGTCAACAGAGTGGACGACCTGCAAGAATCTGACGTTGGAACCCAGTGTGGTCTTTTTGAGATCGAAAAGATTGGTGATGAATACTTCACATTTTTAACCAAATGCAAATCACCAAAGGCATGCACTATCTTATTGAGAGGTCCATCTAAAGATATCTTGAACGAAATTGACAGAAACTTGGCCGATGCCATGGCGGTTGCACGAAATGTTATGTTCCATCCCAGATTATCGCCTGGAGGAGGTGCTACTGAAATGGCTGTGGCTGTCAGATTGGGTCAACTCGCAAAGAGCATTGAGGGTGTACAGCAATGGCCATACAAGGCTGTAGCTGAAGCTATGGAAGTCATTCCAAGAACTTTGATTCAAAACGCTGGACAAAGTCCGGTTAGAGTTCTCACTGCACTGAGAGCAAAGCATGCCGAAGGTGGAAGTTCATGGGGTATTGACGGTGACAAGGGTACTTTGGTTGATATGAATGAGTACGGTGTTTGGGAGCCAGAGGCTGTCAAATTACAAAGTATCAAGACTGCAGTTGAGGTATGTGATTCTATGCTTGTCAATTTGCAAACGCTTGTAGCTAATTTATTTCAGTCTGCCTGCCTTCTCCTGAGGGTTGATGATATTTGCAGCGCGAAGGCGGCAAGAGCACCAGGCGCACCTGGTGGTGGGGAGGAATAAATCTTCAAATGTTAGTGTATAAAAAAAAAGCGATGTTGATATGGTTGAGCATACCCTTGTAACCATAGCATAGAGCTCACAGTTCATGAATGTTTGTTCATGCTCATGGCAAACGAATAGAAATCAAGCCAATACACCCAATCTGGTCTTTCCTCCAATACTCGTGACCATCCTTATCCGTGCAGAAATGGAAAATGACTGGTAAAATTGAGCTCATGTACCGTCGAATGCCTGTCAATCATCGTCGTGGATGATGACGCCGACTTGTGCTTGTGCTTCCCCAACAACTTCTGTTCCAGCGTCTTCATTTTTATCATCTACTCTGACATTCGCATCAATCCTAGGCTTGATGTTCCCTGCCTGTGCCCCAGCACCACCAGCACCAGAAGTGTCACTCTTGTCGCCTTTCTTCTGTCTCTTCCTTTCCCTCTTCTCTCTAGCCTTCCTCGTCTTCTCCGCATCCTTCTCCTCCTTCTCCTTCTTTTCCCTCGCCCATTCCTCCGCCTCCGTTTCTCTTCTAACCTCCTCATCCATCCCCTTCAATCTCTCATATTCCCTTCTTCGACTCGCCTTGTACACATGGAACTCCCCCGATCCAGCTCCAGCAGAACTTCCTTGCACATTCTGCACTATTTCAGGGACGGTTCCTGATACCTTCACCACTGGAGCCCCTGTCTCTGAGATTTTCCGTTCGGGTGCGGACATCAACTTGTGGATTTGAGAGGCAGTTTCTGAACGAGGGGATATTGCACGACGTTTGAGGGGGCGCTTAGAGCGCGGGTCTGCGGAAGTGGGAATGGATTCGGGGATGTTTTCAGACATGGTCGAGGAAGCCTTGATGGTATTTCCGTTTGTATGAATTTATGTGTGGGTCGCGTGTTGTTGACTAAGATTTTTTTAGACAAACAGTTTTTGTTGTAATTACGGATGCGAGGATGTGTTATAACGTCAATGGCAGAAGTTCCATTGTTTGTCCAATGTAATTATTGTTATGTCAAGTAGTGAAGTGATTTTTAGTTTTGATGAACAAGGTTTTGCTTTTATTTACTACAGCCTTGTCCGTCTCACTGAGCCCTGACTAATCTAAAATCGAGTAGCCCCGCCAAATTCCACAATACCATACAGATTCATAAGGTTATGTCTTTTTCGTCAAAACCACATTCATCAAGATAAGAGGATACGATAACAAATGATCAGCCAGGGGAGGCGGCAACTTGAAACAACTCGCACTGTACTTCTCTCTTAGTATTGTTACGGAACAAAACCAATCCCTCTTCGCTTTTGGAGTTACAAATAGAAAGATAGAAGACAAATACTTATTCGGATTTCGCTCTATTATTACCTGAAACTTTCCCGTACAGAACACAAAGCCCTGGGAACGGAAGGCTGTGGTTCTTATCTGCCAATATGGGAAAACCTCGCATGATCATTTTGATCAGACATGCTCAATCAGAGGGAAATAGTATGCTCCCATACTTTCTTTCGTGCATGAGGCTGACAGCCTTGCTATGGGTATCTAGCTAACATATTCAGAAAACCGCGATATTCACCAAACCATCCCCGATCACAGAGTAAAGCTCACTCCTGAAGGCTGGACACAGGCTCATGAAGCTGGTTTACAACTTCGAAATCTCCTACGTCCAGATGACACCCTCCACTTCTTTACTTCTCCCTATCGACGAACCCGTGAAACTACAGAAGGTATTCTGTCCACCCTGACCTCTGACTCCCCGAGTCCTTCACCATTTCCCAGGCATTCTATAAAGGTGTATGAAGAGCCTCGCCTGCGTGAGCAGGACTTTGGTAATTTCCAACCATGTAGCGCGGAAATGGAGAGAATGTGGCAGGAACGAGCAGATTATGGACACTTTTTCTATAGAATTCCTAATGGAGAGAGCGCGGCGGATGCATATGACAGAGTAAGTGGCTTCAATGAGAGTCTATGGAGACAGTTTGGAGATGATGATTTCGCAAGTGTCTGTGTTTTAGGTCCGTTTTGCCCTCTGGTCTCTTTAAGCACAATTTTGACAAGACTGGATGGTAGTGACTCATGGGCTCATGTCCCGCGTTTTTCTAATGAAATGGTATCATTTCTCAGTGGAATATTTCGAAGATCTCCGAAACGTTAATCACTGCGAATTCCTCATCATGCGCAAGTCCAACGATTCCGGAAAATACATATTAGAGAATCAACTACGCACATGGTCTCAGCTAAAACAGGAACGCCTTGCAATCGCCGCCGCCGCCAAAACCTCTCCTTCGACGCCAGAAAATGGGCAAATGTCTGAAAAGGATAAGGAAAAGGAGATTAAACTGCTGGCGGCAGGGCGCTCCCATGTGGGGCCTTCCAGCCCTATACCAACACACAAGCGATGGGGTGGTTGTCCGAATGGATGCGACCATGGAAAGCATCACTACAAAAAAGAAAATTCCATGCATGCAATGCAACTCAACGGTCGTCCAATCCTCTCAGCGTCTACTTCATCAACACACATAGAAACAATTGCATCCCGGCGACCAGCAGCACGTCGCTGGCAATCTTCCTCCGACGAAGACGAGGATGACCCCAGAGGTAAAGCCGGCCCGCCTGAATTAGATGTTCAAAAGAGTCTTGAGGAAACAGTTAGCAGTCCCGATGGGACACCCAGTTTCATCAGTCTAGAAGACCGATTACGTAGTCGCATTCAAAGTCCCAGTGATTTGCTTGGCATATGCCACGGTGGTAGAGATGGAGGTGGAAGCGCTAGCGGTGCTAACAGCGACGCCGAGTTCAGCGCAGAAGAAGATGTTAGGAAAAGGCTAGCGAAGGCACGGAATGCGAAGAATACGTTGGGAATCTCAGTGCTATCGCGGAAATTGACAAGAGAAGAATCAAGTGGGATGGGAAAGGGGGTCAAGGCTGATGCTTTGGGGGATCAAAGTGATGATGGAGATGATGATGCCGGTGCACAGAGTGATGACGGTGGTGAGCCGAGCCCCGAACTCCTTCAAATTCAACAAGCTGAAAAGTTGGACAAAAGTATCAAGGGGAGCGTCTACTAAATCTAAGCTGTGAATTTCCTACAACGATGAGATCGAAAATCGTGGCTTCGCGTTCTAAATATCGGACGAAAAGGTACAATAGGCATAGTGTTCGTCGCATACCAGTCGAACGAAAGAACGAGATAAAACGAGAACTTTGATTATAATGCACATAAGAAAATTATATAATGGAAAGATGGTCAAATCTAAATTTATATATACCACTCATACTCGCCCGGTTTCCTTTCCGTCTCGTTTCCGCTTCCATTTCCGTATCCTAACTAGATTATCCACCCATCCATCCAAAGCTCATTTTCCCCTGCTAGAAATTCGCTTTTCGCTGCCTGAAGCAGCTATACAGTACAAAAAAAGACGCTATGAAGGGGATGGCTTTCCATCCTCCATATTATCATATCATATTATATTATATCACCTCACCTCACCCATCTCATACTCATACTCATCTGGAATTGCAATCATGCTCGTCCATTGACAAGTTTCTATCCCTCATTCCCACCCAGCGAAAAAAGAAAAGAATAGAGAAAGCGAGGACACAAAATTTATCGCACAAGCTCATTACCAGCAGTATTGACATGTATTAACTAATCCAACTCCCTTCCTGTTCGTATAAACCCGCTTCTCTCCCCTCTCTTATGCTGGCCAAAAATGTCATTATGAAAATTCATCTCTCGTTGCTTGTGGGTCGAAATTTCACGCGAGTCCGATATTTAGGGGGTTAGCCGAAACTAAGCTCTGCGCGCCAATCGTTAGTATAGACACATACACTCAACAATACGAGCGAGAAACATTGGAATGACATACCAGCATAAACAGGAGCCTGCCAAGCTTTAGCTTTAGGTCTTGCTTTTTCCTGTCCGGCGGCTTTGCCTTTCCCTTCGCTGCTTTTGCCGCTGCTCGTTTTCGTATTGATGCTAACACGATCTCCTTCTCTCCCTCCCATGGATGACAAAGGTATGCCGTTATTTACTACGGTGGCTACTCTTTCTACGCCGTAGATTACACCTCCGTTACCGAGCGGGAGGTTTGCCACCATATTCCCAGCGACGGAAGCACATGCTTCTGCCGCGGCCCTTTGACTAGCGAGGCGCAGTTGGTCAAAGCCAAAGTTCCACTGGTCTTCTGTGATTTGGGTTCCGCAATGTATCTGTCCCCTTTCCGAGTTGTCACCTCCAGGATTATCTCTTAGGCCACAATTCTCTGTCAAGACGGCGTAGATTCTCTCTTGAACTTCGCTTGCTGATGGCCTATCGTTTGGTTCGGGTGAGAGCATTCGTTGGGAAATTGCGATTAATTGAGAAACACCTCGAAAGATCTTGTCTTCCTTCTTTGTGGCGTCTTTGAGAAGTGTATTCATCCAGCTATCTACTTGGCCCAGGTTCTTATGAAAGCTTGAATCTGGAACTCCGCCACCACGACCCGGGGTCTTGTGCTTCGACGATCGATGCGAGACAAAATTCCTTGTCGCTCGCTTCATAAGAAATGTGATGATTTCGATGAAGATAGCCCCTAAAGCAAATATATCGGCCTTCTGTGGATCGTGTCTACCAGCTCTGCTGTCTCTTCTAGTGTGGCTTGGACCTGAGCCTTCTGATCGCGAACCAGTCGAGACTGTATGAACAGATGATGAATCATTTGACAATGAAATTGTAGGGATTTGAAATATGAAATCAGTAGGGACACCAGCTGACCTGCTAGACGCCGGTGGTCGCGATGATGCCGACCGGGTATTGGGCAGGCTAGAAGTGGAAGTCGTCGTGTAATGGTGCTGTTCTGGGGCGGAGTAATCATAGGCCTCTTTATCAAAGCCACTTCTCTCCCCGATAGGGACATGGGTAGGGAAGACGCCCAAATCTCCCAGAAAGATGTGGTTGTCAAGGTCGAGCATGACATTGGAGGGCTTGATGTTACGATGGGAAAGACCATTGCTATGAAGAAATGACAAGGCTCCAGCTAGACAGTGAAGCCAATTCAAAATAAGAACACGGCGGTCCTGCTTAGCTAGGATCTTGAAAGATTGAGGTATAATGGTGAGAAAGGATTTGAGCGAGTTGGCGTTTGCTGGAGTCAAGAGTAAATAGCCCTTATCCTGGTGGATATAAGAAGCCCATAATGACATGAGATGTGCGTGGTCAACCATTTTCATTGCTTCGATACCCGACAGAAATTCCTCATGTAGCATTCGTTCTGGTGAGGTACCTAGGAGTATTCGTCGGCGCAAAAAGACGGTGTCTGGCCTGCCAGGTAAATGGACCTTATCAACACTGTTCGCTAGAAGACTACTTACTGATCCAGCGGCTCTTTTTTCGACTGGCTCTAGCGGTACGACTTCTACATCATCGTAGTAAATATGTTCGCCTTTAGCGACATATCTTAGGAGGTAGTTGAATTGGCGCTGGAAAAACTTCTTCTCTAGCTTTTCGTTTCGATCGTAGGTCAACTGTAGTCTTTCAACTTGATCCATCGGTATCGGTAAATCATCATCGCCCCATGAATCATCAATGACTCCAAATATCTGATCTGGCACACCCAACTCCACCAAGATCAAGAATATTGTTTTGGCCTTTTCTTCAATCCATTCCATGTATGTATCATCGGTCAAGCCATCACCGAAACCCAATGGCTCATCCAGACGCTCTTGCTCGTCTGGATTTAATTTTGACAACACAAATTGTCGTGTAACGGTGGCCTGAATTCTTTCCTCATCCCACCACATTGTGGGCATGTCGTCCAAAATCCCATTTGAGGTCCGGGGGACACCAGCACCGGCGAAACTAGCATATATCTGAGGGTTTGTACTAGCCTGTTGTTTTCGGTTCATAACCATCGAGCTTCTTCTGTACTCCATGGCTAGGGTTTCGAGAAAAATATTCAGACGTTTTATGGGTTGAGAGAGGAGGCAGGATTGTTATGATTGGTCGATGGCAAGTCAGTGATAACAAGCTGTGTATAATTTATGAGAAGTGGTGCGAGAACGGGACGGAGGATGGGATGGCGAGAGTCCAAAGATGAAGGAGCCCCAGTTAACAAGCATATATTCCACTTTTCATTGATTGCTTTGGTGAGACAGAAAATCCTAGAGGAGACTTATTGGGTTCATGCGCATCAGATGCAATCTTGATAGCGTAAGGTATCGAATTTGTCGAAAAGATTAAGCAATAGCTTTATCGCTATCCTTGCAATCTTGCTCGGCTGCTAGAGTATAGCGTGGTGACGAGGCTCCTTATCGAAGTTTCTTTGACAGCAGATATCAAGTGAGACAAGCCTTATTGCTGGATAGAGAAATCACCGAGGCAATCTGAGGTCTTGGTCTGGATCTGGATTGATTTTTTGGTTACCCAAGATTTGCAGTTTGTTTTGACGGACGAAAAGAATGATGTTATGTAGCGGTAGATGTCATTTGGGAAGTATGAATCATCTAGACGGTAAGAACAAATTCCAGATATCTGTGTTGATATGACAGATCATGTTTGGGTATGGCTTGGAATGATTTGTACCATATTCTTGGCGGGGTTGAAGAATTACAAAACGCAAAAGCTCCCTTGGAACTATGAGGAGAACTCATTGTTGAGACCAATTTTGCCACGAGGCGTTTCCGCGGTTATCTACATGATAGTGTCAATGACATGCTGCTGGAGGATGCCTCATTGCATGCGGAGTATACTATTGGCAGTTATTTTAATAATCCTCCGCCTGCTGTTCATTAGCTTCATTCTTCGAAAGGGTACCTCTGTGCATCGCTTCCTCATTAATCTTGGAAAATTCTTCAAAGAGAAGTCTGGAAGAATCTCTGTTTTGCTGTTCTCTCAGCCGGGGCTCTCATGGTCGATTTGTTCGAATAACCCTGGAAAGCGTCTGTCTGCTTCGATTTTGTTGCAGATGATCCCGAGGTCACGATAAGCTTTGATAAGATTAGCAGGTAAATGTACGGAGTACTTGAATTCGTATAAGGGTCACAGAATATGTGGGTGGTCGATCATCACTTTCGCAAGACGGGAAGGGGGACTCACCAACGATGAATGATCTAGTGATGTTACAAGGCTAAATTGTGTGATATCCGACACTTTTCAACCTCGTTGCTGTTATGAATGAGAAAGTAGGTAATGAGAGATGATTCCAAGCTATAGGATATCAAACTAAGCGGTATAGTCTGCACTCTACTGGTAAGATTACAAAGGCTGATCGGGATGGTGGACGGATTAAAAATATATATATATATATTTGTAATACCATTCGACGTACCGAACCGAGGCTCCTTTCTCCCGCAGGTATTTGTGTGATCCCCACAAAAGCTAGTGATCGAGCTTCTTGATGGTATGGAATAACCGGTCAGTGAAAAGCCTAATCACCATGATGAACAAGGTCACGTCGACTGGCCCTAGCTAAGAGCGGCTCATCATGTTGGCACTAAAGCAATGCCAGTCATTCAGGTACGTACTCGAACATAAAAGATGGTTGATTTGGAAACATGATCTGAAAATATCAGAGCTCGACCACTGCAAACCAGATCGGGCTAAAGTCATACGACAGTTAAAAGTTAGGATATGTATCACAGAGGTTGGTAGAGGATATGCGATCAGCCGTGGCTAATCTGTATGGAAGAGAAGCTGAACCAGAACAGTGACCCGAGATTGTGATTTCCAAATTTACATGAGGACCAGATGTCAGTCTGTAGGGCCTAGTTACGATCTTAATGTGCATCATGCAATTTGGAATAGAATGTGAAGAGTGTTGCGTGATAGATGTATGATGAATGTAAAGAACAAGCTGATGCAAAAGATTCTTTTCCTTCCGCGTGAGTAGCATCGAATGGCATCTCCCCCCTCGTCTGTTCTCCCTTTCCCTTCTCTCGGGATGAAAGCATCGTGCCGTCGCAACAACTTGCAATCGAATAATCCACACCCAGTGGCACTACTCTTGTTTGATGCATAAATCACGTGATAACGTACAGCATGCCTTTCCATTCCATCCAGCTAATGTACTCGACTCAATACCTACCTATCTAGGTAGGTATTCAGAAGATCACTCATTCACTCCTCAATGCTCAACTGACAATTTTGGTTATTCTTCATATTTTTCAGATCTTGTATATAGTCTTAACCCATTGTGCCACTTCCAATCCCCCACTCTGCCAAAGCCATACGATTAATTGTTCATATCCCCATGATTATCAATAAAACGTTTACATACACAAAACATCAGACCGTGGGTATCGATTTCTTATATCGTCGCGGATTCATATCCAAATTTATCCAAATTTACCCACACCATAACGCCAACGCTAAAACACCAACATTACTTGGCTTTTGTAATGACCAGTAATGCAACCAGCACTCCAAAAGTTTTGGTGCACTACACCATGATGAGTCGTAATTGTTCCATCAAACATCGATACCACGACGCAGTCACCACTTCCTTCTATTGGATCAAATCTCTTCGAAAAGTGTCAAATGTCTGAATTTGAGCTTTCAACCCATCGTTGATGAGATCTAGGCAAAGTCGAGATGCTGTGGTTGTGTGAGCTTTTGTTCATTCTACTCGAAGATCATACTGACGCCTAGGGACATCCTCAAGAAGCCAACCATTTTCCAAAGCTTCTACAGCAGCTTCCAATCTTGCAGATTGATAACAGTGATATTCCTTCTGCAATGCCAACATTCTTTCCCAGCATTCTGCATCGGACTCTTTTGGACTGGCTAGAATTCGTGATCTCATAAGGTCTGGAAGTTCACTTGAATTTTGTGCGAGAGGTGAAGGACTTCGAGTGTCTCTTCCAGGTGTCGATCTTGTGCTGCGAACTTCGCTTTCACAGCTCCTTTCTCGTGAGGAATTTTTGGAAGACATGATTGAACGGTATTGAATCAGGATGGTGTTCAAAAACGATGGTAGTATGTTGCGAGATACGGTATTGAATGTCGGAAAGGCCAAAAGCATGTTCCAAAGTTGGATTTGGGAAAAGGATACCATCAAGCAAAGCAAAGCAAAGCAAGATGATTCAACATGGCTAATATATATACATACCCACACACATATATGTCTGATATTTCTTTTTGATTGCGTATCCACTTCCGGATGTCCCGAGCTTTTTTATGGCACCTTGATGACCGTCATTCTCTCATTTCATTGCATGAATGCCATATCAAATGCCGGAGTATGGTCTATAGCTTATTTTGTCAACCAATGATCATCAGGCGCACCAACCGAAAAGCGTATGACAGCAGATGCGGACAAGCATATGAAATGACTCAGGTTATTGCAGACCATCTAGACTTTGGGCAAATTGAGGGGTTGTCGCGGGAGCTGTTTGAGGTTGTCAGCGGTTAGCATGTTGCACCGAATCAATTGCAAAGTGAGTCAGCCCAACGGTTTACTTTATCAAGGTGGCCTCAGTGACAAGGAGATAATTCAGGGAGTGATCAAGAGACAGGAAAATGTGTATCATCTTCACCTAAATGTTTTATAAGAATTTCTAACAAACGAGGGGTTCCTTTTTGCTCGTACAGGCAATGCAATATCTACACCGGTGGCTTTGTGGAGGAAGTAAAATATACTCCGCAAGTAAAATACTCAGCCTCAAAGAAACCTAAAGAAAAGCCTCTCTGGCTATGTATCATTACTTTGAATGAATGATGTTTGAAGACGACGGAAGCCAAGGATGCACGACGATTAGCATGCATGTCTTTCGGCAAATGAGTTTTTTAAGTGGGGGATAACAACATGATTTTTCTCATGATACCACGAACAAGCTTTTTAGCTTTTGGCGTATCCACAAAAAGACGAAAAAGTGGTCACGATGAAATGGACCCCATGCAGATGATCTTCATCATAGAATTCCTCCAGGATCTGACTAATCCGTTCCGTACGGACTCCAGAGACCCAAATCCCATCTACGATTTCACGATTACAAATATGATTACGGAGTATGGTATTATTATTTGTTGAGCCTGTCAGATTTTGAGTCACAGCGATGAGAAGAGAGGTTCGCTGTCATGAAGATTAAGGGCTAGCGATCAATCCTGTGTGCCCCGCGGTCTCCGACTTTCCCGATGCCGAAAACACTTGTTTGCATATAAAAAGGTAAGCCTTACATACGGTTACAAAGTACGCGAAGATACATGCAATACTCGGCGTACATATCACGCCACACGGCATGTGTTTATAGATCCGCAAATGGGCACATACAACTCTTTTGAGAAGGGAAAATAAATTCAGAAAGTTTCATTGCATCCCGAATGATTCCTGACCAATGAAACAGTCTTCTACATCGGGAATCATAGCTCTTGCTAGGGAATCGATGCGACAGTTTCTTATGCTAGGATGCATCTATCCATCCAATGCAATCTTCATTCGCCTCAACTGGACAACATTTCCAATCTCATTTGCATTAAACTCGACATGATCTTAGACGTCATGATCGATCATGCTTTTTAAGGTTTTTTTATTAATTATGAATCTACTCCGTGATCTTTCTACTACAGTAAGGTTTAAGGCTTGCTACTATTGCATGAAGATACCTTGAGATGGGATTCCAGGAAAAGAAATTCATCATTGCGCAAATCATTCTTCATGCTACTGGGTTCGAGCCTAGTGGCTGCCCAACTTTCTATCCCATGTGATAAGTTCGTTCTTTTTGAGCCCTGAACAAATTAAGGCTGGAGTGGATGGATAAATCTTTTTTCAAAGGATCCATCTTGGCCAATGAGCGGAATCTAATTAGTACACCCCCGACTTATCCTTGAGTTCATTTTGTCGGCGGGGCACTTTCGGATGTGTTACATTGAATCGTGGTGCAGGAAATATCGCTTGGGATGAACAAAGAAGGCGAGAATTTGGTCGTTTGCTCACACCTGTCCTCCTCAGCTGAAGGGCATGATGCACAAAGGTGATTCCGGTATGAGGAATTGAAGCCCCGAATCGGTAACATTCTTACGAGCGTAGCATGTCCAGTTACTCCAGTAGGTACCTTTCTTTATTTCACTATCTTGAAAGGCTGCTTTGATGATTCGAGAATTTTTGGGAAAGTTCAACATGTTAGTGATGACGACCCTTGCCATGACATGCAGGTGCTCAGGCCCTAAGTGAAGCTTGTACCAGCTCCACGTTTTGATATTGAAAGATATAAATACATGAATGTTATTACATTATAAGTTTTTAATCGATATGTTGAATATTTGCTAGCTGGAATTTACATCCTTGTGCTCCAAATTTAGTATGGTAGTCTTAACGGCAGATATATTTGTGTTATTCAATTCCCTTCCCAAAATTACAACATAATCAATGTTGCAACAGGCCAGAGATAATGCTCATCCGCATTGAGATTTGGAACTCCGGCGGAGTCGATATCCTGGATGTGATCTTCCTTTACGACAAAGAGATTGTTGGATGGTATTTGGAATTGTATGCTCCTTGTCTCTACTCGTCCCCATCTTGCACGCCTCTTTGTTTGTCTCGGATTGTCGGGTGCTCAGGTAGTCGGGTAGTTCCCCAGATTCCTTTTTACTACACATCTCGACTTTGATTAACTAGTAGCGGGTTTTGTTCATAGCGAACTTTCGGAGTAGCATTTATAACATTCATATCCAAGTTGGTATCAGTATATCTAATGCATAATGTCTACTTCTGATACAACTGCATATATATAAAGTGATGAAAAATTCATCATCTCACATATGGAAGGTTCAAGTGATTTTCTATACTCCAAATCGGCTTATCTTTTGAGTCATTTTGCTACCATAAATTTATTTGATATGAGGTCCCATAAGGTCTTTTGAGAAGTTCGATATTCGAATTCGCCATCAGTTCTATTATACTTTAGTTAGATTCATGTTTAATCTAGTCAACTGTTTCATTTTGTCATGATTCATTACTCTATTATCAACTTTAATTCTTCTAGATGTACCTCAACCTATCAATAAGAAGGAGGAGAGCGAAGTTGCTGGACACATATAGATGAATTTTTATCACGGCGTCAATGTCTTTAAATACTTTAAATATTTATAGATTTTAAATAGTTCTTGACTTTTAAAAACAATGTATTTATTAGAATTATTTATTATTATTTATTCGAGATTTAAATTCTAAAATCAAATATTTAATTATAATTTTAATAATAAATAAAAAATTAATATTCTAAAAATGAAATTTATATATTATTAAAAATATAAAAATAATTAATTTATTTCAAATATCAAATATCAAAAAATTATAATATCGAGGTAAATCTCATTTTGATTGAATTATTTTTATATCTTTATATTTATAATTTAATATTTAATATATATATAAATCTCTTTAAAGTGATCAACCGTTCAATCAATTAATTAACAATTATAAGATCTTAGATTCTAAAAATCAATTGAATCTTATTATCTAATTTTTCTAACAATTTATGAAATTTATATCATAAGAATATTAATACACGGTTAGGTTAAGCCGCAATGCAAATATTAAGGAAGTGAGTAGTCTTCTGATTTCGTTTCGGTTTCGGTTTTTCGTACTCACTTTGGTTATAAGGAAGGAAGGATGGGATGGGGTGGATGGAAGGAAGGAAGGGTGGAAGGATATTTATTGTGTGTTGGTTTCGGGCGGAAGAAAATATTCAATTGTGTTTTGATTATATTTGAGTTGTATTTATATGTATTTGCATATGCGAGGAATGGGGATATGCGATATTGTATGGAATGAAAAGATTCTTTTTGCTGTGGATTTGTTCATCTTAATTGGATACTTCAAAATTCCTTTTCTGTGAGAGGGATGATAATAATATCAGACATTAATTGATTGAGAGGGACAAATAAAAAGATGAGGTGGTAATATGGATATGTACAATCATTAGATGATTTCATATCATCTTACTTTTCGTCTTTACTTTCCTTCTTATCTTCTTTTTTTTCATCACTCTTTTCCTCATCCTCAGATTCATCTTCCGCCTCTTCTTCCTCTGCTGTCTTTTCCTCTTCAGCCAACTTTGCCCTCCTCATCTTCTCCTCTTGTTCCAATGCAAGCCATTGATTATCCCTATCCTCCTTGATATAATCTACGGAACTCTTCAATTGTCTATCGTGGGTAACAATTCTTCCTCTACCCACCAAACTTGCTACAATGGCCGCTCCAACAATAAATGTCAATACAAATCTATATGTGCTGTACCAAGGAGGACACCATCCTCGAACTGTTGCTCGCGCATCCGTGAAATATAGGAATGTGAAGGCGGTAAATTGGGTAATTAGTGCGTATTCGACTGGCATAAGGATAGTGGGCCATGCCACTGCTGGAGCTACAACTCCGATCATGTATCGACGATAGCTGTGGTTTCCGCCATAGCCTGCATATTCGAGACCCCAATGAATAGCACCAAGGAAAGAAATAATCTGACAGGAGATTTAGCATTAATTGATGGATTGGAAAGAAATAAAACTCACAACAGCGCCATATCCAACTTGAATAGGTGTAATATAATCCAACAATTGATGAGCCGTCTCCGGTGAAAATAAAATCCCTTGTCCAGTAGCATGGGCATGATTAATATCATAAGCCAAATAGATTGTAGAGGCTGATGTAGCAGCATAGGGTAAGACACCCGCCGCACCAATTATTAGAGATTCCCGAGGAACTTCTCTCAAAGCGAAAGTTTCCTTGATAGTTTCCAAATCATCTCTTACCGATCCATGGCTTTCATGATGTGGCTTTTCCTCGAATACAGGACGAACGGAAGATTTTAATGATACGGCTTCGGGATGTGGTTCAATGGTTTGCTTCTTTAAGGCGGCTTCTTCTTCGGTATTTATTTGGTCGGGTATGTATGGAGGTTCGGATTTGGTAGCGTAGAAGAGACGGGAAGGGAGTGCTGAAGAAGGTCGTTTGGGAATTGAGGTGCGGAAGGTAGATGCAGTGTTGAGGGCTGAGGTGGTTTTAGAATAGGTTGCTCGAGAGGTGGGAAGTTTTGTGAAGCTCTTTAGAAGAGAGCGTGTGGCAGTTGTGCGAAGCATGGTTTTGGGTTTTGGTTTGTATGGCTTGAGACCTTGCTCCGCGCTGTTTGTTCGTGTGATTTGGTTCAAGAAGAAGTATTTCAATATTAATTTCTAGGAAGGGGTGTCGTGAGTAGTATGAAAAGTTATTGGGAGGAAAGCAAACAAGAAACCAAAGAATAATGGAATTGGTTGAATACTTGTAGTCTTCCTGGAGCTGATTAGAAAATACCTCGAAAGCAACAAACCGGGAAAATTTGATGGAGCTGCTTTGGAGGGGTAGTTTTGAATATATGGTGGGAACGATTACATAGAAGAAACTGCCTACTCAGGTAAATGTGTTTGATTGATACCAGTAAGAATCACGATAATGCAACAGATTGGTTTCGTAATAAACTTTTCCTATACTGTCTGGGTAAGATCTTCATCTCAAGTTTCATGCAGAGAAGAATTCGAAATTATCTCCTAATACGTCATCATTTGATAGCTCTAGCTGTGCCAACTCCACCATAAAGAAATGAACTGAATACAATACTAATATTGCAAGGTGTGCAAGGGTCAACAGAGGTGGTCAGCTCTCAGGATTTTGGAAGGATGGGAAGAATTTCAGGTTTTTATATTCAATGATTGATTTTTACGTGGCATTTTATGTATGACCACTCGAGTATATACACAGGTGCTTTTAAACTATGTTCATTATGTTCAAAGTGGATTCCGACACTCTACATCGTTACAATAAGTGGTTGACTTTCCGATCCTGACTTGACCATTCATTCGTGATTGCCTTTATTGATGTCGATTGAATCCCAAACGCGTGGGACATTTGGTGATTTTAAGATACCCCTCTCATATGATACATCCATCCACTCTTACCGTCACCATCAATACCTAGGTACATTACGATACAACAGAACGAATCGAGATCCGCCACGAAACACCAAGAACGAATCGATCCAAAAGTAATGGATTAAACGATCGCGAGTCTATCTGCCCCACGATAATCTTCACAAATTCACCGTTGCGGATGCCATCAACCATTCTTCGAGCAAATTAATCCAAAGCTTCCCGGCCCGGGTTACGGCAACAGGGCTCAAGATGTTGGAAGGTTTGGTTGCATCGTTACTCAATCGATTCCTGGGTATGTATATACGGAATTTCGATCCTGGTCAACTGAAAGTGGGAATCTGGTCGGGGGATGTTAAGCTACGAGATTTGGAGCTACGGCGGGAGGCGCTGGATCAGTTAAAGCTGCCTATAAATGTGGTCGAAGGACATTTGGGACAACTTACTTTAAAGATACCATGGTCGAATCTGCGAGGTCAACCGGTTCAAGTCGAAATCGAAGATATCTATGTGCTTGCATCGCCGAAGGAAGATGCAGAGTGGGATGAAGAAGAGGAGGAGAGGAGAAGGCAGGCTGTTAAGATTGAGAAGTTGGATAGTGCCGAGATGTTGAAGGATCGAAGTCAAGAGGGCATGAGTTTGGAAGAACAGCAGAAGAACCAGAGCTTTACGGATAGTCTGGTTACTAAAATCATCGACAATCTCCAAATCACGGTCAAGAATATTCACGTACGATATGAAGACTCGATTTCAGCGCCTGGTCACCCATTTGCTCTCGGTCTTACATTACAAGAGTTCAGTGCTATTAGTACGGATGGTAATTGGAAGCCGACATACATACAAAACTCTTCTGGAACCACACATAAACTTGCCACTCTGGGTGCTTTAGCTGTGTATTGGAATACGGATACCGAGTTGCTGAGTACTGGAAGGGAAGCAGAGGTAGCTGAATCTACCGGGATTGCGTCGCATGATGAAATGTTGTCGAGTTTTAAAGAGATGATTGTGCGAGGCGAAGATCCAAAACATGCCAACCATCAATTTATTCTGAAGCCTGTTAGTGGCCAGATGAAGCTGGAGATGGATAAGAGTGGTAAGATAGAAGTACCCCATATGAAAGCCGGGCTGTTGTTCGATGAAATTGGAGTTGTTCTTGATGATAATCAATATCGGGATGCGTTAATGATGGTCGACTTATTCCATTACTTTCTCCTTCATCAGGAATACAAAAAATTCCAACCAAAAGGTGTTCGACCAAAGGAAGATCCACGGGCTTGGTTCAAATTCGCTGGTAATGCTATCTTAAGTAAGATTCATGAGCGCAATCGTCGTTGGTCATGGGCCTACTTCAAGGAGAGAAGAGATGATCGGATTCGGTACATTGAGCTCTTCAAGAAAAAGAAGAAGCAAGCCGAACCATTATCACCCGATGAAACCGATGAATTGGATCGACTTGAGTGGAAACTCGATTATGAAGATATGCGCTTCTGGAGATCCTTGGCTAGGAACCAATTGAAGAAAGAAAATGTCGGTATCAAAAAGGCAGCACCGAAGCAAAAGCAAGGCTGGGTTGCATGGGCCTGGGGATCGAAACCACAAGCCCAGGAGGAGGACGAAGAAACGACTATGACCGAGGAACAGCGGAAAGAGCTTTATGATGCCATTGATTGGGACGAGAAGACAGCCATTGCGGAAAGTGTTGATTTACCGAAAGAGACGATTAAGATGCAAATCGAGGCATCACTCAATACCGGTAGCTTTACCCTGAAGCGTGATCCTCATAATCATACGGTCGAAGTTCTCAGCCTTTACTTTGATGCCTTCAAAGCAAAATTCCTACAGCGACCGGATTCAATGTTGGCGGATATAAGTCTTGGTGGCCTGAGAGTGAACGATGGCACGAGCCCTGAAAGTTTGTTTCCTCAAATAGTTCGTGTCAAAGATGCTCCTGAAACTCCTAAAGCCAAGCTTTTGCTTAATGGCGATGAAGACAAATCAGACGATACTCCTGATCCATTCTTCCAATTCCAAGTCGAAACAAATCCCTTGAACGATGCTGGTGATGTCGCAGTAACCGGAAAGCTCAAACCGCTTGAGATTATTTGGAATCCTCATTTCCTTGTGGGTATAATACAGTTTTTTAAGCCACCAGAAAGACACATGGAGTCTATTGGAGCTCTCATGGAATCCGCGGGAGCAACAGTAGAAGGACTCAGGCAACAGACCAGAGCAGGTCTTGAGTTTGCGCTTGAGGAGCACAAAACAATTAACGCCAAGTTGGATCTTCAAGCACCTCTTATCATTGTGCCCGAAAACATAACCTCGAGGAAAACGACTTGTCTTATTCTTGATGCCGGTCATATCAGTGTGAACAGTGAACTTGTGGATGAGGAAACAATGCGCGAAGTGCAATCAAAGCAGAAGACGGTTTATACCGAGGCAGATTACAAGCGCCTGGAATCTCTCATGTACGATAGATTCGTGGTCAAGCTTTCCAACACACAAGTTCTTATTGGACCGTCCATTGAGGTTACGAAAGCACAAGTGACGGCAAAGGATGATCCTCACTCGATGCGCGTTGTCGAGAAGATTAATATCGATTTCATTGTCGAAACATCAATCATACCCAAAGCGCCAAATTTGACAAAAGTAAGAGTCTCGGGTCATCTTCCTGTACTACATGCCTCTGCTTCGGACAAGAAATATAAAAGCTTAATGAGTATTATCAATGCCGCTATTCCAAATATATCTGCGGAAGAGCTTCCAGCACAGACATTAGCAAAAAGTCGTCGACCTTCGAATCTGTCGATACGAGCGCCTTCATCATCGAAGCAACAAAAAGATCGGACACAATCTATGTCGTTTAATTTCTCCAGGCAAGAGGCTATAATTCTCCAAGACGAGTCATCTGATGATGACGAGGAGGACGAGGATGAATTCCAAGACGCCCCCAGTGGTAAAGAGAGTGATAAACTCAAGTTGGAACAAAAGGATTTCGAGCTCAAATTTGAAGTCGAGCGCCTTCAGGGTTCACTTTATAGAAGTGATCCAGAGGGCAGGAAGCCAGATCAACTTTTGGTGGAAGTAGTCGCCGAGAATTTTGGTGTGAATTTTGTTCTTCGTCCGTACGATCTCATCGTGGAAACCTCCCTGCAATCTGTAGTCGTAGATGACTATGTTGATAACCCTCCTGCGGAGTTCAAGTCAATAGTTTCTTCTGGGGACATGGAGTCAGAAGACGAAACTGCTCTTATCAACGTCAAAGTGGTAAAGGTAAACCCCAATTCGCCCGAGTTCATGCCAAAATATGACGGAGTGGAGATTAATGTAGATATTTCTGTCTCTACAATCAATTTGGTGGTTACTCGCAAGACGCTGTTGACTCTGCTTGATTTCATCTTGATTACATTTACGAACCAAGATGGTCCTCAGAAAATAAACGAATCTGCTGATGAAACTTCAGATGATCTGTTGGCTTTGTCAGATGGGTCGCCCTCCGAAGAGGAGGTAGTGCTATCTCCCAAAAAGACTGAATTATCAGTTCGCGTCAAGGTTGACCTGAAGAGCATACGCTTGATCCTCAACAATGACGGCATCCGATTGGCTACGCTGTCATTTAACCATGCAGACGTAGGAATTTTTATATTGGGCAATACCATGCGAATTGGTGCAAAGCTGGGCGATTTATCTTTACTCGACGATGTTAACCTAGGAGCCTCCAGCGAGTCGAATCTCCGAAAATTGATAGCTATCGAAGGTGATGACTTGGCGGATTTCCGATATGAGACTTTTGATTCTGAAAGCAGTTCATATCCAGGATATGATTCGTCGATCTACTTGCGCGCGGGGTCTATTAAAGTAAATTTCCTTGAGGAACCGTACCGTAAGATCATCGAATTTTTGGTCAAGTTTGGGAAGATGCAAGCTCTCTTCAATGCTGCTAGACAAGCTGCAGCGAACCAAGCTTCACAGCTTCAGCAAAGTACTAGCCGCATCAGATTCGACGTCAATATTAAGACGCCGATCGTTGTTTTCCCTCGTGTCATGAATGCGGGTAGTGGTGAGAGGGACTTGTTGACCGCTTATCTTGGAGAAATTTATGCAGAAAACAAATTCGTCCCACTCGGCGATTCAAAAGACGCGACTATTGCAATGAAACTCACGGCTGGAATCAGGAACATTCGGTTGACATCCGATTTCCATTTCCCCGATGAGAAGACAGAAGAGCTTGAGCTCATTGACAAAGTTGATTTGGGTTTTTTGGTCACTTATGCCGAGCATATTTCTGGAGCGCTTCGTCCGGATATGGAGATCGAAGGTCACATGTCTGACTTTAATCTGCGAATTACACAAACGCAATTGAAGTTCCTCCTTGAGCTGGCGAAGTCCGTTCCAGGCGCTTTCATGGTGGATTCAGATGACAGCGAACAACAAGCTGCGGAGGACGTACCCAGCGCAACGACGAAGAAGGCAAAAGCAATAACGCAAAAATCGTCAGATGATCATAATAATGAGCCGGTTGATCTCGGTCCGGAACTGGGCTCCAACTCACAGAGCTGGACTAAGCTTGACTTGGTTTTCCATGTTAACACGATCGGTCTCGAACTCGTCTTAGCAAAGGAACACGAGCCAATTGGTGATCTTGAGGCCGCAAGTTTATCGAAATTCTCCATGGACGACACGAAGGTCAAACTCCGAATGATGACAGATGGCTCATTGGAATCAGAGTTCTTGATACACGCTTTCACAATTCAGGATAGTAGGAGTAGAGAGACAAACAAGTTCCGCAAGATCATGACATCTTCAAACAAGGACGTACAACAGTTCATGGCTAGCATTACTATTTCGGGGGGACAAGAACGCAACCTCATTGCTATTTTGTCGATAGATAGTCCAAAGGTTATCTTTGCTCTGGATTATCTTTTCGCCCTCCAGGCATTCATTACAGCGGGTCTAGCGGTAGAAGAGACTATTTCACCAGATGACGAGGACGAGTCGACAGAATCCGAGCCTGTCTCCGATGCGGATTCTATGCAGGTAGTCAGGTCGAAGACGACAGAAAGTCGAGCAAGATCTCCGAGCAAAACACCTAGTAGCAATACACCTAGTCAATCGACTTCTTCGTCCGATCAACCTTCCATGTCAATTGCATTTAGGGTGAACGTCGTGGATGCACAAATTATATTGATCGCAAATCCACTCAGCACAAGTTCCGAAGCGATTGTACTTGGTACGAAGCAAATTCTTATGTCACAGCAACATGCTCTTACACTGCAGGTCTCTGAGATGGGTATGTTCTTATGTCGAATGGATAAATTTGAGGATACTCGCCTGAGGATTCTTGATGACTTCTCTCTCCAAATGTCAATTGATAGTTCAAAGCCAAACGCTCAGAGTATTTATCTTGATATTGAACCTCTTGTTCTTCGGTTATCGCTGCGTGATATTTTACTAGCAGTCCAAATTGTTCAGAGAGCATCCGAGCTTTCTGGCAATGATGATGAACCTGGGGAGAAGAAACCAGTTGCATCTGATGTCAAGGCCAAACAGCTACATAGTTCCTCGGGCCTCAAACAACGAACAGCTAGCGGTAAAGGTGCATCAACAATGAAGAAGACCAATGCTGGCACTGTTGCTATGTCTCAACAAACCCCCGCTCCACAGATCAGTACGCAACAAGTCCACAAAAAGCATGAAGAACTGACTGCAACACTGGCTGGGATGAGACTCATTCTAATTGGCGACCTCCACGAATTACCCATTCTTGATCTTAGTGTGAAGAAATTCACGACTTCTGCTACTGATTGGTCGGGCAAACTCCGAGCTGATACAGCCATCAATATGTTCATCAATGTCTACAATTTCTCAAAGTCAGCGTGGGAGCCTCTCATTGAGCCTTGGGAGTTGGGTCTGCTGGTAGCTAAGGACTCGAACCCAGATTGTATGTCTATTGACTTAATTTCGAAAAAGACGCTTGAGATCACTGTCACATCTGCTACTATTGCACTAGCGTCGAAATCTGCGCAATTCCTCACTCAATCTGACGACGTACTATCGAAACCGAGAGGAGCCGATGCTCCATATCGTATTCGAAATTACACTGGCTTTGACATTAATGTATGGGCAGATGTTCCTGATGCTGATAATACCATGGCCGCCACACTGGAAGATGGAGAAGAAGCACCTTGGCGATTCGAAGATTGGGAAAAGATGCGTGAAAATCTCGCGCCTGAGAATACCAGTGGATTTGTGGGAATACGATTGGAGGGAAGTGGATTCGATAGTCTGAACAAGATCCCGGTTAATCGTGAAGGTGAAACTTTGTACAGTCTGCGACCTCGCAAGGATAAGATTTTACACCGGCTGCTTGTCGAAGTCACTTTGGGTACAGATAACGTCAAGTACATCACCTTTCGATCTCCACTTCTAGTAGAGAATAAAACACAAATTCCTGTGGAGCTAGGGGTCTTTGATTCTCAGGAGGGCCACTTGCTCAAGATTGAAAAGATTGCACCGGGGGAAAGTCGACCTGCGCCTGTCGGAGCGGCATACATGAAATCGTTACTCGTGAGACCAGATCAGGGGTTCGGATACTCTTGGTCTACAGAATCGCTCTTTTGGAAAGATCTTCTTAAAAGACCTACCAGAACGATTACTTGCAAGGGTGAAAATGGTGATAAGACGCCTCCATTCTATTTTCAGATGAACGCCACTTTCGATAACACTACACCTATTACAAGGTAAGAGCATCCATCCCATTGATTGACCTGAATTGAGCTGACAAATTGTAGTATTTATCCTTACATGCGTATTCGACTTTCAGCACCCATCGAACTTGAAAATCTGCTACCGTACGACTTCAAGTATCGCATCTATGACAAAAACACGAAGAAAGACTGGACGAACTTTCTTCGTAAAGGTGGTCTAAGTCCTGTTCATGTCGTCGAACTTTCGCACTTGCTACTCATGAGCATCGACATGCAAGACACAGTATTCAAAGCTAGCGAGTTTGCAATCATCAATTCAAATAATCAAGATGACTTCCGAAAGGAGACTACACTCGTCTGTAAGGATCGTGATGGACTTGCTTTGAACCTCAAACTGCATTATTTCAAGATTCCAGATAGTGGAGGAGCATTTAGAGTAACTGTCTACAGTCCTTATGTTATCCTAAATAAGACCGGACTGGAGATCAACATCAAACAGAAGTCATTGTTGCAGCAAGCAAAGACGGCGGCCGGTCAAGGGTTTCGTACAGATTCGGCTGATTCAGAACGACGTAAGGCACTTCCTTATATGTTTGCATATGGCGGAGATGATCAGAGGAATCGTGCTTTATTGAAGGTTGGCGACTCAAATTGGAGTAAGCCACAAAGTCTGGATGCCATCGGTAGTAATGTCGATGTTGTTTTATCTTCCTCTAAAAATAATACCGAGATACACGTGGGTATCAGTGTTGAATCAGGAGAGGGCAAATACAAAATGACCAAGGTAGTCACTCTTGCTCCCCGCTTCGTTCTGAAGAATCAGATGAACGAGGAAATAAATGTTAGAGAACCCGGGTCGTCTGAACTCTGGACTTTGAAGCCACAGGCTCTAGAACCTCTTCATTTCCTCCAGAAGAGCCCCGTCAAGCAACTTACACTATGCTTCCCTGGACTAAATAACCAGTGGTCGTCGCCATTCATAATCTCAAATCTTGGAATTACACACGTGAAATTGGCTAAGGCTGGCCAACGACAAAAGCTCATTAGAGTCGAAATCCTCATGGAAAATGCTACAATTTTCTTACATATCAGCGCCGAGACTAAGAATTGGCCATTCTCTATGCGAAACGAGAGTGATACGGAATTCATGTTCTTCCAAGCAAATCCTAATCTAGACGATGAAGACGTTGAGGACAGGTCTGGATGGCGTCCAATAAGATATCGTTTACCCCCTAGAAGTATCATGCCGTACGCATGGGATTATCCTGCTGCTAAACAAAAGGAGCTCATCATTAATGCAAACGGAAGAGAGCGCCACATAAAACTTGCAGAGATCGGTAATCTCATTCCTATGAAGATTGGAGGAGATGATCCTCACCCCAAGAACCAAAAGATCATTGACCTGAATGTTGCAGCAGACGGTCCAACACAAACACTCATTTTGTCCAACTACAAAGCATCGAAGAGTTTGTACAAGCAGAAGTCAAGAACAAATTCTTCGGTCAGTGTTGCAGGAGGATTTGAGGTCAAAAGCCAAGATACTGCCGTCAACTTTAAAGCACAACTCAAACTTGGTGGTATTGGTATCTCACTGGTCAATGCTCAGCTCAAAGAACTTGCTTACATCACTTTGCGTGATATCGCACTCAAATACGCCGAGTCACCTCTATATCAAACAATCACTGCCTCTATCAAGTGGATACAAATCGATAATCAACTTTATGGTGGAATTTTCCCAATGATTCTTTATCCTAGTGTGGTTCAAAAGGGTACTAAAGAAACGGAAGCTCATCCATCTCTTCATGCTATGGTTACCAGAGTGAAGGATGATTCTTATGGAGTTATCTACATCAAATATGCAACAGTCTTGGTGCAGCAAATGACTCTCGAAATTGATGAAGATTTTGTTTGGGCAGTTTTGGAATTCTCCAAGGTACCTGGAGCAGCCTGGTCAGAAACACATGAGGGTGTACTTTGCGACGAGAGTCTCGATATCCCAGAACCAAAACAAGAACAATCTGGTCAGGATATCTATTTCGAGCTTCTGAACATTCAACCCATGCAGCTTGATTTGTCTTTTGTTCGTACCGATCGAGTTAATGTTGAGGATAAAACATCGTCGAAGAATCCTCTAATGTTCTTCATGAATGTTCTAACTATGGCTATCGGTAATATCAATGATGCCCCCGTCCGTATGAATGCTTTGATGTTGGAGAATGCAAGAGTTTCTGCCGCCGTTCTCATGATGAATATCTCCAATCATTATTCACAGGAAGCACTTTACCAAGTCCATAAGATTTTAGGTTCCGCTGACTTCCTTGGAAATCCTGTCGGATTGTTCACCAACATCAGTTCTGGTGTTGCAGATATCTTCTATGAACCATATCAAGGTTTCATTATGAACGATCCCGAGCAACTTGGCATTGGTATCGCAAAGGGTGCCACCAGTTTTGTCAAGAAATCAGTATTTGGTGTTTCGGACAGTTTTTCAAAGTGGACTGGTAGTATCGCAAAAGGACTTGCAGAAGCTACTATGGATAAGCAGTTCCAGGACCGTCGTCGTATGACTAGATCTCGAAATCGACCCAAGCATGCTCTATATGGTGTTACGGCAGGTGCCAATTCCTTGTTAACGAGTTTTGCAAGTGGTGTAGGCGGATTGGCTCGCAAGCCTCTTGAAGGAGCGGAACAAGAAGGTGCTGCAGGTTTCTTTAAGGGTGTTGGGAAAGGTCTTCTTGGTTTTGCTACTAAACCAGCCATTGGTGTTTTCGACCTGGCTTCCAATGTGAGTGAAGGTATCCGCAATACCACGACAGTTTTCGACGATAGTGGACTTGATCGTGTGCGTCTCACACGTTTTATCGGAGCAGATGGTATCGTGAGGCCTTACTCCCAGCGTGAAGCTCTCGGACAATTCTGGCTCAAACAGCTTGATAATGGGAAATATTTCAACGAACAATATATTGCGCACCTGGAACTTCCGCGCGAGGATGTCGTGGTCATGTTGACTTATTCGCGCATCATGTTGGTTAAGAGTAAGAAGTTGACTAGTGAGTGGGATGTGCCGCTTAAGGATATTCAGACGATTAGTAAGGAGAGGACGGGGTTAAGCTTGACGTTGAGAGGGGGAACGAATGGACCGTTTATTCCAGTGGCAGAAGAGAGTTCTAGGAACTTTTTGTATAGGAATATTGGGGTGGCGGTGGGAGAATTTAATAAAAAGTATAAGGCTACGGAGTAGAAGGTGGAATTTCGATGATGGGAGAGCTTTCGACGGGGTGGATAGTATGGGAGATGCGAGGAGCTTGTAGAGTGCCCAATTGAGCAATTAAGCTGGAGATATGAAATGAGATAGTTGTATGATGGGTGGATGATTGCAATGATGGTGGGAGGTATGTTTGCTGATGGGATGGGATGGGAGTTGTGGGTGTGGGTGGATATGAATACGAATACACACGGATTATAAAATATATTAAGATAAACTACTTCTGCTTTGTTAAAGAAAACGTAGAGATTTGAGAATATGAATATGAATACCTATGAACATGAATATCTTTTCAAGTTATTCTTTTATTAAAGGACGTGTATTGTTGGTTTGTAAATTGTAATACTATGTTCTTTGTTAAGTATAGTAGAGCTTATTTATTATAACTGATCAATTAATTATCTTAAGAAAAAACTCGTTGAATATATGTTATTTTATTAAACCCCTGAGTATGGATGGATCACCGGGCAGATCAATTAGATCAGAGCAACCAAGTCAATCGACCAAGTCAATCCCAAACCAAACCAAGCAAAAGCAAATTAACTTATATGCCACCAAACCGTAACAACTAGTCATTCAACGCTTATCTTTTAAATTTATCATGGAGGGCTAGATAGATAGATAGATAAATAGATAGATATTATTATTCAATTTTTTTTAATGCTATCTCCTATTTTCATTGTGTTATGTTTGATTGCGTGATCGCTGAAATGCAAATGCTCAAAGAATCCTCTCGTCCGCGGGTGACCGGTCGGTTTATCTTGATATTCAATATCATGCATCCACAGATCCATCCATCCATCTATATCCACGAAATGTGAGGGAGGAAAAGAGGGAGATGGAAAGAGAGAAGATCGTCTAAAATCTCGAGGTGATTTTGTGAGGTATGAAGGGTATGACGGGTTGAGCGTATGAAGTGAAATGGAAAAGATGGTCATTATTGAGAGACCTTGGTAGCTGTCATTTCGAGGCGTTATGGTGGCCTGAGAGTAGAGACAAAAACGAGTTTTGGAACAAGAATGCTGAACTCTAGAAATTACCATTCGTATTCTCCGGTGGCTTTATGGAAGACGTATTCCTTTCCATTGACGGTAAGGACACCATCTTTCATGACACACTTCCTGTGGAATTTGTTAGCATGGGTACGTTATAAGAAAGGTAGATGAAAATTAGGGGTAAGTAAAGGGATAGAGGACATACCACTTGTTTTTGACTCGTTGCACTTTGTCATACATACAAAGCATAATATGACCCATACCCTCATCCTCATCCTCATCATCATTCAACGCGTCATCAGGATCATCCAAATCAGAATTAATTGCATCCTCATCTAATTCATCCTTAAGCTTATCGTCGTCATCGTCAGAGCCGGGACCATCTGTTTGTGACAATGAGCCTGGTAAGATCTTACGCTGGCGCTTGGCTGAGGAGATTTTATTGGCTTCTTTGAGGGGAAGCATTAGACCACCACCTTCCATAGCCTTACCCATGGATTCAATCTTGCTGCGGATAAGATTGTCAATTTCGACCCGGCCCATGGCAATCTCATTTCCTTGTGAATCAAATTGCTTGGCAACCCCAATAGTTTCATCAGAATCGTCACCAGCCCCATCGGTTTGTGCACTTCCAACTCCACCCTGGGGATTTTGAGGATTCTGAGGGGCTTGTGCAGCTTGGCCATTTTGACCGTTCTGATTATTCTGAGGGTTCTGAGCATTCTGAGCATTTTGAGTATTTTGAGCATTTTGAAGTCTCTGCTGCTGTTGCTGTAACTGTTGAGCCTGTTGAGCTGCAATGCTTTGTCTATAAGCAGCTGCAGCTGCTTGACTTTGCTGACTCTGAGGTTGTCCTTGTGGCTGTTGTGGCTGGGATTGAGGAGGTAAGCTGCTAACTGGTCTCTGCTGTTGCTGCTGCATTGATTGCATCTGTAAATGTTGTTGTTGCTGTTGCGCATGCAGAGATTGTTGTTGAGGGGTCAGTTGGGACATAGGTTGCTGCTGCGGTGCACCACCTCCTCCTTGAATGGACTGAATCGAAGCAGCGGCTCTCTGTCCATAAGATGCATGAAGATTTTGAGCAGCACGTTGTTGAGCAGGTGTAGCATTGGGCATAGTCATAAGAGGATTTTGAGGAGGTGGCTGTGACATAGGGACGGGCATGAAGCCTGAGTTCTCCATACCAGGTTCGGTTTTAATACGAGGTCCATTAGGCATTGGAGTTTGATATATTGGTTGACCGGGAGGAATGCCTGTATGCTGATAGTTTGAAGGTACCATAGGGGGATTTTGCATAGGCTGATCAGGCTTTGGATCCCAAGGAAACAAAGCAACTTGAAGTTGTGACAACTTGGTTTGCCATCCCTTTGTAGCGGATTAGTAACATTTCCTACTAACTTATCTTGCGAATTTAGGAGGTTGAAAATATTCATTTGAAAAAATGAGACTATGTTCAAAGCCGCAATGAAGTGAACTACTTGCTACTGCATATGTTGCGGAAGCACACAATGTCTCTCGAGTACCACGTGATACAAAAGACCGAAAGAGACTAGTGTGTATAGACTAGTGCAAGAAAAGCCTTTTCACAACCGAGAGGCTGAGTATCAAGGGTATAAAGCCAAATACAGAGGATCGCCCACCCGCAAAACTGGCCCGATTGTGCACAGGCATCAGTTAAGCAGCAACAAAGATCCTCATCACAGCAACATCCCAACACAGTGATATATATTAATGTTCATCGAAATCAAAACCATTCGAAGATGAACAATCGTCAAAGAAGAAAAGCAAATAAAGAAATGAATTGAAAAGATGTTGTCGAAAATGCGATCGCAAACCCTCGAAACGGTAGGAAGAGGGGAAAGAAGTCTAAAGAAACGTACCTTTCTCAATTCCTCCAACACTGCTTCATCAACTCCTCCCTCCTCGAAGTCGACTCTGGAGCTATCCACTACATCTGCGATAATCTGCTGGTAAACATTTCCGACTTGAGTATTCGACATCTTGTTGTTGCGTTGCGTGGGCACAATAGAAGGATCGGTCGTGTGTACAAGGTGGATTCGTCTTCAATTACTTCTCCGATGACTTTATTTTTTACGCGCGAGTAATTATCGATCTTGCAGATGTTGCGCTTTCAATTCTCATTACTTCTGCTAATATAAATTGAAGATCGGAGGCTGCTGAAAGAGGTAGGTCGTGGGAAGTTGTTGGATGGATTGTACTGATTGTACTGATTGTTTCCAGCTTGTGAAGACGGTCGCTGACTCGCAACAACAATTGCACTCTCCACACTTATTTTCAGATTCGTAATTGTATTGCCACTTTTTGATTGACTTGAAGATCTTCTTTGTTTATTTTATGGAACTTTGTAAACAAATTTAATGGGGATTCTGAAAGGTAAAATGATGTTGCTCAGTCCTGACTTGTGGAGTTGTATGGGGGAAGACCGCTTTGGTAGAGATATGGATAACCTTAGCCGCTTTCGCTTATATAAGACTTAAAAGAGAGCCTGAAGGCTAAGTCTGTCTTTGTCTTTCTCTTTATTTCTGTCCACTACCTCTGTCCACCACCTCTATAGCTACTTGAGTCTTGAGGATACTTACAAATCTAAAATAAATTGATTCTGAATTTATGAATTATTGAATTCACAGAGTGTTTACTGTTGATAGGCGTTTTCAGAATCTGATTGTGCTGTACTCTTACAAGTATCATCTTTGTTATGTTGAACCAATTTGTTGATCAATTATCACTTCCATCCTTCTATGTCTAGTGCTTGTTTGAGTCTTCAGAGGCTGAAATCCGAATTACCAGACGGGCCAGAGATCCACTTAACACGCGTACCCTCAATTTGGTTCAAGTAATTTACATTTCCTAATTAAAATAACTAACACATAGAGTCCCGTTCCAAAAGGTGTACGCCAACCAACTATATAACCACCAGAGGTATCCATTCATTCATCGTCAAAGCATCAACTCGCACCAGGTGAAGCACTTTCTGCCATGGGCTATTGTGAAGATCGAAATCCACCAAACACCACGCTAAAACATCCCAATCGCTAAATGCTATTATGGAATTTTGCTTGATACTTTACCTGTAGCTCCCGAGAGCTATTCTTGACCTATCTATCTGATAGTCATTTGCTTGACCATGTCGGCCTTGCCAGAAGAACCAGCTGATGCAGATGCACTTGGGCCAGACTTCTTCTCGAATACCTTCCAGAATTTTAAGCTCTCATCAGCAGCTAATGATTATTAGTGGTATTCAATTTATTAGGCAGAGGGAAAATCTTACCAGCTGTTGCGAGCATTTGTCCATCCGGGCTAAGACAGCTGTGTAGGACTCTGGTCTCGTGTGCTGGAATCTCAACATTGCGAACCAAGGTTGGGTAGCTCCAGATGCTGATAGAGTTGTCAGGGAAGCCACTGGTGCTGACGATCTCGCGGTAATGAGGGCTCCATCGGAGACTGGTGACTTGGGAACCAGTATCGATGCTGTTGACACGTGCGCCAGTTGTGGTATTCCAGAAGTGAATGTGGCGGTCGTATGATCCACCACCAGTTGCCAAAACGTTTGGTTGCCATGGGCACCAGCTGAGAGCCTTGACAGCAGCCTTGTGGTTGGTCTTGGTGAACTTAGGAACAGCCAATGAACGAGCATCCCAGATAGAGACCAAGTTGTCGTTACCGCCGGTAGCAAGTTGAGCACCATCGGCACGCCATTCCAAACCACAAACCTCAGAAGTGTGAGAAACCAACTCGGCAACCTTGTGTTGAGCAATGCGAACATCGTGGTTGAAGACAAGGCCGCTTCGTGCACCAGTGGAAAGAGTGTGCTTGTTCCATCCCATAACACCAACACGAGTATCGTGTCCGTGCATGCTTCTGAGCTTAGTGCCTTCTTCGACATCCCAGATTTGAACTTCTCCGGAACCGAGACCAACACTGACATATGCTCCATCACCAGACCACTTGACACTGCTAACATAGGTATCTGGGCTGGTTTCGAGAAGAGAGCTGACAGTACCAGACTCAGCAGACCAGACATAAACATTGCGTTCAAGACCAATGGCAACTTGATTGTTGGAGCTCCAGTCGAGAAGGTTCAAGTAGTAATCGTCAACAAGACCAGGTGCATCCAATACACGCTCTGGTGCAGTTGCGATACGGCGTCTGAATTGAGCAGCGGTAGCGTTAGAGTTCTTGAGAGGACGGTTGTATTGAGATCTGAGGTCAACTGGCTTCGAAGATTCAGGAGCAGCAGGCTTGAAAGCAAGAATTCTTTGGCCTTGAGAAATACCACAAGCAGATGCCAAGGAGTCTTGGTATGCAATGGTGTTTGGAGATGGGCGGGAGTATGAAGCTGGTTCTTCTTCATCATCCAAGGTCAATGATTCAAGAGCAGTAAGGGCATCACCAGCACCTGATGCGAGGACTGAAGAGCTTTCGTTGATGCTTTTTGGTCTTTGTTTCTCGGCAAAGTCAGCTTTTCCGCAGCCAGCAGTTGTGATAGCTGAGCTTGCAGCACGATCTGGGATGAATCTGTCACCAGAATATGAGACAGTTGTCTTGGTAGACTTTGCGCGGACCGGGGCTTTTCTGGTTCGTCCACTGACAGGTGTCTTGCATCCTGTACCAGTAAGAGCAAAGTCAGAGACACCGAGCTCAAGGGCATGCCGAGGAGTTTGGACACCCTTGGCAATGTTGGACTTTGGTGAGTCGCGGTGAGATTTTCTTGATGACTTTGCGAAATGCGATGTTAGGTTTCCACCATATGTGGACTTGGATGATAGTCGTACATTTTCTTCCGATGTCTTTCTCTCAGGTGGGGTGAAAGGAGATGAGTTATTAATGGAAAGAGTCTGAGTGCGTGTGCGGGGAGATGGGGTCAAAGGCATGCGTCCGCCAGCGGTACGTGTGGAAAAGAGCCCAGCGTGGGATTTGATTGGGGTAGATACTGCAGTAGCCATTTTGCAATATCAAGGTATGATCTCGGTCGAAAGACAAATCAATGTATCGATCGATGATGGGAGTAGATTCGGTATATCGAACGAGCTCCAAGAGACTCAACCTAATGGTTCCTGGTAATTGTTTTGGGTTAGTAGAATTCGTGTTTGTGCTCGATATATCGAAAGTTCTTCTATATAAGAATGGCTTGAGTCGGATAACGACCAATGGCGTGTAACAGAGTACTAGCAGAAAGATCTAATAGACTTGAAGTATTCTTATAACTGAAGGTATGTTGTTCTTGTTGTGTATGTTTTGTATGTGATTATGATTGAGAGTGTATGTAAGATGAAAAGGTAAAGGCACGGAAGTGTAGAGAGATTGCAATGTTGCATGAGGAAGGAAAAGAAAAGTCATCGAAGAGGGAATACTCTTGAGCTTTTCTAGTCGTTTGTTTACTCCACTAGATTAGTTTGGTTGTGAGGGGCAACCATCAAGTAACAAAGAAAAGTGGTGAAAAGAATTAAAGTCAAGCCTCAGGCATGAGCAGACTGCATCAAACTGTACGGATCGCAGTTTTAATTCCGACCCGCCGAACCCACATACACAGAAACAGACAGCCAGCCACAGCCCATGAACTTCTTTCCATAGACCATAGAGCAACAAATACTCTGTACCTACTTATTACTTCAAATGTTCCATTCTATCGTCACCCGTGCATGACTTTTGATGTACACTGCACACTGTACATATACACATTCATTGTACTTTGAATACCTACCGACAAGAACCATGCAAAGTCTAATATCATCAAGAATACAACCTTATTATTGATCCATCATTTGAGTGCTAACAACCTGTGCAACCTGTACAATCTGTACAATCTTCTTTGTCTCACCCCAACAATCGAATTTCTCATACTATCTCTTTTCTTTCGTCGATTCCGTTCCTTACGGCATTTACTATTCGTCTGAGGGGGTTTTGTGCACAATTGCACAGCATCAGCTCTTTTTATCAACCAATCTAGCATGACCACATAAGATACCACCTCTTATTATGGCTCAGCCTTCTACACCCGACGGTACATCCTATTCCATCTTTGGTTCTGTCTCTACTCCTACCCAAACCAATCAACTTTCCGGAGGTCCTCCTATTACTCCAGGTGCTCCTTCAAGCAATACTTTCTTAATGCCGAATTCACCTGTGAAGAATAGACTGGGTATGGATGGGTACAGACCAAAGGTTACTAGAACTCTTGGTCAGGTAATTTTTAGAAATTCCGATACTTTGCAGACTATTTTCTAACCTAGGTATGAATTTATATAGCGCCCAGCCTGCCTTGTCAATGCCTCTGTTACATACTGCGGAAACAATCAGATATATGCGTTTGGTGGTTTTGATCAATACACCGACGAGGTCTACAATCATGTTTTGAGACTTGATCTGGTTAGTCACCAGTGGAATTTGGTTGACAATTATGGTGATATTCCAGGTGTACGAATGGGTAGGTCTTACGCGCGCTGAGTTTCTTTGTGATTCGCAGTTCTAATACATTTGGCAGGTCATACTGCTACACTTTACCAAGGCGATAAATTACTCATATTCGGTGGTGAAAATGAACATCGTACCTACCTCTCCGATCTCATCATCTTCGACCTCAAGACCGCACATTGGACACAACCAACTGTTTCAGGACCTATTCCAAAAGGAAGAGCAAGACATGCTGCTGTTTTGCACGAGGATAAACTCTTCATCATTGGTGGTATTACCGGTCACAATAACTACGTCTTGGATGATATATGCTACCTCGACTTAAAAACTTTCACCTGGTCTCGGGCATGGCGGTTCGTTGGACGATTTGATCACTCGGCATATTTATGGGGAGACAGGGTTTGGGTTTTTGGGGGACTCAGTGAAGATATGGATAAAATTGGTGATATATGGTGGTTGGATTTTAAGGGTAGCCCGGCCTTTGAATCAGCACCCTCATATGGCTCTATGGATAGGCATGCAGCTCTCAGTCGTTCGCCTCGACCTTCCTTCTCCATGTCTCAGTCAGCTGTAGGCAGCTCAGGTTATGCCGCAAATTCAAGCAGCGCACAAGTCAATCCACCTTCGTTCCAATTAACTACTTCTCCTCCTCTTGCACCTGGTACAATTTCCTCATTAAAATTCGTCTCCGGCCCCAATATACCAGCCCAAGGCTCAGGCATGCATTTCCATGTTTATACCAACGGAACTCTTCTCGATTTTGTCACCCCTGCAGCAACTATTACACCACAAGAATGTTCTTTGTCATCCCTGGAATTAGACACTTTGCGCTGGCAAAAGTTAGCAGAGGGTCGGGACATTTTTAGATCTGGTTATAGATGGCATTACTGCACCATGAATGACGAGGGTACAAAGGCTTGGCTTCTTGGTTGCCCAACAGATCCAACGGCAACAGATTTAGGTCCTGGTGGCTTTGAAGAATATCTCAGGTATGTGTTATTCATTTGTAGATATTAACTTGCTAATCATACCACTTAGTGACATAATGGAAATTGATCTTCGACGTTATGGTTTGCTCGGCAATGGCCTAAATCCCGAACCTCGAGAAGAAGCATCACGATCATCATCTTCTGGTAGGATGAAAGTCGAAATATCAAAAGGTCTTGGAATGGATTTGGCCAAAGTTTTTAATCAGCCACCAGAAAGTGGTAGTGGGGCTGATTTTATAATAACCGCATCGAAAGATGATGAATGGGATGACGATGATTCAAGCTCCAAAGGTTCCATCAATCAACTTCAGCAAAATTGGTTGGCTCCTGATGCTCCAACGTCTCCTCCAATCCACGTTCACAAACTCATCCTCCAAGCCAGGTGGCCCCACTTTGCACGCTTATACAATGCACAAATGGCAGAATTTCATACAAAGAGGATGCATATACCAGAACCATATACGGTTGTCAAGGCATTCCTCTACTATCTCTACACTGATAGTATTCATCCAGATGACTGCGCCGAATTAGATGATGTTGCAGGGCTTTTGGTCATGTCAAACATTTATAATATTCCACATCTTAGATTATTATGTGTTAATCGTTTGTCAAAGGAATTAGATGTTGATCATGCTTGTGTTATTTGGCATTCTGCTGGTATTGCTAATGAAGAATGGTTACGCAGACGTGCTGCTAGCTTTTGCCTTACGCATTGGGGGAGAGTTGTTCGAACGCCTGGATTTTTGAGGCTACCACGTCAAGCATTGGTCGAATTATCCCAGGAAATCGACATGGAAGGTCGAGTGGTAGGAGGTGAGCATTTATGATTCTTTCTTTCTCGTTGAAAATTGTCTAACGAAAAATTTCAGGTGAAGAGTTAGAATATGTTGGAGGATTAGGTGGTTCTCGTTTTGGTGTGGGTGGTATGGTGCGAAAGACCAGTGTTAGTAGCAATCATACACAAGGAGTAGGCTCGGAAGTTGATGACAATGAAGAAATGGAAATGAATTAACGAACCGGTATGGTATGGTATAAATAAATTAAGAAGGGCTGCACATAATGATAGGGCGTTGGCTATTGCAGATTTTTGCATCGGAGTGTGTTAGGGAAAGGAAAGCAAAGCATTATTAGGCGTCTGGATCATTGCTATTCTATTATAGGTAGTTATTACTGTGGAATATAGAGATACCATTTGCAATAAGAATTTCAAACAAATATTGCAGCGAAAACTTTGATGATTGATGATTGATGATTAATGATTGATAGATAAAGAGTTTTATTTATCTCGATTTATAATTAACTTTTTATATTTTGATTAAGAATAAGAGATAAGAGGAAAGTAAAGTAAAGAGGATTTTATTTTAATACTTCAATTGATTTTATTTAATTTTGAAAAAGTTATTCAATATTATTTATAGAATTTATATATAAATTTGAAAATCATTAAAACTTAAAATAACTTTTCTAAATTATTTATATTATAATTAATTGAATAAATAAAATTTTTAAATTTTAAATTATAAAAAAAACTTTTATTGATATTTTTAATTTTTATAAAAATTAAAATTTTAATATTTTGATTAATTAGATTTCTGTAAATTACTTTTTAAAATAATTTAATTTATTTAATAAATTTTGATTCAAAAACTTTAAAATAATTTATAATTTATCTTTAATTATTAATTATTAATTTATCAATATCAAAATCTTATTATATACCAGGGGCCTGCGCCCCCCGGACCCCTGGCTTTTTGAGAAAGTCTAATGAAAATTTAAATTTTAAAAAGTTTATAATAAATTTAAATATTGAATATATATATTTTTTATATCATACTTCAAATTTGATCTATTTGTAGATACATTACTACATGAGGGGTATCCATGAATAGAAGCTGCTTTAGTATTCAGTAGCACCGACCAAACTACACATTCTTAGATATCTCCTTTTATCTAACCACTCTTCCTGCTCCAAAAATGATTGGAGACCTTATTCTCTATGATTTGGACAAAAGTAGATTTCCGACTCGCTTCCCTTTCGGGCCTAGCTATGTCTCACTTCCTTTCTATTTATACCATCTTTCCTTCCTTTTCCTTTTTTCTTTCCTCCTTCATTCTTTCTCATTCCATTCCTTCAGATCCTAGACATTTCTCAATCTCTTTTTCCCTCCCATCTCCTCCTTTCATTCCATCTCATTCTATCCCTCCATCTTATCCCTCCATCTTCCCTCCATCCTCTCTCTTAATCCCTTTTCTTTCTCCACCATCCCCTCCCAACAAATAGCACAATACCCATTCCCACTTTTAATAACTCTTCTTTCGTATTTAATGTTATACTCCGGACACTTTCCCAATCTGTTGGCTGTAGGGTTTATACAGAGAATCATGTACGGTCGCCAGCTATGTGTGCAGATTCTGTAATGGTAGGTTATGCTGCGGCACATTTTGTTGTGCTTTGTTGTGTTGATTTTCGATGGTGGTGGGTGGTAGATGCAGGAAAAGTAGTAGATATGTGGGAGGATATGAATGAGGTTGTTTACTCGGGTAGTTATGACTAGAGTTGACTATTAATTTATTTCATAATTTCCAAGGGAAGTAGAGGGAAGATATTATGAGACCTTACTTGAATCTACTTGACTCTACTTGACTTCTCGATTTTTAATACTAACTTTGTAACCCCCGTGCTTCCAATGTTCGAGTACTCTACTTCCCTTGACTTTCTTGATCTTGTCCGTAAGTGTAAAGCGAAAATATTCTGGTTGGTTGCTCGAGTGTAGTATGTACTCAAATGTATTGCAGTCGAGGTCTTTCAGAACTAAATTTAAATCAACTGATTTGAATAAAATCTTGCGTCAAAAAGCTTGTCAATAAGAAATCTATGTTATGTCTTCCGTCCTCTTTATTTTGCTTGTGTCTTCAACTTTCTCTGCAAAATTTATTAGTGTTATATATCAAAAGCAAGGAATAAAATCAAGAAAAGAAGTACCTTTACTAGAGACTTTAATATCATACCATAGCATAACGATTCCTCAAGATTTGACTAGTTTTGTCTTTGTGCTGTTGTAGAGATGTGAATTGTATAATCTGGAAGAACTAATCACATATCTTCCGCTGCTATGTACTGCGACTTATATACTCTTAATACGAATGATTGACTATTGGGTTTTCTGAAATGAGATAATCTGAATTTAAATATTGTGAGAAAGTTGGAATTATAGGCCAAATACATAGAGGTTTTTAACTAGTCAATCACATGACCTTTTGTAATTAGATATAAAAGGAGAGCTTTTGCCTCTTCTTTCAAAGATAATCAACCTTCTATATATATACATTTTGAACCCATATAACATCAACCCCAAAACCATTGTGAACCCTGTTTTCTTTATAAGTGACATATTAAAATGTAATAGAATTCAGCTTTCTCTTCCAATTCCCTCCTCACAATATATTATCAGGATGCACATATCTCGACCTACCACTTTTACAATATGAAAGATGAATTATTACTTTAGAGTTAGATGAATGAGCAAATATAAAAGCTTAAATAAATAAGATTAACTATCAATTATATTATCAAACATCTATTTATATCTTTACTTCAAGTATTTATTTATTTATTTATTTATAAATACTTTAAAAGTTTTTATCAATTCTCACTTCATTTTATTTTATAAAGTTAATATAACACTTATATATAAATATTTTCTTTAAACAAATTAATTTTTTAAAATTATTATATTGATTTATATTATTTTATAATTTAATTAATTTATTTATTTAAAGATTAAATTAATTAAAAAAAGTTCAAATATAAATATAAAAAATAATATAATATAATATTATTTATATATATTTATTAAAATTTTAATCAAATTTTTTTTAAACTTATATAAAATATATTCGATTGAATTTTATTATCTTTATTAACTTGAATTCATAATATAATATTATCAGTACATCATGTGATCAACCTCGAAAGGGAGCCGTACACAAAGGGAGCTGTAAGACTAGTGCATTCTAGCCCGTACCCCTTTCAGTATAAATAGGTCTCTCTCCTCTAGATAGATAATAATCATCTATGAACAAATACAAGAAGATACTACTATGCATTGGATCGTATCACCGAAGTGATACTAACAAATATATTAAATGATTTCTTTTGTTCTTTTAAACATTAATACTTTCATCTCAAAGATCTAAATAATATAATATATAATCTTTTGCTTTTAACTCAATATAAAACTATCTTATAAAATGCAATCTTCACAAGCCATCACCATTAAACAACCACCACCCAGCAACCTATTTAACACCCACCCATGCCATCCCCAACAATACATCCCTTCCCTCCTCTCTCTCCCACTCAATCCCCACCTCCACCTTTTCCCTTCCACCCCCTCGACTCTGCAACGCGATCAATTTCTCGCCTCTAAAATAAACCAGCACACCACCCTTCCCATTACCCGCCGCCGTGACCCTGTAAAGTGGTCCCGCACTATGCAATACCTTCTTCTCGGGCAAAAACTGGAGATCATTTTCAATACACCAGTCTTCGATTGTCTCTCTGAAGGATACATCTTCCGATACCTGTTTATCTTTCGGTTTCTCCTCTGGAAGGGGTATTTGTGTTGACTGAGAAGGAGAAGTGGATGAAGTTTCCGGAGCAGGAAGATGAGTTTTTGCTTTTTCGCCAAGGGCTAATGCACGTTTAATCATTCCATGGCCTTTTTCGAATTCTTTTTGAATTTCACCAAGATCTCGGATTTCGGCCGGGAAAACACTGTCGCGCCACCATTCGAACCATTCGCCTATTTCTGCATTATGTCCCACGACGGTAAGCCATTGATGTAGGACATTATGCCACATGGGAAAGACGGTTCCGATGAGAACTTGTCCCACAACGCGAGATTTAAGGATATCTTTCCAGGCAAATATACCTTGGAGACTAGACATATAGGGAGCTTGATCATTAGGGTCGACCAGAAAATTCTTTTCGTTTTTGAGGAATTTTGCCATGCTGGGAAGGACATGGTTCATTATTAGAGGAGTCCAAGTATCATTGTTTGAGCTTGGATGAAGGACTTCGCGCCATTGCTCGAGACCTGGTATGAGACCTCTATGGAAATCCCAAGAATCAATAAGATGCCTGAATTTTCGCTTGACATCGCTAACTAGACCGGTTGAACTTTTTGGATCTGCGTGATAGGCAGGCAGATATTGCAACCATGGGAATAACCAAAGATGAGGTAGTTCATGATTTCGTCTTTTCTTCGGATTCCAGGATGAGACAGCATCATTAAGTTTGCCTACTATTGCTTGATCCAGAATCTGTGATCTCACAAATTTTGGTAATAATCCTTGCCAAGTATCCAAAAATGCCAACACCGGGGCTGGATTGTACACATCCCAGTTTTTATTAATAGATGATACAATTTTAGGAAAGATAATCTTATAGATCATACTTTCATAAGGGGTAGTGGATTTAACCCTATTCTTATGCGAGGCATTCATGAAAGAATCCTGACTAACAATAGCTTTGTCATTGGTCACGGCCCCTAGAATATGTCGAATTTTGTAAAGATTCGGAACCATCCCATTCAACTTGGGATCTTCTAAAGGTTGCCAACCTTCCGAAGCTTGGCGAAGAAAAGGATGAACAGCTGCGACTGCAATATTCGACAACTCTTCATTAGCTCCAGATATATCAAGGCCATCAACAGTCTTCAATGCTTCGATTACCGGATCCCATTGACCATCCTGAACAGCCTTAGTAATACCCTGAATACTTTCCGCAAAAAGTTTCATTTGCTCATACTGTCGTTGTTCTTCATCTAATTCCTGTTGTTGTTGTATGAGTTCCATTTCGGTATATGCTTTTCTTTCCTCGAGATTTTTCCATTCTTCCACAAAGGCCGACAGATCATTTTGAGCTCTTCGAGCCAATTTCCTATTCTCGATATCTGCAACGCTCTCTGTCTTTGGCGGTCCAGCAGTAGGTGTCAAAAGTCCGGATGTAGATGTTAATAATTTTTGATCAGGTCCAGTCATATCCAGAATTGGTGCAAATGCTTCCGGAATTTCCAAACCTGGCGCAGCTCGTTGAACCTCCTCCACGGTCCGATATTTCGGCTTCGCTGCTTTTCGAGGAGTGCTCACTCCACTCATACCACTATCCGTACCACTTGTCTTTGGTTTCCTTCTACGTTTCCTCCTCTCTTCATCAGAATCCTCGATTTTCTCACCTCTCAATTTCGCTTGCCTTTTCTCTTCTTCCTTTTCTTGTTTCGATTTTTCAGCTACCGATCCCAAACCTACACCCTGCGGTCGCAATGTCACCTCAATAACACCACTTCGACCTTGGCCTTCTTTTCCTAAACCTTGGCCTTCTTTATACCCCATCTTAGCCATCATCCTTGCCGCAAACGACATACTATTAACGGGCGTTGCGCCGCCACCTGCTTTATTTCCACCGCGTCCGCTAGAGGGTGTAGAAAATGCGCTTGGCCTTGCAATTCGCGGTGTCGAGTCTTGCGGATCGTCATCATTTAATAATATTGGATTGTTCGCCGAAGAGGGTACGAAGCCTCGTCCCAAAGGCGTACTTGCATTAGAACCCAGTCCAGTGATTTTCGACCTAGTCGGAGCAGGACTTTGAAAACCTAAACCCTGACCAGCAGCACCAAATCCTAATCCTCGCGGGGCAATTGATTCTTCCTCATAATCCTCCATATCTGCATCCTCTTTCTCATGATTAGCCCCAGTTTCGACTGCTTCATCGTCGTCATCTTCATCATCCTCCTCCTCATCATCTTCCCCAGCCTTCTCCCCACCGGCCACAAAACTCATTCCCTTGCCCCTCAAACTCTTTTTCTTCCATCTCCTCCCCGGTCCCCCTTCACCCTCACTCTCACTCCCAAAAACACCCAATGCCGCACTTTCCTTCGCATTCCTCCCTGTGCGCCTCCGTTTCCTCGGATTATAATCTGCGAATTCTTCTCTTGGATCTGTGGATGGGTGTAGGAAATCATTTTCATCACCCGAAGACTCGTCGGATGAATCGCGAGGAAATGCGTTCATAGACATTGCGAACTGTTTGGTTGGTGGACTTTGGTTTCGCTGAAAGTCCCTTGAGGTTTATTTTGATGAGTGATGGAAGGTTAAGATAATCTGACAGCCTTGCTTAGTCAGACAACTTTTCAAGGCGGTGAGGTCTTTGTAAAACTTTAAATGTTTTTGTTGCATATCGCACTTTGGCAGTCCCTCATCAAATTCCCATACAATTTTGCTTGAATTTTTCTGAGAGCTTATTACTCAAAAAATTCTGCCATTGATTAGATTTCGATGTTTCGATTAATCAAACAACAGCCTCTAAGTCTTCTATTTCCAAGAGAGAATATATAAAGTAATTACCGCACAATTATCTCCAACATCCTCACTTCGATTCAAACTTGATAATATTATAATAGATAGGTAATCTATCCATCTACTCACATTTCCTAGACTAAACTAAGTACTCTATCTACATAGTGGATACAGAACGAATATCATATCCAAGTATCACGATAAAACCATAAATCCAATTTTAACCGTCTTCATTAATTCCTCGTGACAAAAAGAAAAAATAAAGAGATACATGGACTAAACAGTACACCCCTTGGTATAATAGAAGAAGAAAATGCTACTCTAATCCACTTGAACAAGAAACACCACAACTAGCCTCCGAAGTCTCAAGCTTCAAACTCCATTTTCCATCCTGCTAGAACACCTGTCCAGTCTGCCTCAATATACAAGACACATAAGTACATCCATTCAATCATCTACAAATCCCTTCCATCTCACCTTGATCTTATCAACCTCTTCTTCTTGGAAGGTGTTCCATTAGCCGTAGGAATCCCCACAGCAATTTTGCTAGTCCGCGAACTAGAGATTGTAGGGATCTTTGCCCTCACCATTTTCTCTTTCACTTGTCCCGCTTCCTCAGACTTGTTCTCGCCTACTATTCTTTCACCACTCTTATTGACCTTTCTACTCTCCATCGTCTTCTTGTCTTTCCTCTCTAGTGTTTGATACTGAGCAATTTCCTCAGCCCATACAACCGCCTTCCTCGGTTTGCCCTGAGCTTTCTTCTCTCTCCTAACTTTCTCTTCAAACATCTCCTTCAGTTCCTTTTGCCTCTTTGCGGGATTCTCTTTCTCATTTGCCTTTCTTGCTAAGAGTATTTCTGGAAGAACGGCACCTGCCTTGTTCTTCCTAGTATTGACACGAGTCAAAGCGGCGAGTTCTTTTTCGACACTTTGTTTGAGAGTGACAGTCGTATCGCCATCATGTCCGCCTAGCCTTCGAACTGGAATGGAGCTTGGTGCTGGAAGGGGAATTTTAGGAACTGGTGGACGGGTTCTTCCACTTCTTCTAATAGATTTAGCTTCCGCATCTACCTCTTCGATGGATGGTGGCGTGGCCGGGCGATTCTTTCGTGAAGGTAATGTTGTGGCTGGGAAGCTTACGTCAAACTCCTCTTTTGGTGCTTGTACTGGCGATGATGCTTCAGCATTCATGATGTCTCCAAGTGGAATTCGAAGAGGTGAATGGGGTAGTGACTTTCTCTTTTTAGGAGCGGGAGCTGCGGCCTTTGCAGCTTTATCTGCTTTCACTCGGGTGAGGAATTGGCGAAGTATATCCGTATCATCGTTCTCGAATGAGGAATTTGCACCCAAAGAAAAGGCATCGTCAATTTCAGAGGTTGTGGCAAACGCTGCTGATGATTCAGATAGCGTAACATCAGCTTCCAGATCGATAGGCTGATTGTTAGCGTGCAGGCTATTGATTGGCACCAAATCAAAAGACTCGGGATCCTTGATAGGGTCAGATACCGCTGTATCCCCATTTCGTCGGTATTGTCATGAGATGAATCATTTGAAGCGGAAAGTCCAAGATTTGCAACATTGATAGTAGGTTCGAGTAAGATTTCACTTAGCTCTGACATAGAATCATCCATATCTTCGTCATCAGAATATTCCAATGGAGCCATGTGAGCCCTGGGGCTTTCCTTAACCAGTTGGATGTCCTCAAAACTACTAAAAGCTTGTTGTCGGTGAACATTAGCCGGTAATTCAACCGAGCAAGCATCAGTGGTCGAATGCAGCGTCGAATCTTGGTAGTCAACACTACCCGAATTATCGTTGCCCGAAACTGGTTGGTCAAGAAGTTCTTCAACAATGTGATTTATTTCTTCGACGGGGTTAGGCATTCCAGCATCGCTTGACTCTTCTGGGCATTCGCCCGTCTCCTCGGTCGAATCTTCAGAAACGAGTTCTTGGAGATGAATATTTCCTGCTGGGGTCACCGCGGAATTTAGGATATCACCAGTCTTTTGAAAGGTTGCCTCGGGCTTGAGATCTTTAACGCTCGCCGTAGGATTGTTTGGTGATGTCACCTCCGTATTCTCCATAACGAGAGGCCTCTCAACCCGTGTCTCTAGCAGCGGATCACTGCGACGTGTGCTTCGACGTAAGCTTGCTCTCTTTTGCTTGGCGTTTTTAGTAGACTTTTGGGTAAGAAGTTTCTTGTTTTCGGTTTGTGCGTTCTCCGTTGCTGCATCAATAGTAGTGATTGATATATCCTGCTTCTTGACTGACTCTGTAGCCAAAATAAGTCCTGTACCTTGAGACTTGTCATTCTCAGAGGACACATCTTGCTTGTGTTCCATATCCATTGCGTTCGTTCGATCTTCAAGGGTTTCGATTTGACGAGGAATAAAATCGAGTCCAGCATGTGAGCTACGTTTTTCCTGAACACTCGCCAAGACTTTCTCAAGAACATGAACCGGCTCTGAAATTCTCCCACGCATCGATCTTCGAAGGCCCTGTCTCTTTGCTGTCTTCTTAGGTGACTGTTGAAATTCTTGCTTTAATTCTATTTCCTTCTTCCCAGTAGTCATCTCAAAGTCGAACACCAAGGAAGAGTGTCGCACATGATGGTTCTTCCCATCATCCATTTGGGCGTCGTCCATTGGCATCATCGACTTCCTAATAGTCTTTCGCGCCGCCTTTCTCCTCATGGGACTACCACTCGCCTCTTTATCCTTCGCTGGTGTAAGTGACATACCCACACTCAAACCTCGACCCTCCCCACCAAGCAACATTTGTCTCAATGGCTTCCTAGGCGTAATAACCACATTGGCATTCGTCCTCTTCCTAGGCACCACTTGTGACTTATCCGGACTCCCCAGCAAATTCTTCCTTGGACTACCCATCCCCGTCACGGTATTTTCATCCCGCCCGCCATTCTTATCTTTCCCCTCATGCCACTTCGCTCTCGAAATATCTTCCTTATTTCCTACCACCCTCGCCTTTTTCCTCGAACCCGCGCCTTCCTTTTCCAACTCTAGAAACGCGTCGTTATAGTTCTCCTTGTTGTCCTTTGCGGTTCGTAATCCACCCCTCTTTTTCCATATTTTTTGGCCATGTAAGCGCGGGGCATGTGAGATCACTGGTGCTCGTTCCCAAGCTTTCAATATTTTTCCTGTGGGCTGCGGTGCGAATGCATCTTTGTATATATCCCTTCTCGGTATTAGACCTCATTGTCACCATATAACTATGTGCAGAGCGAAGAAAGAAACGCGCTCACCAATTCTCTCCTTTCTCAAATGATGCTCCCTCCATAATGAATCCCCTCCTCAAATGTGGATTCACTACCAAACCAATGGATCCTATGTTGTATCCTATTATACTCTTGTAACAGAATACTTCTTATATTATTCAGCGATAAACAAAAACGATACCAACAAAGTCCAAGATCAATATTTGCAGATTATTGATTGTAAGGATATTTTGTTCTTTAATGTTATGTCTCTCTCTCCCATCTGCCGAGGGGATATAATAATAACAAGTCCTCGTGTTTTCATAAATTGAAAAGAAGTTCACATATTGGTACGTGCTGATTGGTCCATCACCCACATGTAAACAAACCCAGACCCACCTGTGTTATCTCAAGGATATTTGCCACTAAGCCGAAGAAATATTAGTGTCTAAATTATTTAGCCGGGTCAATTTGATATCTGGACCACCAAATGGGATCGATTGATTGATTAATCGATTGCTCCTCACATTCACATTCACACTGGCATACATACACACACATAACCAGTGTATCAAAACCAAATATGCCTCCTAAAGGAACCAGCACAGCAAAAGTACCCATGAGGTTGCCACCACTGCCCAAATTGAGGGTAAGGAGACCAAATCAGACTGATTCAAACCCATGTCTGGCTATCATGACTTCTGTTCTCAGTAAGAATTCCGCCGCACCACTTTATTCGTTTTTGGCTGCGCAGATACTGATATTCGTTTGCCAGCATGCTGGGCATCTTCTGGATATAATGTAGCGGGATGCCAGGCCCTTGAAACGCAATTGAGAACTTGTATGGATGCGCCCGTATGTTCTCCCGTCTTCTTCTCCTCCACCTCCAAGTAGATCAAGGATATTACGACGGCCTACTAACACAATCCACGTACAGAAAGCTGCAGCACAGAAAAAGAACACGATTAATTATCACTTGTCACGGATGTATCCCAAGATTGTTGGACCACGCAAGAAGAAATGAATGGATTAGAGAATATTTTTACTAGGTGTTGATGAAATAATGTCCGGCGTTAAGAGAGTAAGGAGAGACATCGGAGGATGTATACAGGGTATTCCCGTAACAGAAGATATGGCAGCCCAAGCAGTGTGAAAATATGTAGAAAGAGCATGGAAGTGTAGACGTACTTGCATGTACTTGTATCAAGCATCATAATGGGCTTGTGCATATTGCGGTAGCAATCATGGCGTAAAGGGAGGGAAAATATCAATTGAGATGCAAATGTAACATCAGAAAAGTCTTGAGCGGAAAGTCAGAGTTGTAAATTGGTATCAAAGATGTAGTATTTCTACGGCATTCTGGTGATTCATTCCCACTCCACCATGGTATATCTTCCCCTAGCTGTGAGGCTCTTGTTTCATAAACTAATCTTTCGCTATATGCTCTGTGAAGGCAATAGATGCGCCTTCTCCCATCGTCCTCCACCATGCATAGGCGCCGTTTGCAAAGTACGCCAGCGCCAAATAACACCTTTGTGCAAGAAGCAATAAACCCGACTTCATATTCCCACCCCTAAACCTTCCTTTATCGTCATCGCAACGTGTAATCATAAACCTCCCGTCCATGAATGTTAATGTTGATATATCAAGATAAACCATGTAAATCCATATCCATCAATGCTTCCACTTCATATTTCCTCGTCCCACCATTCAACGCTCACCCTCATTGCTTAAACAAAATAACTCAATCTCCCCAAGTTGCCCGGTATAATGATATTGTGATTTCTGTGCCTCGCTCCATTCCTGGAATGCGATTTGGATGTCATCATCTGACTCAATAGTGACAAAATCGCCATCTTCGTCACGGTAACGTAGCCTCATGGTACCTCGAGCAATAGCATTGGTCGAAAATCTTCCAACTTTAGCATCTATGCGATCCGTAAGGGATTGATATGTGATGTTAAAGGCCACCACCAAAGTAACATAGTTACCATCACAGTTTACCTTCACTTTAAGCTGTGTCGGTAACAACATATCACCTTCCGGTGGAAGATTACCGCTTATCAATGATGGTGGCAGGCGGTTATCGAGTGCGTTTAATGGAATCTGAGTCGTATTATTGCGAACATAAGTGGGCTGTGACGCGCCAAGGGTTTGTGGACCATTTGGATACTGTAACCCATTGGCATATTGCGGTGGCTGCTGCTGTTGCTGCTGACGATCTCTTTGGGCACCAGGCGACTGGGTGTTTGTCCTTACTGGCAATCCACTCGGAGAGTTATTCTGGGATCTGGAAACGCCAGCATCATAAGCTGGGTGCAGGTGTGCCGGAATACCGGGAACGGCGGGAACTTGGCCTTGCGGGGTGCTCATAGCTCCGTTTGGCAAACGGCGAACACCCTGCTGAGCATTGATGTCAGGGGTGCTATATGAGCGACTCCGCTGTTGTGCAGCTGCAGCCTGTGATTGTGAAGCCATGGCAGGAAGTGATGGCCTCTGCGGTGTTCGGCCATTCATCTGGTAAGAAGCACCGCTTATGGAATTTTGGCTTTCCCTCGACGGTACGCGACCAATTGCAGGTGCGGTATAACGATTATTGTCCTCCCAGGACCCCTGGGATGTAGGTTGACGTGGGAATTGAGATGTCTGAGGGAATTGGAACATTGCAGAAGAAGCTGTGCTTGTTCGCGCGGAGGATGCTGGTGACTCCCCGATAGGCGAAAAGTACGAGTCCCCCAATCTTTGACCAGGAGACGGCAGTGAGCCAGACATCTGAGTCTGTAAACTGAGGGGCGGGGATATGCCCATACCAACCGGGAAACGTGGCGCTGGTGCTCTTGCAATGCCAGCTAAAGGCTGATTGCTTTCTGTAGTTGCGGATCTCGAACGTAGGCTAGAACTAGATGAATTTCGAGCCATGCTAGGATTTGGAGGCATTCCAAAATTTGGGGGCATTCCGGAGTTTGGCGGAGATCCATATGCGGTCGTACCGTTGTATTCTTCCTCTTCATCTTCTTCCTCTTGCTGAGCGTAAGGATTAGGCATTGATGCAATTTGATCACGCGCCCATCCGAACTCTGGTGCTGTATCTGGACTAGCGCTTGCTTGCGCGCCAGTATTGGCATGTTCTTTCTTTTGCTTATCGACACCTTCATACCACTTCTTCATGGTCTCTTCATTAGAAAATCTGATGATGAAGTTTTCAACCCCTGGGTCTCCCTTCCACCATATCTGAACTGTGTAAGAACCTGCGAAATCATCAGCGAACAATTCTACGGATGTGAAGAGATGACAATGTTATACCTGGCTTGGCAGATGACACCACGTCCGTCACGTTAGTCATGAAAATGCGACCCTTGAGCTGTAGTTTGGCGTTCTTATCCTTTTCCTTTATCTTGTTCTTATCCTTCCGGTCTTTTTTGTCCTTTTGATTTCCCATGAGTTTATCTTTGGACTTGTTTGGATTAATCTCTTTGCAACAGAGGAGAATGCGCTCAAAGAGATAAATAGTATACTGCTCAGGTTCGTAAGTATTGGGTGATACTTGATCATGGGAAAGAGGGAAACACACCTCCTTCTGAACGTCACTCTTCCCAGTAACCACGGGGAAATGACCATGCAATATCAGGTCACCAAAATGATCAACTCTGTGGTTTTTCCAATCGTCCACGCGGCCACAAAGATCCAACAAAGCTTCACCTCTGAGCTCCCTATCGACCGCGGCATTTGCCTGGTGGAGCACACGATTCGACGCCTCAATACCCAGAGTGAGATCTTCTTTCGCCTCGTCACTAGCATTCGTTTTGTCTCGAAGATCCTGTTCACTTTAGCGTTAAGTAACTCCAAAATGTAGAGCGTGATGTACCTTTAACAAAAGAGGATATTTTACTAGACGTTGCATCGGCTTCAGGAGGAAACCATCCAGAGTATTGAAGTCCACAACGACAGGGTGATCTGCCATGGTGATTTTGTCAAAGTTGTCTTTCGCTATAGTCGCCGCCTTCCGCTGGTTTGCAATGAATGGTTGGTAAATGCTGAATGCTTCCTCATAATTCCTGAAAGGCAGGCCCCATTCCTGTTTATCGACCGGCTGAGAGTTTGTAGTCTCGATTTTGATGAGGAATCGTCGCTGAAAGTCAAGGATCGCATTAATGTTGAGAAATATATCGTGCACGACGTCGCCTGCAATTACGCCCTTTTGCTCGATTGTCTTCTTTAATTCGTGTAGATTCTCCAAATCTTGGACATATTTACGTTCCGTGTCGACTAATTCCCGCACTACATGCTGCCTATAACTCATCTTGGACCCAGGCGCCGTGGCACTCTCGCTGGTATCCTCGGCCTGCGATGTGAGGAGCAGGCCACGTTGTTGAGCCACATCGAGAACGATATTGATAACTTGGGTAACCTGTCCGAATTGGTAAGTGGGGTTTCTCATGTTTTGCAATTAGAACGATGTTGTAATTGAAGATACTATAAGCGCAAACGCTCGCAGACTTCTAATACAACTCTAGAAGGACGTTGACCCATCTTCACATGTTATCCCTTGACTCATCCCAGGATTCCATATGAAAAGAAGCGACGACCTCGGAATGTGCCAAGCCCTCTTGAGGTCATAGAAATGCCCACGCAAAACCACAATAGAGACAAACGTACCTTCACGAAACCAGTCGTGTCATCACCAAAAAGGTCTGATAGAGCAAAAACGTCACCCGGGGGGATTTGTAGATCCTTCATACAAGCTTCAACAAATTTGAAGGCTGCCATCTTGGATTTCTTTGGCTCGGCCATCTTATTATCGGGCAGCGGTAGAGGCTCTGCTGGTTTGAGGGTGTTGTACAGCGTCACCAGAGGAGTACCTTTTCGCAAACAGCGCCAAAGCGAGGACACTGGGTCCATATCCTCCTCGGCTTCGTCTTCATCGTCCGAGTCAACAAAATGGCCGTTGAATCCCGGAACTTGTGCTAATCTCAGTCGTAAATTGACGCATATCTGATATAGTGATCTTGAGGCGTCGGCTCTCTGGTTAATGATATTGTTCGTCGCAATTACATTTCCGCCCTGTACTGGCATCGCCAGCGGGGCTGGAACAAGTGTCGCAGAAGTAGATAAAGAATTTAATGAAGTCGTAGAGGAAGTGGTGAAAGCAGTCGAGCCCGTGAGCTGCGACGATCTTGAGTTATGGCTCATTGTTTGACTCAAACCAGTTCCGTTGCCCTCGGCGCTTCGATTGTTGAATACAGGCGCTGTATTCGTTCTCAAAAGAGGTCCATGAGATTGAGACTGGGCCAAACGAATGGCAACACCGCCAGATGACATGAAAGTTGAATGAAGATTCAAATAACTGACGATGAATTAAATTGTAATAATTTGATTTAAAATAATATTCCGCTTTTCCACTTTAAGGGGAAGAATAATTCTATTCTCGACGATATAAATTGTCACTAGGTTGAACTGCAGGTGGATGGAGGTGGTCTGGTCGAGTCGAGTGCTGCGGTGTGCGGTCTTCTTTCGCAATACGTTTTCGTTGGAAGGGTTGTTTTGGTCGTTTCGGTGGGGAACTGAATAATTTGGGAGCAGGAGTGGATTTCAACTTTGTTTATTCGAACACATTTGATTGCGGGTCATCCATGTGCGATGTGCAAAGTGCAAAGTATGCGAAAGGACCTACTGTGCTCAGCACTCCGTACTCAGTACTGACTGTAACTGCCTGCCTGCTTGAGTTGTGTAATCTTGAATCGTGAGTCGTTTACTCCGGATGCCATTCGATTTTCTTCGATCAGGGGAGTTTGATGGTAACTCTCAGGTTTTGAAGGAGTGCGATGAGGTTAGGTTGTGTGTGTACTGTGTAAAGGTCGTGTGGGAAGTGGGTTTGAATTTGAGTTGGTTTGTATGGGTGAGTGGATAGAGAGGGTTGACTTCTTGTCTCAGAAGTGTTGCTTTGCCATGGGTTAGTGTGTGATGGATTAAGTTATGCGCTAAGTTACTAAACAAACTGTCGACCTCTTTCAGAGAAGTGTGGAAGGAAGGAAGATGTGAACATCACATGTGTAGAAGATTTCCAGAGAAAAGAAATCGGTCGAATGAGCTGATTTAATTTTGCTAGATGGGAAGGTATTCCATTCACTGACATTTATTTCTTTACTTCTATATGTGTATACGGGTATGCATATATATGATATGATTGTGTAATAACGTCTTACCTACAAACCACCAAAGCACCAAAGGTTAATCGATATCCTGAAACTGGATATCAATCCATTTTCTCCCAATACTATCCTTCAAAACATAAAGTGTGATGATTAGCACCTAGGTATGGCTGTGTGGAATAGATTAGCGGACAATTATCCTTCGTCTCTTCCTCTAATCCTCGCCTCCATTTTGTTAATACTGTAGTATTTTTTAATTGTACCTCGTAGCTCTCTCCCCTATTTACAAATGTTTACGGAGTAAGCTTCCAACGTCGATAAGGCAGATTTGCTCGCTTTGATAAGGGATTTGTAAGACTTAGGTAACTTGTGAACTGACCTATCTATATCTATAGATCTACACACCTCATCCTATTATAGCACAAAATCCAAAGATACTTGATGCTCGATTGGCACGGTGGCGTGGTGTGATGCTCCTGTTTGTTTTTTGTTGCCCAACTAGGTACCTATGTAACTACTACCTACCTACCTACTAACCTACTCCTAAATAGGTATTCCATCTCCGTCCGGGAATTTCGTTCATTCATTTAACCAACCTCAATAAAAGGAAAGAACATACTTATTACTACCTACCTAACTACCTAGTTAGGCTCCGTAATTATATCTCCGAGGTGTGATTGATCCTCCATTCCTTCTCCCTCCCTTCCTAACGGCTTCCATTCTGCCATGTTATGTCAAATGAATGGATGAATGGCTTTTGATCGAAAATGTTAATCTATTTTTGACCCCTCCGCACTCCATAGGCATCTACCTACATGCTCGTTTAGCTTGTTCAAGTAATCATCTTCAACGGAAAGTAAAAAGAAGACGACAAGGCACAAGGCTTAAGGCATAAACAAGATACATTTTTCTCCAGCCTTGTATCCTAGCCCACCGCGTGATCGTTGCCAGAACACAGGCATGCTAGGGTGTGCAGTGGTGCAGTCGTGCAGGGCAGGAGTGCTACCTCATCAACAGTGCCCGTTAACAACTCAACCTCCACCTAGAAAACACAACCTTGAAGTAGGTACTTGTACCACGAAGTCCTTTTCTTCATAGGTGATAATATTAGGCGATTTTCATATTTCGTCAAGTCCCTTCTTAATTTTATCCCTTGAACATAAAATAAACTTAATCATTCAAATCACCACTACTACTCCCGCCCAGTTTGTCATCAGTCAGTCATGTCTAGCTCTCTTCGGAGGTCTCCTCCTGATGAAGGCTATAGCGAACATCCTTTGACTGTCGTCAATCAATTCAAATTCGAGGACTTGCCTTCATGGCTCGCAGATTTATCTCCAGATGATCGTGCTGGTAAGTAGCAACCCGTCTTGTGCTCTTGATGTCTTTCATTCTTACATTAATTCATGGCAGAATATATTTTAGACATCATGAGTAGATTACCGACTTCTGAAGTATGGGACATAGTTGGGCGCCTTAAACCTCGACTTAAAATCGATTTCTTCTTTCACTTACCATCTGAGATCTGTTTGAGGATTCTCAGCTTCCTTGACCCAGTCTCACTAATAAGAACCGCCAGCACCTCGCGACATTGGCAAATGTTAGCTTTCGATCGAAAATTGTGGGAACAACTATATATACGCGATGGGTTCAGAATTATTCGATCGGAGGTTACGAAATTCGAGCACCCGGGCGGACAACCTTCATGGATGAGCTCAAGGACCAGGTTCGACCTCAATCTTCCAGCTAAGCGCAAACCCACCACCAATTCACAGCGTATGGTGCCCAGTCCTGATCGGAGTAACGACAATCAAGACCTGGACACGATGAAGCAGACTTCAATATTTGGACCGGCAAGCACAAGGGAAATGAAACAAAGTCCTCTTGCTGAAGATGCGATCATGATGGATGCACCAGTCGTACCTTCGAATAGTGGCAATGTTCAGACCTCATTTTCTAGTGCAGAGGGAATTATCCCTGGAGGGAAAGGAAAAGGAGTCTCGCGTCCCAGACAACTGCCCACTCTAGCCGTCGTAGACCGTAGTGATGGGGAAGAGAAACTCAATTGGCATTATCTCTATACACAAAGAAGACGCCTAGAAGCCAACTGGGATGCTGGAAAGTTTACCAACTTTCAATTACCGCATCCTATGTATCCGGAAGAGGGTCACACAGAGTGTATCTATACTATTCAGCATACTCAGAATTATCTGGTCAGTGGCAGCCGTGATAAAACCATACGAGTCTGGGATCTCGAGAGAAGACGCCTTGCTCTTCCTCCCTTAGCAGAACATCTAGGATCAGTACTCTGCCTTCAGTTTGACCCAGATCCGGAAGAAGACCTTATTGTCTCTGGAAGCAGTGATGCCACGATCATCATTTGGCGGTTTTCGACAGGTAAGATCGTGCAAAGGTTAACGACAGCACATAGAGAATCAGTTTTGAATGTTAAATTTGACAAACGTGTGCTTGTCACCTGTTCGAAAGATAAAACCATCAAAGTATTCAATCGCCGACCTATCAATGGAAGTATCGTAAACGAATCAGCTTCCATCCAGATACCAAACCTTGGCTTCGAAAACAATCCCTCTGCGGGAACCATCTTACTGCCATATACAAATATCTGCACATTACAAGGTCATGGAGCTGCTGTTAACGCCGTTCAAATATTGGGTGATGAGGTCGTGTCTGCTTCAGGCGATCGAACAGTAAAAATTTGGAACTGGAAAAAAAACACTTGCACTAGAACCCTATTGGGTCACAGTAAGGGAATCGCATGCGTTCAATATGATGGTCGTCGTATAGTGAGTGGTAGCAGTGACAATGAGGTTAAAGTCTTCGACAAAGAATCTGGTCTTGAAGTAGCCAGCCTTAGAGGTCATACGAACCTGGTGAGGACCGTCCAAGCTGGATTTGGTGATTTGCCATATAGTGCGGAAGAGGAAAGGGAGGATGCAAAGCGGATTGATAGAGAATATTTCAAGGCTGTGAACGGTGGATTGGTCGATCAGACTTATCAACAAGGTCGGCTCAAAAATGCCGGGTCCTCGAAACCAGAAGATATCACTGCTTTTGGTGCCAAATTACCACCAGGAGGTGGAGGTTGCAAATATAGTCGTATTGTCTCTGGATCTTATGATGAGTCGATTCATATATGGCGAAGGGATAAAGAAGGCGTTTGGAAGCCCCAGCATACTCTCCGACAAGAAGAAGGTTCTCGAAGTGCAATCAGGCAGTGGGCTAGAGTACCTCGAAGCATTCCCAACAAAAATGCAGCATGGCTTCTGGGACTAACGCCTGGATCAGCGGGTGACGAGGTACCGTTGGGAGATATTTCAAAGCTTGCCCCGGAGGACCAAATTGACAAGGCAATTGCGGCTGGTGCAATAGGTCTACGTCAAACTCTCAATCAGTACCCAGATTTACTGCTTTACGAATACTTGAGAGTTGCCATCAATCGTTTGACAGATCACGCAAAACGCTTGCTGAATCTTGTTTTCGTTGCAGCATTACAAGCAAGAGGCTACGACATATCTGATCTGCCCCAATTGCGCAATGATTCAAATACAACTACAGCACCGGTATCAAGTACTGCTGCACCGATTCCTCCAACATTGCCCAATCGTGGAATGCCTCTAGGTGGTCCCGTTCCAACGCATGCTCGTGTCTTCAAGCTTCAATTTGACGCTCGTAGAATCATATGCTGTAGTCAAACACCAACGATTGTGGGCTGGGATTTTGCAAATGGTGATAAGGATATTATCGAAGCAAGTCGATTTTTTGCTCCAATGGAGTAGTGTGAAGAAAACACGCACAAGGTGCAAGATTCGGCATTTCAAATGAGGCGGCGTTAGATGGATAACGAATGGGGATGAACCAGGCTGGAGTGGTGCATTCAATCCGGGCGTTTTACTGGAGGTGGTAAATGACTACTATCAGACGACAAATATTACGAAACTATGATTTTTAATGGGGAACTGCATTTAATGTTGGTATTGATATTGCATATGAATAGGAAGCGGTGGCATCGCTTTAGGGCGATAGATTATTATATTGATCGATGTTTATATACATTAACTGTATAGTATTAGTATCGCAACAATATATCTCTTTATTTTGTATACTTAGATATTAATAAATGAGAATATACTTTCTTGTTTATTTAAATATCAGAAGTTTAATATTTAATCTTTTGTTTTTAACTTTTGATTTTTAACTTTTAATATAAAAAGAAATATTTATTTATTTATTTATAAAAATATTTATAATTTAAGATTAATTATAAATTTATTTTATTTTATATAATTTAAACAAAATTTCTTATAATTATAATCTCTTTTTTAATAATATAAATTTTTACTATCTTTATATTTTTAAAATATAATAAATAAATTCTTTATTATTTATATTAATTTTATAATAAAGGGTAGAAAGCAAGAAGTTTATCGAGAGTTTTATACTGAAAACTCTTTTCTTTTTGTTTTGAAGATTTTGAATTTGTTATTAATTTTAATTCTTCAATTAACTTACTTGTAATTATATGTAAAAGAAATTTTAAAACTTTGAGAAATCGTTCGTTTAAAAGCACTCCCGAATTGAGTGACCGTAAGGGGGTAAAAAGTAAGTCATCTAGCACCAATCAAACCATGATGCTGGTGAAAATAATGCTATCCCATAATAGGAAGTTACTTGATTACTTTTACATTGATCACACATCTTTAACTCCTTAGTGATTGCGGTTCCTGCCACGAAATTAGGACACTCGAGTACATTATTAACATGCCGGCCGAGAGTAATGGCATCCTCATGAGCAAAATACCTGGATCGACATCTCGTCCAGCCCTCTTCCCAAGTGTAGCGTAAGTTTAGCTTATTCCTTCGTATCGTTCGAAACTGATGATTATCCAGTAGAGTAAAGATAAAGAATCTACCTCGACAAGCTTCAACGGCTCTCAGCAAAGCTACAGCCCTCAAGCTGAGCCAGCTACTGGTGGGTTGCTAGAAATAACTCGGCAATCTACATGGCGATAAGATCGGAAAGCTCCAAAGTTTGGAGGCTCTTCTTTTCGATGAATGTGCATAAAAGTCAGAATCGACATACTTCACCTGCCACCATCCATGATCTTGTATCAGACCACTATGAAGTAAGCCGATTTTTGCTTATATATCTATATGTCAATTTATCGTGGAGCACTTTCTTTTCCGTACACACTGGAGTTTGGTCCAAAATCTCTGGAGCAGAGGTTGTAAGTTCAATTCAATGGCTGCACCAACTAAATAAAGCGAGGATTGGAGTGTGTGGTTCTTCCTCGAGTCTAGGCGGGTCAGTGCCAAAAGGTGCTGAAAAAGTTACAGAGAACAAGCCATTAATGTGCAGGTATAGGATAATTCTCCTACATTTCTCGGAAGACGGAGAGACTTCAGCACCTATTTTGAAGCCTTTTTCAGGTTCATTACATCCAAATGCATATCGCCGGCGCGGCCCTATCACCATCATTATCACCAAGACCTGCACATGGCATGTTCCAAAGTTGGGATGTTCTCACACTGGCTTCTTTGTATTACAGCTTACATGTTCCTCGCCGGTGCCGAGTTGTTTTACCACCAACTAGACCAGGTGGTCAAACATGTGCTAGCTATTTAGCTGTTCATAATGAGGGGCTTGCGTGCAGATTTACGTCCTCCAACGCCATTCAAAACGGAAACACAATAAGAAATCCTACATTGGTGTCCATTCAAGGTCTGCCTTTTGGTTTCGATCGCTACCAATATTTGGTAGAATTCTTTACTCAGACCTTTGAATCACACTTTTAAGACTTGGCTGTCGAGTTTACTAATGGATTGGCCAAATTCTTTGGTGTAATGCGGAATGGTGCCCTGGATGTGCCTGCACTGCCAATTTTCTAGTCAAAAAAGGTTGCTAGTACCTAACAGTACTTACGATAGTCATCTACTTCGTAGCAAGCTAAACACTAGTATTCTACAATGCCCCGCAACAGCATCCTGGTCTAGGATAAGCAAAACCTACGTGTTCAATACAGACGCCGAGGAGGCCACTTGGCGTGATGGACTGGAGGTCTGCCAAAACTGGGTAAGCCAATGTCCTTCTTATTCCAAGGATTCTTTTTCCTTTCGGTCTTCAGTGGCAGAAGCCTGGCTCTGATACGAAGTAACATGATGTTATTGTATCGGCGCATACTAGTACAGGAACCTAGTTTCACTGGCAGCATTCTTGACAAGCCCCTCAGTTCTTTCGCCAAAAAATTCGGCTTATAACTCTAGCACAGCTGGGCAAAAAGAAGACAATGTGAACCGTTGTTGTACTCACTCCCCATCAAGAGCACTATTCAAGCATCGGACATTTGGACTGGATTGATGAAGTGAAAAATCGCTGGTGCAATGAAGAAGCTGGGCTAGTTTTTCACCCTTTGTACGAAAGATTGCGCTTACGAACTGACCACAACCTGGTTTGATCGTTGTATCTGCTCTATCATTCCAGATACAACGAGTATTTTTTATTCTGTTGTATTTCCCGTTTCAGAAACAACCACCGGGCTGTTTTCCACTGCACTGATCGCAATCCTCAAACAGATATGTTCTACCTTCCCATGCTTCCAAATACTCATTTTGAACTCTATGATGCTTCTTCGATCTGCAATCGTCTCGTTCTCTTTTCTTCATATTCGCACTATCAGAATTTCTTCCTCGGCGGCCAAATGGAAATCTAGCAAGTAGCTTGTGGTACTGTTGAAAAATAGAGAAAGAGAAGGCATCCGTAACGTAGAAATGTTTAGATGAGAATGTGAGAATGAAAATTCGATACAAGAAAGTTTGAGTTTCCACAACTGAATGCACTCGCACTGGGTATTTCAATGTCCTCACCGTCCCGCTTCCTTGGTCATTTTTTCCATTGACATTAAACCTTATGGAGATCCACGACTATAGCTAACCTTTGCAGTTAATATTGGCGCTTCGACAATCTCAAGTGGGAATAGTTTTCTTCCCAGAATAAAAAGTCTGTGAAGCTGTAAAGAAAACTCTCTCGAAATGGAAAACCCATGATAAATAAAATAATCACAGCTGTTGATGGTCAAATTGAAAGAGAAGGCAAGATTATCTTGGGACGAACAAATTTGTTGGTGAGAGAGTGGGGCAAATTCAGCCGCAGCTTCCCGAAAATGAACCCTGGAAGTTGTGCTGTCAATGGAATCTCACATATACTTTTATACATCTACCTTTAGTAAATCTTATGTCCAGCGCTACTTACTTTTATTTATGAATTTCGATTGTGGAGGCTACAAATCCCAGGTCTTCTTTTATACTACAACAATATCAATAGTCAATAGAGCTAAGATTCGAAGTTGTTTTGGAAAATTTTCACCCGGATTCCGAAACCGTAAAGGACGATAAGAATTAACCTTACTGTGTCACGTTCTACACGACCGTTCTATACCAACCAGCCATGAGTGTGAAAACTGAGTAAGTCAGCCATTCTCTCCTCGCTTAATGGGGAATTATTGAGAAATATCCCCAAATTCATTGAGAATATTCTCCGTCCCACATGAAGCTAACATACCAATCACCTACTCAGTTTCCCGCCCATTCGAGCATGTCTCTTCGATATGGATGGTCTCCTAATAAATACTGAAGACATGTACACCCTATGCGCCAATCATGTTCTCGCCACCTACAACCGGCCTCCTCTCCCTTGGTCCATCAAAGCCAAACTCATGGGGGTTCCCGGTGGTTCCACTAGTTCTGTATTCATGGACTGGGCTCAACTTCCCATCAGCAAAGAACAATACGCCTTAGAACAACGCGAACAACAACGTCTCCATTTTCCAGAATGTAAAGCCTTACCAGGCGTTGAGAAATTACTCAGAGACTTGAGTACAGCACGTGATGTGAAGGGTAACAAAGTGCATATTGCATTGGCGACGAGTAGTGAAAAGTATAATTTTGGGTTAAAGACGAGTAAAGATGAAACGAGGAAGTTGCTTGAAGTTTTTCCGGAGGGGAGACGAGTTTTGGGTGATGATCCCAGGGTTGAGAAGGGAAGGGGAAAACCCGCGCCGGATATTTATTTGTTGGCTTTGAAGTTAATTAATGAGAGCTTGGGAGAGAATGAGAGGCCCATAAAACCAGAAGAGTGTCTTGTTTTTGAGGATTCAGTGCCGGGAGTGGAGGCGGGGAGAAGAGCGGGGATGAGAGTTGTTTGGGTTCCTCATGAGGGGTTGGCAGCCGAGTATAAAGGACAGGAGGAAATGATATTGGCTGGGAGGATGGGTATGATGATAGGAAATGACGAACAATTGGGTGATGTTGGTGACGGCCGGGGTCAATTTCTCCATAGTTTGGAGAATTTTCCCTATGTGGCATATGGAATCGTCATTTCATAGAAGTGTCTCATGTAGACTCCGAGCTCAGTAGATTAGACTAGAATGCTTATGGAAATATTCAATGGAAGACAAGTAGCCTCAAACATGGACTTCAGGCTTTCATAAAAATATTGTATTGTTGGTGCACGCGGTTGCAGGTCTTTCAGAGGATCTCGTTCCTGTAGTGCTTAATTCCTGCGGTCAGAATCTACACAGGACAACTTTGTCGAATAGTTATTGCCACCTCATTAGTTTCTGGCTTTTAACTACTATTACTTTCCGCTGCTGAAATTATTGTAGGTCTTACCGAATATGCACTTGTTCAATTGGATGGGTTGGTTGATTTTGTTAAGGATGTCATCGTCGTCACACCTGTTTGTATTTTGATGGCTGGTAAACTCAGTCTTAAACCAAGGTTTCCTGATAAAAGGTGGAACATCTACACGCAGCACTTGCAGCACGCTTCATGAAAATTGACTTCGATCATTTATCCAACAAACTGTTGTCGTCGACGTCCTCGCACGGAGTATATACGCAGTAAGATACAAACTCGCCTTTCTAACCCCTCAGTGTCACGGTAGATACTAATCTAGATGGAGACTAGCATCTTTCCCCGCTTTTACGAATTATCAACAACGGATCGGCAAATTTACTAATTCCGAGGTTTGATCATCGATAATTAAAGCTCGAATATTGGTCGGATATTGGTCGGATATTGGTCGAATACTTTTAAGTGATCATAAGGTCGCTCTGATATAAGGAAGAATTTGGAATGCCTTCAGAGGATATAAAGATACCGACACCTAGAAAAATTTGCGATAATTGTCGACGAAGAAGTGAGTCTTTCACATATACCTCACGGCGGTCCCTGGTGGAAAAGAGTTCCGAGTATTGACAAGTTAAGGGATACGATGTGATGGCAATCTCCCGTGTAAGCAATGCGGAAATGCATTATTAAACTGCAAGAGGGAGCACATACCGAGGAGAAGAGGACCAAAGCGAGGAAGTGGTAGAGTGATTAATGAATTGAGGGCTCAAGATGGTGGAGCTATCAAAAGCTTCGCAGAGTCCCGTGATTCAGGCTCAGGTGGAAGCAGTTCCGGAACCGGCTCGTAAGTATGATATTTCTACCTGCAGCAGAGTTCAAGGCCCTTAGTGTTCCAACTTGACCGCGAATACAGTCAGAACCAAAAGGATATCTGAACATGGATCAAATTCCAAGTATTTTTACGCGAGCCGTGACATAAGGAATTTATGCCAAATATCTGTCCCTCTTTTGTCGTTCCCAGCTAAGAGATGCTATATAGAATTGATATTGATATTGATCATTGGGTTTCGAATGCAGCCAACTCTTCTGCTGCACAAACGTATATAGGACGACCAGCCTGGTATCCGATCATGTCGGACATCTCGCCTCTTTCGAATGATGGGACAAATGGAATCTTCACGACGGATCAGTTTAGGCCTACATGTGTCAGCTACATGTATCTAATCCCAAAATGCCTTGACCTCTTCCTTGAGCACTTATATCCGATTATGCCATTAGTGCATATGCCCACTTTGAGAGATTCAATCAAGCGACCACTGCAGATGCACGAGAAAAACCTTATCTATTCTCTATGTGCTATTACTTCAACACATATGTCGGGGAAAAACATATTAGCTCCAGGGCCACCTTCGTGGGAAATAGCTGGACGGTTCTTTTTAGACGAATGTATCATGGTTCGACAGGGTTATGACTTTGTGGAAGATAGATCATTGTCCGCTGTGATATCTTCATATTTTGTATCAACTGCATTCTTCGAGCTCAACCAGTCTAGGAAATCCTGGTACTATTTGAGGGAAGCAATGACAATGGCCCAAGACATAGGATTACATGAAGAGTTCAAATATTCCGGTCTTCATCCAGCTGAGGAATTGTGTCGTAGACGTACATTTTGGATTTTATATGTCACGGAAAGGTAAGTTCGATTTGTCCAAAATGTGAGGTTCTAACATGATCGTAGGTCTTTTGCCATTCTGCGTCATAAACCTCTTACCTTCTCGAAAACGCCAGCCCTGCCATCAACACTGCATGACTATGAAGCACCAGAAATTCATTCTGGGTTTATGCATCTAGTACATTCTTACCATCTGCTAGACTCTAACTTTGTCGATTCTTGGAATGAAGCTTCTGATGCACCAGTATCAACGCTTACATATACAGCGCTTCAACAACAACTAAATATTTCCCATTCTTCTCAAGTGTCCCTTACTGCCATACAGAAAGCTGATATACTCGTTACTCAACAATGGTTGCGCCTAATCGTTTGGCAATCTTCGATGCGTCAAGGGCTCCTTTCTTCTGGAGCAGCCGACGAAAGCATGACCTTCCGATATCCTCTAAAGATCGCCCACTCTCTCTTGAGCGTTATATCTTCACTACCTATCACAAGTATAGAAGTTCATGGGATGGGTATTTTCGAGAAGATCTTCGAGATCGGGAACTCGATGGTAGATATTATGCAAGCTTATGGATCACAAATGCCCCATGAAGTATATGGTATCTCTCAAGATCCATTTGATATGTTCGTAAGAACACTGAGTCAGACACCGAACTCTCAAAGACAATATGCGAACCTTTTACTTGCGAAAGTGGCCGAAAAGCCAGAAATACAGAGATTTTCTCACACCTTGACAAAGGTACTATCCATTGATACCATGCCATATGCCAACGGACCGAATACGAATACTATTCCGCATGTAGGCGAACAGCAGTGGGTGGGAAGTACCGTAGGCGAGTTTAAACCCGACGAGGATGCTGTGCGCAAGGAAGATATGGACAAACCAACGATAACGCAATGGATAATATGGTGACAGTCACTCAATCTGGTAGCATGAAAGCGGAAAAGAAGAAAGATTTGAGAAAAAAGCTTCTGATTGACCCTGAAAATAAGATCACTACCTAATGCAAGGCGACTTCGTGTCAGGGTTTGTTGATGAACAATCGGATCATTGACAGCAGCTGTTCCATCACCGTATGAATCTCTTTGAAATTAAAAAACAATCACCGACTGGGACGACAACTAAAGAGCGGTTTGAACGGCGGTACGTCAACTTCCAGCGCAAACTTAGTTTTCTAGGACCATTCCAATAAAGACAATCTTCTATCTTCTACTCTCTAGTCGAAATGACCGAACCGACGTTTGATTATCTGCACGTTTAAGCTTGACGTCAGTATAGTAGACCACACAAATCACAGCTGCATCAACAGTCTAATCGCATGACCATATTTTCGTTCGACTCCAAAACGGTGTGCCATCACGACAGCCTTATACATGCCTTCTTCATACCCTTGCAATTGGCACTATGAAGTTTTATATCAAGAATAAACAGGCGAGACTAGATCATCCAACACCAACATCTAACATCCTATAATATTCGACCCCAATTCATCAAGATATTCGTTCCTTCGAGGCCGCGGGAGGGTTTGGGGAGGGTTGGGTGGGGGCAATGATGTAAAGGTCCATTTGAAGAATACTAGAACGGCTTGATTAGAGCATAGAGTTAGAAGCTTTCAATGGCCCCACTTCATCCTAAGATCTCAATCCAATTGAAAAGATATGGTATTGAATGAAGAAGGAATTGAAAAAAAAAAAATGAAAAAAAAAACCTCCCCCAATTATTTATATCTAGTCGTACTTCTTTGAAGAATCAAAAGCGAAAATGAAAAAGATTATAAAAGATTATAATTAAAATAAAAATATTAATTTTTATCAAGTAATTAATATTATCTTTAAAATTTCAATTGAAAAATATATTGTAATTAATTATACAAAAAATGAGTGGCCGCGGTGTAAGATGAGTGATGAATGTCCAGAACACTACTGACTAGAATTGATATGATTTGATCAAAACATTCAATTAACTGCCAGCAGGTTATAGAAATGAGATCTTATATTTACTATATGTAAATGTCACCATAACAATAATAACAAACCATCAAACGACCCCCATCACAATACACATCAATGAATATTGTAAAATGTGTAAATTCTCTTTCTAGAATCTATCTCTAAAGAGTAGCAATTAACAAGCTCTCTAAATGAACCTCGCTAACTAATTCCAATAACAGAATTCATATCCGAGTTCAAATCGCATATGTGTGTATCTAAGTCGCAATAAGCAGACATCAGTCGATTTCAGACAAATCTAGATGCATCAAAAAAGTATCCTCTCAACTTCGCTAAAGTCGAAAGGTATGAAGTGATTTTATGAGACTCCTCTCCGTCCCTCAGCTCCTTTACCCCTCTTCGGAACTCTTAAATGCCATTTAATTGGCGAGCCGTGAAGGTAAATCTTTGTTTTGGAATGCTTGGGCTCCTTCAAAGAGTCTTCTCTCAGTGTTCTTTCTACCATTGACAAAATCTGGGTAGTTGAGAGTAAGCTCAACGGCACCATTCACAATGTGATCAGCTGCCTCAACACCCAGCATGAACGAGTGATCTTGGTTTCCAACTTCATATCTCCATGAACCAAAACGTCCTCTGGAATAGATGTCTTTTTCTTGGAGCTTTGGTAAGAGCTGTGTCAATACACCTTCTCTTTCAAGGGAAGGAGTTGGGTAGCCATGATCTAAATGATTGGTTAGCCTATACCTATACACATGTGGCTGTTTGAATATGGGCTTGGCAACTGAAAGATTAAAATAACAGGCCAAGGTCTGAATTGCTTACCGAAAGCTCTGTGATAAGTGGAGACGATCTCATCGCTAGACTTAATCATCTCAGTATTAATTAGACCTTGAATGGAATCTCTAAGAATGTTCTCGACATCAACCGCCTTCTTGGTGGATTGGGAGATCTCCAACATAATAGACCAGTAAGGACCTTCCTGAGCCTCGGAAGACTTTGGCTTGCTACCATCTGCATGGTACAAGGTAGGAAGCTTAACAGACTTATCTGGCTGATTGTATGGGGAGTAGTTTGAGAAGATAGTTGCTCTATAAAATGGGCAATCATCTTCTGGAAAGTAGAGCTAAGAGATGTGTCAGCATGAGGTATCGGGATAAATTCGGGTATGGGCCAGTTCCGCCAAGAATATTGAGGGGTCATCGGTTTGGCAGAAAACAAATATTTGGACAATAAAAATTAGCGGTGAACTTACCCAACACTTATCTCCAATGTTCTCTGGTCGCTCTCCTCTAATTCCAACACCAACAACGTGGGTTGTTGAGTAGAACAAATCCTTACTCAAAGTAATGAGTTCCTTATCCTCCATTTGTTCAACAAGTTGATCCACGGCCATGGTGGTAATCAACTTCTTGTAACCAATGGTCTTGCCACTGGATAGAGTGACGGTGTGTGCATCAGCGTCAACCTTCTTAACTTCTCCTTCCTTTCCGAATAATGTCTTCTCTTTTGGTATAGTCTTGGCAACAGCAATCCAGATACCACCAGTACCATCGCGAGCAGGGAAACGGAAAGTGGCGTTAGGACCCCAGTTTCCAGCGACCTTGTTAAGGATAACATTCTTGACGACAGTCTTGACATCTGGAGCTGCTACACGCTCTCCGAGCCATGCGCATTGCATCTTTCATATTATTAGTACACCTTTGTATCGTAGAGTTGAAGAGGATTACAAACATCAGTGGTTGGAACTGCCCAGACTTTGTAGTTGTATGGTCTCATGAACAGATTCGCGATTCCCTCACCCATATTTCTAACGATCCACTCATCAAAATCTTTTGGCTTTGTCGTAGCGGTGCGAGCTGTTAATGCAGCATCAACCATACCATCAACACATTTGACCTGTTCCTCCTTTGGCAGAACGGAAATATTGTTTTGGAATGGATAAGGAACCCAAAGGTTCTTACAGCGAACGTAAGAGACACGTTCGTGTGTGTACCAATCGTCCTCTTTTGGTAAAGCCTCATCAATGCAGTCATCAAAGTATTTATAATGAGAGAAGATAACGTGTCCGCCAACATCGTAGAGCTGTAAATGATAAGTTAGGAAGCTGTATTTGCGACAATTGATCATTTGAGTTTTGGAAAAACTTACGAAGCCTTCAGGAGTTGTGTCGGTAGATGCGAGACCACCAGGAGTTTCATTTGAATCGATGATCATCCAAGATGCATTATTCTGCTAATGTGATAAGTAAAGGGTTCCATTGAGTCGATGGTGTGTGAAATGAAGCTCACAATTTGATTTAAACGCTTTGCAGCTCCAAGACCAGTTGGTCCAGCTCCAATAACGAGAACATCCACGTTACTGCGAAATCCTATTAGCTTGAGGATATCATAAAAAGTTGACTGGGCAGAAGATGAGCGTGTATGAGGCGGGGCTGCAGATCAATGGAATGCAGAAGTATACATACATATCGGCCATTTTTGAATTCTAGAGTGTTTTGTTTGAGGGTTGAAATTGAATATGAGTTGGAGGTGTTCCTGAAGTGAGAGGGGAATGAAAGGTCTTAAGAGTGTATCCGATTGTGAAGTAAAGGTGGCTAGATGTATCTTTCCCTTATGGTCGTTCTGCCAGCAATATTATTGACAGCAGTGGAAATAAATGGGACCTTGATTGGGGAATCTCGGTGGGTATGTACGTACCCAGTAGTTAAAATGAGGGTAGACGAGCCTACGTACCTTACCAGGATTAGAGTATAAGGGGATTAATTCGATTTTCTCAGTCAAATTAATTCTTGACCAGGATGAGATGGTTCCCGTCCTCTCATGTTGTGAATGGCATCCCTGGTAATCTAGAATTTCCGGTAGACGGATAATGGTAGACGCTACCACCAGATGTGGATAAGAGAAAGAGACATGGGTTAAGAAAGCTTAACCGTTATCGATTGGTTCAGTCTCGGCGTAAAACCCTTGAGACCTTCAGAAGGATTCGATTGTCGAAGTTTGGAAGCAGATATTAAAAGAATATAAAAGAGATAAAACCTTACTGCATCTAGTCTTACAAGCAAACCGCAAAATAGCTTCCTCACCGGCTGTGAATATCCATTCAAAACGTTTCTTCTCTTAAATCCATCTTTAGATCCCAGCCAGTCAGTCTGTTAGCCTATGATCTTTGACTTGTCCATTCCCTAATGCTAGGCTAACCTCCTTTTGCACGACATTTGGTGTTTTACCAAATACCATCCGCGTTGAGCATTGATATATCTACAAAGTCTACCTAGTAACCTTACCTACTTCCCAAGTCTGTCTCTTTCTTTCTTTGATCGACAAGAATAGATTCTCAAGTTAACCGTTTATCTACCGCAACTGCAACTGCAACTGCAACTGCAACTGCAAGAAGCCTTCGGAAAGCATCATGCATGGTACCGACCTTGTAATAAGCAAATCTCCATGGTTACCTTGGTTGCCTTTGCAGTTCTACAAACTGCAAACTTCTGGAAGACTATCCGAGTGAGGCTTCATCGAATGAATATCAACATGGATAAACCGTCGATCTCACAAACATCACGGCCGATATAAAAAGTACAAAGTCTGAAAATCAGTTGCAGATACTAGAGAGATTCACGGACTAGGTAATCTGAAGGCGAAGAGATGATTGCTGGGAAACGTCACGGGTATCAGTTAACTCTTTTTAAGTTTTCCGATCTCAAATTGAACCTTCTCCACAACATATAAAGTCACGGTAGTATATGGCCCTTTCTGCGGTGTCTATCCGTGAAATCCACATTTAATCCGTCATACACTGGGATTGACGTCGACAGAGAAATACATGAAACAGATCAGCGTATTCTACTAATCTCTCAAGTAAATCAATCAATTTAGTATACAGTAGCTAATTTACAACGTTGGAGCTTTGAGGGTTGAGACTTTTTTTCGTTACCCCTCTGGAGAACGTCAATATGGGGCCAGTTAATTAGATTTAGATATGGCATTTATCGTGAATAGGCCAGGGGTAAAGAGACCGGCCAATGATGATGATGATGTTGATGATGCAATTGACAGATGGTCAAGGGTAACTTTTGATCGACCCAGATGAGCGAGGGGAGAGAGAGAAGACATTTAACATTCAGGAGGTGGCGCCAAGAACCTTACAACAAACGGATAGGGACTTCAAATGGAAGGATAGTCCCTGGATGACGAGGCTGAGATTAAGTGAAATTTGAATTCAAAAGATTGTAGATCTGCTACCAAAGAAAGGATTCAACCTCCAATAACTTGTCAGAAGGCTGTGTAGAAATGTGATGCAAAGAAAATTTCCTTTCTTGAGTTTCATGATTCGATGTGCAGGATGTTCAGGATGTTCAGGATGTTGGATGTTGTCGATTTGATCCCCGACTCCGGGTTGTTACTTAATTTGGCATGAAATGATCCAAAAATGGTACTTACAATCGAGTTGTTTGGGTTGCACGCAGTAGGTAAGTAAGATACGTCTACATAACCCTGTCCTGCTCTTGCCGCGAATGGAAAAAAGGGAGGGAGATCCAAACGATGATTGCGCGGTTGCCGGTCCCTTTTCGGAGGGGGATCTTGAATTCTTGACTATTGGGAACGTCGCAACTATGGTCATACTCGTACTAGTACTAGAATCTGTTTTGACCAGACGAACTCAAGAAACTCTTGTCGGGACCTCCCTCATCAATGAGAACATTATCCCTATTGTTGTTGGTAGACGATATTATGTACCTAGGTAGTTATCATCTAGCACGAATGAAAGGTTATCATTCGCCGCCTATTTGACTTTTTCGGATCCTCAAACTCTTCGAGAAGTTTACCGATCCGGCTTCAAATGAATAAATAAGCTTCGAATTATAAAGTCAAATTGATCAGATACCCAGCAAGTAGATTGAATGACGGAAGTGAATACAGGAATGAAAGTGCCCTTGCAGCCAGCCATATGATAACCTTCTTACTATTACATGCTCGGTACTTTGAATCCATACAGTACTTGACAAAGTCAGTTAGATATAATTTTAACTGGCCCCAATCTTCTTCTCGCTGGGCAAAGTGAATCTCCACTTTTAATCTAAACCTTGCTGTTCATTTTTCGAGCACCAACTCAAGTACTAGCCTAGGATCGGTGACCTTGTGCCGGTACCTGTAACTGTGACTTACGGAGTCCTGGTGTCCTTTACTTAGCCTATCTAGCCCATCCAGCTCCAGACGAAATTCCAATCAATCATTTATCAAACAAAGAGACTACTTACTTACGGCTTTCTTCCCAGTTCCAATCTTCTTTTTCTTCCCTTCCCTTCTCTCCTCTCCTCTTTATCACTTCCATCTTCTCTCATCCTCAAGATTACCTGCCAACTCCTTCGATTCTTCCATTCATTTCGTCATTTTACCTATTTGTGTGGTAGATACACCGAATTTTCAATTTTCCATCTCCATCTCCATCTCCATTCCATCTCTTCATACAACAAACTCGGTCGCATAACCAAAACATAATTCTCCACAATCGTTCTCCATCACCATTTTTGTCCTTTCCAATCGTTATCTAGTGCCAAGCACACAGGGAAAACGCGTGCACACGTACTGTACCCTACTCCTTTAGATTGTGAATCTTGAATCTGTACCCAAAAATCATCTATTACTTTCCCATCGCCAACATCTTTGAAGAATCATCTCACCAACTCACCCACTCTTCAACAAACAAATAAGTCGCAATCATGACGGAGGAAAAAGTTCGAGTTTCTGGAGAGGTCTCCAGATCTGCAGATTCTCCTGTCCTTCCTATAGTTAACCCTGCCGCCGAGAAATCAGAGCCTCCAAAGGCTGCTGTACACCCAGCATTTTATGTTATGTTAGTTTGACATCCAATCATCAATTTGAAACGCCATCTTGCTGACCTCCTCAAAGGACATGGATTTTCTTCAGCTCCAGTGTGATTCTATTCAACAAATGGATCTTGTCGACAGTCGGATTCCGTACGTTCTTCTTGGTTCCCTCCTGCGATTCATCATTCTTCCTTGCGACCATCAATTAACAGCTCTGCAGACTTTCCAATCTTCCTCACATCATGGCATCTTGGATTTGCGACTTTGATGACTCAAATTCTTGCACGTACGACCAATCTTCTCGATGGACGAAAGACGGTTAAGATGACGGGTCGCGTATACTTGAGAGCTATTGTGCCAATTGGAATCTTCTTCAGTTTAAGTTTGATCTGCGGAAACTTGACATATCTATATCTTAGTGTTTCCTTCATTCAGATGCTCAAGGTACGTCGGAAAGTTAGAGATTCTGCTGCAGGATGCTAACCCTTAATTATAGGCTACCACTCCTGTCGCCGTCTTGCTCACCAGTTGGGCCCTTGGAGTTGCCGAGCCCAACATGAAAACCCTCTTCAACGTCTCCTTCATTGTCATCGGTGTCGTTATCGCATCCATTGGAGAGATCGACTTTGTTGTCATTGGTGTTCTATTCCAAATTGGTGGTATCATTTTCGAAGCTATTCGAATTGTCATGGTTCAAAGACTTCTCAGCTCTGCCGAGTTCAAGATGGATCCATTGGTATCCCTTTACTATTTTGCCCCAGTTTGTGCCATTATGAACTTTGTCGTCGCACTTTTCTGGGAAATCCCAACCATGACCATGGGTGATTTCTACAATGTCGGTTTCTGGACTTTGTTGGCAAATGCTATGTGCGCATTCATGTTGAACGTTTCCGTTGTATTTTTGGTAAGCTAAATTCATTTAAGAATTTAGGATCCATAACTAACAATATCTCTTTAGATCGGTAAAACTTCCGTTCTCATCTTCACCCTCTGCGGTGTTTTGAAGGATATCCTTCTCGTCTGCCTTTCCGTCATCATCTGGGGAACTTTTATCACTCCTCTTCAATGCTTCGGTTATGCCATTGCTTTAGGTGGAATGGTCTGGTTCAAGCTTGGGGCTGAAAAGATTAAGACTTATCTTGCTGAAGGTGGACGTCAATGGGCAGATTTCGGTTCCCGTCGACCAATCCTTCGCAAAGTTATCGTCCTTGGTCTTATTGTTTCAACCATCTTTTTCCTACTAGGTGGATTCGCTCCTTCATATGACATTCACGCAAGCGAATATATCAACGCAGCCAAAAATGCCGTTGGAAGCTCATAAGTTTCCTTGTAGGATACATTATTGAAGCACCCTTTTCGCTTCGATAATGAATAAGAGAAGTTTGGGGTATAACATTCTATTGTAAACCATAAATCATATGGTTCAATGGGTTGGATCAATTGAACCTTGAGATGTCTTTGAAAAGTACATATTACCATGGGCTGCGCCTTTAGATGGATGCATGTTGTGCTTTCAGGTCATTCATATGTGGTGTATGACACCATAAAGTAGCTAAGTTGGCTCGAACTTGTCTGTTGGCACATTTATATTTCAAAATGACCTTCCTGCTTTGTAAATTTTAGATGGGGACTTTTTTTCCCTCTTTTTTCGAAGCGTTTACAATTACTATATTTGAAATGAAAGTAGATGAACATGGATGGATTGATGGATGGATCGGATGTATGTATGTATGTATAAATAAGGGATGGTGTAAGATCTTGAGGTCAGTGATATAGTATGACATGACTGGCGTTGTATTAGACTCCTAGATTCCTAGATTCCTATAGAAAATAAGGTTATATATTTATATTCATTTCATGTCATCTTTCTAAAAATCCACCTAATTTGATGATACGTCTTTCAACCCCCGTCCCACCCCATCTCCCCTCCCTCCCCTTTCCTTTTCTCCCTCCACAGAGTAAACTACAAGCACCTTAACACGCTCGGTCTCCCCAAACGTCGATACTCTTCCTCAACCTCCGCCCAAACTCGCTCACGATCCCGATCCCATGCCGATTGCTGAAAATTATCCGGCCAACCATATGTACCCTCGAGAGAAAGTTTCATTTTCCGTCGCTAGATAATGTTGTAGATGATTAGATAGTCAGGTTTTATGTATTTATTTATATATTTATATATCTTTTGCAGATAACGGGGATCTCAAAATGAAGTAAATGAAGTAAATGAAATAAATGAAATAAATGAAATAAATGAAATAAATGAAATAAATTTCCATCTCACCATCCATTCTTCTGTAAAATCTATATAGCAGCGCGATTCATATTCCACTCGTCTTCCAGGTGGTATTATGGGTATTATATCTAAGGTTTTCATTCGGTGTGTTTGTGTGCGTAGAAAACTGGGGGCGTGGGCGTGGGTGTGTGAGTTTATAGGCCAATGGTTTTGGTTTTGGTTTTGGTTTTGGTTTGGGTTTGGGTTGTGGTAGGAAGGAGGATTGGTGGGTTGTTCGGGGGGTGTACCGGGTGGGCTGGTGGTGCGGGTTTCGACTCGGATGGTATCTAAGTCGGTACATGTAAGCAAGCCGGCGAGTATCTTGTTAGGGGGGGAAGATGAGAATTTTTCATTGGTAGGTAGGTAGGTAATTATGTTATATTATATTACACGTGTGCTTGTTTGCTTACTTACTTTCTCTCGTGTCGAGTATTAAAATAGGTGTCTCCAGATCATCTATATCCCCACCAGAGAGCTGGATTTCATAAGGTTTTAAGTAGCGCTCATTATCAGCCGAAGGATCCCTATCTTTATTAAACAAAGGAGACTCGCGAGTCCTGCGCAAACTATCACCATTATCCTGATCCGTAATATTGAAAAGCCGACTAGATTTATAGAGAAAGATCGGCGAGCGGGCATCTCGTGCCGGAGAAGGTAAACGTCGAATGAGTGATTTTACGCTATCGGAAATATGAAGCTCATCGCAAAGTATCTCATCGATATCAAGGAGATGCCCAGCACCTTCCGTAGGAGGCCAAATCACTTCATCCTCCGAAACAGCTGATAAGCGAAGATAATTTCGGACGATGTCATGAATGAGATGTACGATTTCTGTTTCGTCGTAGTTGCTTCGTTTATTGTAGATGGGGAGCCAGTCGCTGGACGGTGATTCTCGGTCCGGTATGCGTGGAATTTCGTGGAGTGGGATTATTCTTGGAGGTACTGGCGGCGGCGGTTCGTACTGCTGAGGTTGTCGAACTGGGGGGAATAAGGAGTGTGGAGATCTAGGGAAGGTTGACATTTTGGTGTAGAGGGGATGATTGTTGTTGAGTAAATCACGGGGGTATGTAGTCGTTAAGACAAGAAGGGAAAGATAATGATGTGTATGAGGTTGGAGAGCAGTTGCTTGTCGATTCAAATTTTAACTTAATAGCGCAGTAATGGGTGGTGCTACAATGTGGATAACCAACCGTTGTTCTAGATCTTCGCGGAAATACTTCCAAACTTGTAAGATCTCTCAACTGATTTTACCTAGGCTAGGTACCTTACATTAATTAAGGTTAACCGGGCCTCAATAACATGTGACATACGAGGCATAGCAATAACGAAGAAGGTTCAAGTAGGTGGGAATACATTATCAGAGTAAACCTCTTAAAGGGTCAGGTTATAAAGGTCAAATAATGCGGCGGCAATGATATAATTAACCTTATAAATTTGATTCTAAAAGTGCTGAGCTCCTTCAGGCTTATTACTTGCCACAGGCTTCAAGTCTAATCGATCGCTCCGACAACAGCAAGGCTAGGCAAAAGATAAAGTCTACCTAAAATAGCCTGGGGTAAACCCGGCCAAAAAGCCACCCTGCTCTATAGAATAAGATAACCGCATAGTGAAATGCTCCAGGTTAGCGGACTAGCCATAAGTAAATTAATAAACAAATCAACAAATTCAAAACCGAATAATATACATCACAGAAAGAATCTCTAATCACTCTACAGTGTATCTTAATCACTTTCTATCATTTATTATAAGATTATATCTTCGCTTTAATTATATAAAAATAGTCTCTTTCGCTTCCGCTTTCGCTTTGGCTGTCATAAAAACATCGTCGTCTATCATCCATCATCCTCTATCCCTTATCCTCATATCCATCATCTGCAAATCCCTCCCTCTCCCTCTCCCCATCAACTTCAACCAAATCTCCATCTTTAATCCTCCTCATCCCATCTCATATCTCATCTCATCAAATGTTGGTGTAATTTCCCATTCCATAAACAAACCTAATGCGGATTCGATTCGTATGGAATTGATCTTCATCTTCAATATAATACATAGAACCCATCCAATCCATCCATATATATCAATAACCCCATCACTCCAATGACGCCCGCAATATGAAAACTCACTTCTCGCTTCTCACATCCAAAATCTCTCATGCCCTTGGCCTACTCTTAGGCGATAATTCTTCGCTTGGCCTTGCTGATCTTCCAGTTCCATTCACCCCGTGTACACCCGAAATCCCATCGGTTAATTGATGTCCTTCCCCAGTGGGTATCTTAGCAAAATCTTCCATATCTATTTGGGAAACTGATAAACGATGAGGTTCATTATTGATGCTCCCATAAGGATAAAGTGGTGTAGGTGTAGCAGTTCCAGAAATATTCTGTGTTGATGGTGTTTGATTTGAAGGTGAGGATTCAGGACTTCGTTCATTAGAATCTATAAAAGCATCTTTTACAGCTCGAAGTGCAGGAGCATTTGCTCCATTTAAATCCTTGTCATCTTTTGCTTCCCGAAGGACATCTCTTGCCACTTTCTTAGCATCTGAATTGAGATTTGGGAGGGAAAGAGGGGTCTGTGAAATGTTAGCTTTTTTCTTCATGTCTTTTGTAGAATTTACCTGCTGAAGATATTGATCTAATTTCTTCTTCAGAATACCCGAGCGAACTGGTTTAGCCAAATAATCATTCATACCAGAAGCCAAGCACTTTTCTCGATCCCCTTGAATAGCCGATGCCGTCATCGCAATGACAAGAATACCTCTAACAGCATCATTTGAATCTTTGCGTAACAATTTAGTCGCTTCATATCCATCAAGAACAGGCATTTGTACATCCATGAGTATTATATGATATGGAGTTCCTTCTCGAGCTTTTTTTCTCACACCTTCCACAGCCTCCAATCCATTGTCATAAGCATCAATAATGTTGAACCCCAACTTTTGCATGAATTGAATCGCAATTTTTTGATTGATGGGATTATCCTCAGCAATACAAATTCGCAAATTCTCTCGACTAACATGTGAGAAATCGTTAAACTCAGTAGTAGGTGGCGGCTGTGTTCCTGGGGCCTTGACGGGTCTATGTACAAGTTCGCGCTGGGGTTCATTTTGACTGTCCCCAGCAGAAACCTCCGCGTTGGCCTTATTGAAAGTTACACAGAACCAAACAATTGTGCCCTGATTTTCAATACTCTCAAGTTCGATTTGTCCACCCATCATCGATTGTATGAGTGACTTACAAATACTAAGGCCGAGACCAGATCCACCATAACGACGAGCTGTAGAATTGTCTGCCTGAGAGAAGGGCTTAAATAGTTTGAGGAGCTGTTGTCTTGGAATGCCAATCCCAGTGTCTTTGACCCAAAACGTCAATTTAACAGCATCTTTGGTTTCCCAATCAGTTTTAGCACCGACCGTAATAGATCCATTCTCGGTGAACTTTAAACTATTTCCGATGAGATTGCCAAGAACTTGATGGAGTCTAACCGGATCTCCATAGATCAGATATTGTGGAAGATTGATATCTTGAATTACTTCCACATTCCGAGAGCTCCTTTTGTCTCTGTTACTGTAGGAAACGGATCGAACAACTTCTCGTATCATCTCATCAGCATTGAATGCTACAATGAAGAGCTTCATCTTATCAGCTTCCATCTTAGAGAAATCAAGAATATCATTAATGACGGTAAGTAATAAATCAGCAGAGACACGGATGGAGTCCGCCATCTCAGCTTGGTCCTTACGAAGGTCGCTATCTCGAAGGAGCTCCGAATTACCTATCACCCCATTTAGAGGGGTACGTAATTCATGTGATACGTTGGCAAGGAAGATAGATTTAGCTTTAGCAGCTTCCTCTGCTAATTTAACATTGTGGAGTGCCTCCGCTTTTGCCGAGTTGGCGTTCGTCTCGGCCTCCAACGCTTTAGCCAGAGCTCTCCTCTGCACATCAACCATGGAATTGTTGAAAGCCGAAACTTTCTCCACTTCTTTCAAGGTCAAGGCATTTGAATAACTAATGCCAATTTGGTTGACAAGTAATTGGAGGACCGTAAGATTCCTATCCGTAAAAGCATTTGGTTGGCCTTCCAAGTAAAGAACACCAAGCAATGGTTTAATGCCATGACAGATTGGAATGGCAATGACCGATTTTCCCAAAGGATTCCGGGCAGACCAAGCAGGACTGACGTTACTGAATCTTTCATCATTGATGAGATCAGGTAGGAAAACAGTTTCGCGAAATCGAGTGCAATAAAGAATAACACCTTCAGCAACCAGTGCCGTTTCATTCAATGGTAGCCCGGGTATGTGAGCCACGGCACCTTTCTCTGGGTTGCCACTAGCTGCTATGCTCCAGCCAACAGGATCATCTTCTTCAACGACGATTGCAGCAAGTGATGCCAAGCCTCCACAATTCTGCAAAATAATTTCGCACATTGTTTTAAGCAATTCATCAACCTGAAGCACACTGGAAATGACTTGCGAGCTTTCAAGAATAGATGTTAAGTCTAGCATATCTAGAGCTGGAAGCCCAGATCCTGCACCAGGTCTTGCCGAACCTCCTTGCCAGGCACCAATTCTGTCGCCTTTCGTCTCGGCAACGTTATTATGAGCTCGTTGTTGCTCGTCATTCTCATCCCCTTCGAGTGTATGATATGGTGCAGACGCAGAGTCGCTAGCGAAATCTGTTTGCGTGCTAGCTTCGGAATACCGAAGAATGCGTGTAGGTCCTTGCAGGAGAAGACTGTGTTCCATCTCAATATGTCTAGCAATGCCACCTGCTCCAATCTGCCTCCAAAGCATAATTGTTTCTACCAATGCAGCCTTTGCTGGTCTTCGAGAACCGGCGCGCACGAGAAATCCTGCAAGGAGAAAATTTCCGAGAGCTTCTTCAAAGACGAAGCCATGTAAAGAAGCGTGGTCTAAAGCTTCTTCGTAATGCCTCAGTGCCCCTCCATGATCGTTCTCCATTTCAGATACCTGAGCTGCAAGTAGCTTCGACCAAGCCAGATAATTGACATCCGAAACTACTTGCCAATCCTCGATCTTTTTCTTAAAGTATGAAATTTTCTTCTTGGTGTCGTTCAATGCATGACCGAGACTCGATTCACTGTTGCTGTTGAAGCCTTTGGTCGCCGACCGAACAGGATCCTGTTTTTTGACCCATAAAGATGCAGCCAAGGAGAGGCCATGAAAGAACATCAAGAAGCGGGTGTTTCTGATCGACCATAACGAATCCACTTGCTCCAAAAAGGTCTCACCCAAGTTGATGGCAGCTTGATAGTGCCCGTAGAGAAAAAGTGGTACAACCTCAAATCCTTCATAAATCATGATCGACCGATCGCTATTTGTCATGGCATTTCTCAGCCAAGCTTTGTACAATAAGGAGTCATGCGATGCATCATTCAGGCACTCCGTTGGAGAACTAGTTATCGTCTTGCCTTGCAACGCTCTGCATACTTGTCGAAGAACAATAAGCATCGTTCCTCCTCTACAGTCCATCTGCCAATCAGGAACTTCTTCACAACCATAAGTACAGAAAGATTCAAGATCTGCCAAGTTCTCCGAAGCAAAGAACTTTAGTGTGCCGACAAAACCGAAGTTAAGAATTGTCGATATTCTGTCACCAGCCTGGATGGTATATTCGAGTGCACTTTCCAATTGGCCGGCTGATTGGGAGAGTGGCCAATGGATATGCCCAACAAAAAGCGAATAAATGGTTCCACCCCGACCTAACGTGTAGATGTCCCGCCATCTCTCCATGAGGGCTAGTGAGACATTGCCCATGTCACTTGCAAATTTAATCATATTAAATCTGGTGATTGCAATAGTGGCCAGGTGAAGAAATGCCATTCCGGCTTGAGGAAAACTGCCCCGCTTTAGATGAGTCTGAATCATGACAATTGTCATTTGGTAGAATGTCAAATTATCAGACCAAAAAGCAGCACTAATCGTTTCCACCAATACCGCGCCAACCGCAGCAAGGTTAGAATCTTTCATCATTGGCTTATCAATAACCAGTTTCTGGTCAATCGATCGAATTTGCGAAGAGAGACGTTCAAATTCGAGGTCACACTTTTCGAAACTGGGTTTTTCGTCAACCTCAATATTTAAAGCTGACAAACATTGTTTCAACGCCTCAAACGCACTGAACGAATCGCCTTCTTGCGAAAAGGCACGACTTTGAAGCACCCAAGCCGGAGATTTATCCACCGGAGTTTGTGCATTTTCGAAGATGATTGCCAATACGCGTTTCGTTTCCTGATAATGTCCCATATAGAGATAGCATTCCGCAGCTCGGGTGTAGAGTTGAAGCGTCTCGTCATAGTAGCAGTCTGGTTCGTTGCCATTCCATGGATCTTTCTGCAACAACCGAAAGCATACAGCGTAAAATCTAGCGGCAGTCGGTCGAGCTCCACTCTCAGCAGCAATCGTGGCACACTCGAAGAGTAATTTTCTGAATGAATGTCTGTGTACTACTTTTTCAACAATAACATCAACACATTCACAGATGTGTGATGCCGTCACATCTCGAGATCGCTCATCAGCACTGTAGTATTTCATAAGCGTTTGTGCAATGATGAAGTGCATCGTGGGGCCATTGCACTCCCTTAATGATGACGCAGCTTGGATGTAGCGATCATGTGCAAAACGGAATCGATCATCGTCCTGTGTTGCGACAATTATATACGCCTGAATAGCAGCTTGAAGCCCACCAATAGCGTCTTGTTGAGTATGCGACAAACAATAGTGCCGATCTGGAACACATCCAATCATGTTATCCTCCGAATCAAACTCGCCACTCATAAGTCTTTGAATGAGTTCAAATGAAAACGTCGTTCCCACGAGAGAGGCCCAGGCAAGAATGGACCTCGAAGCTGGAGGTAATTCATTCAAACGGCTTGTGACGAATTCGGTGTTTAGTACCTCATTGTAATTCTTGGTTTCGAAGTACTTGAATATCCTATCGAGATCGTATTTCCAAAGATTATCCTTGTAGTCATACCATATACATTGTTTCCTGTGACAACTATCTAACATCTCGCGAATATAGAAGGGGTTGCCAGCCGTCTTCGATTGTATCACTGCGCACAGGGGAATTATCTCATTCTTAGGCCGGCAAAGAGTGGCAGAAATATAATCTAAAATATCATCTTCATTTAACGGTTTGAGCACAATTCGAGTGATTCCAACGCCACTGTGCTTAACATGTCCTAGATGAGGTTAGCGAGTTTCGTTTTCCAAAAGTGCGGGCATGCAAACTGATACCCTCATCGCCCGGGGGGTCCAATATCCCCTTGATTCTTTCAGGTAGAGTTTCTTCGGGACGATGAGTTACAATAATGACCATTTTCATTCGTGCCGATATAATTTGGGCTATCAAGTCTAAAGATTCGTCGTCCGCAAACTGTAGATCATCTAGGCAAAAGCAGATGAATTTGTGTTGAGCAAAAACTCGAAGGACATCCAGGAATGTGTTCATCAGCCGTACGGATTTCGTTGAGGAGCCTGCTCGAAGAAAATCCTGCGAACTCTGGGAACCTAGCGTGAGATTGTAAAGGCTACCTTGGCTCGAAGGTGAAGAGTCCCGGCGTTTGAATTCTGCCCTAAGACTTTTGTTGTACCCTTGAGATAATTGCCCAGAAGACGAATTGGCGGTCGATATGGGACCGATCAAAAATTCAGGTAGTCCTAACACTTTGTGGAGCAGTGGCCACGCAGGCCTAACGTACTGCTTCAGAATTGAATGAAACGGTGTATCGGTATTGCTCTCGGAGAAGACTTGCTTAAAGAGACTTGATAATAGTTTAAGCACGGGCCCGAAGGGTGTTCGTTTGGCCGAATCGAATTTTGAGCTTGCAAAATATCCTCGTCGCCTTGCCTCGATATGAACTGATTGCACGAGGCAACTTTTTCCCAACCCAGCTGCTCCTGCTATGCTTATAACCTCACATCTACCTTTTCGTCGGAATTTGGTGGCGTTCCGGGTACTAGTCAGGCTTCCAACTCCATCAGACATCGGTTTAGCATGGCTTTCGCCGTTGATACTGTCTGTAGGACTTTTTGGATCCGCAGACAATAATGAGCTATTCTTCTCCCAAGGCCTGAAACTTATATTTGGACGATTAGAGTCATCCAAAAAATTCTCTTGAGAATTTCCCGGAGATCGGAATTGACTCGAGTTACTCCTATGGGTCCTATAATCGGATGGAAATAACATGTTGTTAGTACTAAACGAATTTGACCTTCCCTCGGTAGAACTTGTGTTCTCTTCACTGGAGAAGTCTGCCCCGCCAATAGCCGCGTCGAAAGAATCAAGGCGTCCATCAGATAAGCTGGAGTTAGAAGATAAACTGCTTTGATCCTGTCTCTGAGCCGTCATATGACGTCTAGAAACCTTGTCGATAATTTTGACTACTTCATCATGCTCGCTCGATCTTCCAATCATGATAGAGGGGAGTATGAAAAATGAAGAAACGTCTTTCGTGGCAATGCGCCAATTTTTCACGGCAATGGATTCTCCTGCTCCCAAGAGCCTCCGTACTTCTACAAGGTCGTATCGTAAGCCACTGACACTGTGATATCTTTCACTTATGTTTTTGGCTGTCATCTTCTGAATGATTTTGCTAATGACGTCGGGAATATCCAGTCTGACACTAGAGACCAACGGAAGACGTCGCCCTAGAACACCTTGTATAATATCCATCGGAGTTTCCCCTTCGAAAGCAGCCTGCTGGGTGAGCATAGTCCAAAACAATATTCCAAGGGAGTAAATATCCGTGCGACTATCAGGTTCAGCAGGCATGCGTCCCGTCTGTTCTGGTGACATGAATGTAAGTTTGTTCTTCGCGCCCAACTCTTTCGACAACGTCGACCATCCCGTACTTGTGAGGCCATGTTCGAAAGTTCGCAATCCTGAACCAAAGTTGATTAACTTGACTCGACCTGTTTCCACGTTCATGTGAAAGGCATCCCCCCTTATTTCACCATGTACAAGAGGCCTCTGACCATGGTGAAGAATTTCCAAACACTCGGTGGCTCCCACGGCAAAGTCCAAAAACGTTTGCAATGGTACCACATCACCGGGCGAGAATGAATCATTCCGAAATGCCTCATGCCTATTCCCAACCTTCCTTCCCTTGTACCAAGCAGGCCCGTAATCCACCATTTTTTGCAAGTAGTTGTTACCCGGATGCTCGAAAATGCAAACCACATTAAAACCTTTATCGCCTTGTTGCGTCGGTAACCTCACCAGATCTACCGGCTTTATAATGTGATTGCCGTCCGGATCCACTGACCTTATTACATTTTGGCATATATGGAAGGCCCTCTCTTCTCTCAAAGCGTGGGAAGAAATGCGCGCGATGACTGGCATGCCACTGGAACTAGTGTGTGCGCTCTTGACGCTGCCTTGGTCGGAGTCATCATCATGAAGGGTACCGGAATCGCTTCCTCCATGTTCACTGCCCGCGTTTCTGGTCTTACTTGTACCTCTGGTTCCCGGCCGGGAGGGGTTTTGATCGGAGCGCGACGTTGTGTTACTATGTCGACTTTGGGTAGATGTATGTTTCGTTCCATTGACCTGCCTATTTATAGATTCCTCATTAGTTTCTCTACCGCAAACATAACCAGTATTTGCATCTGCCCATATCTCCATGTGCCCATGTGCCTCAAACTCTGTCTGGCTCTGCCCCTGCCCTCGCCCACGATATGTAGCAAGATGCAGAAACTTACCAGTTATCATAGCTGGAATGAAAGGGTTCTTTTGATTCATCCCAAGTGTAACCAGCAATTTGGGAGAGTCTCTCGAAAATTCTCGGAGGGGGATCCAGAACACCATCAAATTGGAATTCATCCCCCACGGAAACATTTCCCTCCATATTTCTTTTCACCGGCCTGGAGCGAGAAGGGCTCATCCACTTTTTATCATCGCCCAGTTTATAAATATCAGGGTTGAAATTCTGATTAGATTGATAAGATGAATTTTCGCATATGTTTCACCGGGGGGGTATGAGATATCGATCGTTGGGGGAGATTATAGGGCTGGAATCTTCAATTTCGAAGGAGATCGATATTTGGGACGGAGTTTCTGGCTTGTCAGAGATGGGACATGGGGGGGGATGGTTGTTGATGCGCCTGTTTGAAAGTGGTTTGGTGCTTAAATCTGCTTCAATCTACGTCATGGTAGAAAATCTTAGGCAGTTTGTGCCCAAGAGAGTACAGAGAGGGCAGAAAGAGCGGGATAGGGAATAGACAAAAAGGGCTGAATGGGCAGAATGGGCAGAATGGGCAGAATCACTGCAGGTGGATAATAAAAACAGGGATAGCATAGCCTAGGGATGATTTTTAGTCGAGAAAATCAACGCCTCAACGGTAGTTGTGGTTAAGGCTATAGGTTATACATATACAGAGGAACCCACAGAGGAACCCACAGAGCAACCCCCTCATTGACCTTGAAGTCTTACAAAAACCGCTTTGAATTCTTTCAGAAGATATCTGTTTCGTTAATAATTAGCATCTCATCAATACGACCGACTATATATCTAAAGTCATCCATTCTTTATCTAGAGCATATCAAATTCAAGATCCATCTCAATACTTTACTTGCAAGCTTTCAGCTTTCTCACCATAATTACCGGAGAATGACTTCCGGCTGTGCACATCGGAACTGATCGACATTCAAGCAGGCCCACCGACATAAACAATTCAGCAGCACAGAGTACCGAGTTTTCTTTAATTGGGCCTCACAAATGCACAACTACCATAAAGCGGTTTTCTACTTTTTTCGCCTTCTGTTCCTTATTCTATTGGTATATTGAAGACGGGTGAGTGGTGAGGGATATACAACATAATTCTATCATCCCCAAACCACATGTTTATGGAATCAGATGCTCCATTCTATTGTTTAGAACCTTGTATATTCTAGTGTTGCCTTTGGTACTGATTACGGTTTATCGATTTAGTCATCTACTTTTCCGTCAATATCAAAAGTCGTTCTTATTCTCTACAATGTTAAAAATTGACTCTATCGCTTAACAGGAATCTTATTGATCAATCAAAACATTAAGATTTTTTAGTATTATCAAATATTTGTTTTCAATCTAAAGTACAAATTTTATTTAATATTATTTTAGTTTTCAAATCAGTATAATATTAATATATATTAATTTTTAATATTTTAAAAAATAATACTCTTAGTATTTTATACTAATTATTTATATTAAATCTTTAAATTTGATATCTGGGTAACTTTAATATATATATAAAGAATAATTCTTTATAAATATCTTAATGTCTAATCTAGATATATAGGATTTCTCCTTATATAAGATTCAATTGACTTGACTCTTGAAGTCCTTTATAATCAGATTCTTTTATATCTAGTACTTCATACAATATTTCTTCTTCATACTCGTAATCTCTGTATATCCACACAAAAAGAGACATCAAACATAGGTAAGATCTCATCTTCTCTCAACAATATCAATCGATTTCACTATAAAACTCTATTAATTCCATTCCTTCTCAAGCTTTGAAAACCATCAGATCTTCAAAATATCCCAGTAAGAATATTTTACAAGACCATCTCCATAGAACTAAGACCAAATCAATATCTCAAATCAACTTCGGAGCATGTGTAGGTAGGAAGATTACGTGGAAATATACCTAACCTTAACCCACCATACAGATCTAAGTGATATCCACTATATGTTTACTTGCCAAAAGTTCAAGACTTCATCTTCCTACTCTTACTACTCCCTATCACATTATTACATTCCATCCTCACTGCTTAGTCGCCATGGTGAGCAAAATATCTCCATAATTAGAATATTTAGGGCGCTCTAAATGATGGTTGTCTATTAGTAGAAAGAACCCAGTACCTTCCTTAACCCTCTGTTCAAATACACAGGTGGTCCAGTCCAATCGACTATATCCAGACACCCAAGTATCAAGAATCTAATGACTCGAAATATATCACATCAATGTCAATACGTCTTCTCCAGTCAGATTACATACACACACACCGATAGCAAATGAACATAATAAGATAAGTTCTCTTAACAAACAAACAAACAAAAATTTAAAGGTACATATTGTAAAAGTGGTAGGTCGAGATATGTACGTCCCGATAGCATGTTGTAAAAGGGGAATTGAAAGAGAAAACTGAATTAAATTACATTGTAATATGTTATTTATAAAGAAAACAGAGTTTATAATAGTTTTGAGGTTGATATTATATAAATTCAAATGTATATATATAAAATATTGATTATTATAAAAAAAAGAAACAAAAACTTTTCTTTTATATCTAATTACAAAAGATTATATGATTGATTGATTAAAAATCTTTATGTATTTGGTCTATAATTCCAACTTTCTCATAATATGAACGAGGCCAAGAACAGTTAGACTATCAATCCAAACTCCATCCGTCATTAGTAGTGACTCACTACTAATGACTATGGCCCAGGAATAGAAGAAATGAAGACAGATTAAATATCTCGATTTCAAAGAGGAAATTTCTATAGCTATGTACGAACAAAGGAGATATAAATTACACTAAACCAAACAAACTCAAAAATTACAAGCTTGCAGCCTCCTCATAAACAGCCCTCTCAAAAGCCTCAAACATATCCCCAAGCTGCCCATCTCCAGGGGGAAACAACTGACTGGCATAAACTCCAGATATCCCCGCTTCCCGATCCATCCACCACACCAAATGCGGAAGCCCACCCCAATGCATCGTCCCCTTTCTCCTGCGTCCCTCCATATCCTCTCTCATGACCATACCCCCCAACGCATAATCAACCTTTGTTTCCTTTGGCAATCCAGGCGCCATAATCCTCTTAACCTGATCAATCTGCAAGGCTCCATGTACAATTTGCAACTGCGCATCTGTCAATTGTCCGCGAAATAACTCATTAGACATATCTGCATCCAGAAGTTTCCCCTCTGAAATTGTGATGCTGTGCAGAATTTTCTGGTAGGATGGCGCGCTTATGTATCCGCCCACACCACCACAATCATCAACTTGATCCTGCGCCCATATTTTATCATCAGAGTTTATTATTGCTCCGGCAGGATTGATAGATGTTGCTATTCCGTCGCGAACAGTAATGTCAACCAAGCGTGAGAGAAGCGAAGGATGATTTTCAATGTGGAAAGTGAAATCGTTGATACCCAGGGGCTCCATGATGTGTTTCTGCATGTACTCTTCAAGCGACATGTTACTAACTCGTTCGATCATCTTCCCTGCCCAATCGAGTCCGGCTGGATTTTGTTAGTAATCTTGCGTATGGTGGCGAGTTAGGGCTTTACGAACTAGAATACGCCCACGCGGAGCCGGGTTCAAACATGAGAGGGGTTCCGTAGCGGTATGCTATGCTACCGCCGGATAGACTGGGTGTTTCTCCACGTGAGGCTCTCCAGCGCATGAGTTCGGGCGTGAAGACATCGTATGCGAGACCCGAAGTATGGGTAAGAAGATGTCTAGAAATGAATGTTAGATCCATTACAAGTTATTCAATACAACTATGAAGGCTTTAGAGAACAAGGCATATATAAAGTGACCTACCGAAGCGTGATATACTTCGTCGCCTTTGCCAATTTCGGAGCACCATTGTCATCAAACCCCTCAAGAATCTCCAAATCTTTCAGCTCGGGTAAAATTCCTGAGACATCTTCATCGAGTGACAATTGACCGCGCGAAACACATTGCAAGGCAGAGATTGAGGTCAACAGTTTAGTGCAGGAAGCGATCCAAAAAATGGCATCGGTTTTCAAGGCTGCGGATGCTCCAGCCTTGAATGAATGGAGGCCATGGGCTTCCGTGTAGGAAAATGAACCTATTGCAATTGTCAGTAAAATTACTTATGAAAATATGGCCATTTGGTATGGCAGCCCAAAACACTGTACCTGATGTGTTGCTAGCGACGGTGACGACACCAGGAAGGCTGCGAGCGTCTAGCGCTGATTCAACTTTGGTCTTGAATGATTGCATGATGTTGATGATGCGTGATGTAATATCGTTTGTGAGATATGAACTGAGAATAGAAGAGCAGAAAAGAGTAATGTTCAAAATGATCTTGTGGAATACATCGAGGACTTGAAATATCTTTAAATAATCACTTGAATCATGATAAGATCATAATACCATGTGTATTTGATGATGCTCAACTCAACTAACTCCACAATACAATAGAAGCCCACTATACCGGACATGTTTGGACCGGACATTTTTACACTGAGCATTTTACAGTGGATATTTTTACACTTGGACATTTATATAATGGACATTTTTACACTAGACATTTTTACACTGGACATTTTTATACCGAAAGCCGTTTGTATCGGACATTCTTCATAAAATCTTATTTTTGTTCTATAGGTATCGGAATTTCTTGTATTTAGCTATATCGAAAAAAAAATTCAATTTTGATATTAAAATAATTAAAAAGACATTTTAATATTTTTAATTATATGATTAATTTACAAAATTAAAAGAAATGAAGTTGAAATTTTGAAAGTAGAGATCGAAATTTACTGTATAAATTTATCAATATATCTTATTGGTTGAAACTTGATATACTGGATTAGAAGTACTCTGCACGAGGTCACCTGGTGTATCCTATAGGGTCCTACGTTGATTTGCTACGTACGGTTGATGGGGTTCTACTATAATACTTATAGTATTCCCCACATCATCTACCCCAGACTGGTGGACTGTAAGAAGGTGGAGTGGGTACCTTCACTCAAGCAAGTCCTTGAAGACGCTGATTTCTACAAAGTTGAAGCAGTAAACTAATTCCATCGTGGTAAAAAAAAAAGAAGTGGTCTAGACGAATCAATCCCCATAGATTTAAGTGCTCTTTCGGTCACTATAATCCGCTGAATAATCCATTTCTCCCCAGAACACATGCATCCATTACAAATAAGCTTATTTCTAATTTCCTATTCCCGATGGATTTGGGCTTATCTGATGGAACGATCATTTGAAATGGACGCTTCGGAATCCACTTTTGCATCGGCCCCGAAAAAAGTTAAAGATTGAAATAGGCTTAGCGTGTTTCGGCGTTGATGAGTTTGTAAGGAAATCTTTCCTTCTGAACGGAGAGAATCTATTAATATCTTGACTGATCCCTAGAAGAGCGGAACCCGCTGTACGAAAAAGGAGCGGAATGTTTGACGGAGTTGGAAAGTCGGACAATCTTAAAAAGCATGACTTCTGAATATCCAATCCGGAGTCTCAGATTTTCTTCTTCTCGGGGAATAGCTTTTTACACAATACGGTGAGCGGAGACATGTAACTACACAGGATGGATTGCTTAGATATCAGTTTCGGCGATTAGTATTGTGGTAGCTAAGGAGCTAAGTTCTATGGAGGCCAGCAAATCTACAAGGCCCCTGGCTAGTTAGTCTAGCTAGCTAGTGGATAACGATATGCTCAATATTATATATGGCAGCTCCAAAAGCTGGTCTCTGCTGCTCTTTGAGTATTACATTCCATGAAGATTCTCCTTTTCCGATCCAGGGAAAGGAATTGCGTCTATTTGGCATCAATTGATGCATCATACATGATTCTCTAAAGCTTCTTGAATATTTCTGTGCCGCCGCCTTCTACTCCATACCCGCCAACGTTCCCAGACGCATATATGGAAGCACTTCCTTAACCTTCTCTCCCAGCAAGATAATATCCTTCTTCATCTGGATTCTGTCGGAGCCAGAGCACGATGCTGTTTTCATATTCATATCCAGGATCATAGAACACACATCTCCGAAGCATATATATCCGACCATTCACACTTATATACATGTGTATATCTTAAGCTGGATGGAGGAGGGAAACATGTTCAGAAGAGCAATAGCATCGCAGACTGGAAAATAGGAAGATGCATCAAGTACAGAAGTCCACCTTACACTTGACCTCCAAGACGGTATGCTTTAGCACCTGCTTCCAAGCAATGTGAATTCAACTGGTCTACTGGCACACTTTCTTAAGCGTAGTGCTCGCAGTCTATCTGAACCCTGAACATATGATGGGACTGCCAGATTTTTACTTATCACAAAATCAACTATCATTCTATCAAGTCCAGACCACGGATACACGACCCTATTCGCCCGTCCATGGATCGATTTCGGTTGCTATAGTTTCATTTGTTTGTTCTCTTTCTCCGAGATAATTGTGTCAATATGACGTTCCAGAATGTTCAACAAATCGGACCAGCAGCCCCAAAACAAACTCTTAACATTCAAAGGGATTAAATATATAGAACCGCTCATTATCCCAAAAAAATTTGAATACTCAACCTGATTTAGTATTTGTGAAATTCTAATTATCTGAAAACGATTCAATATTTTAAGAATCTGAATGGTTGATTAGTCTGAATAGTTCAAAGGTTTTTGTCGTTGGAGCGTAATTAGTCCAAATTGTTGAACAATTACGTTGTAAAGTACCAACGTTCATGGAATAAAATTCCAGTATCAGATCTGCACTATCCAGCTAATGTGTATATCTCCAGCAGGAGACAGCTATTCAGATAGATTCCATACTGGATATAATTGCGCGTGTAATTGAGAAGAAGGAGGAGTATTGGTGAAAGCGCCTGGAGTAGTAGATATTCTCAGTCCTTCAATTTGTATTATTGAAATTTGGATCAACGATAGTACTTAGCGGATCGTAGAGCATAGCATCTTCATTTGTTTTGCTAAAAACAGTTTGTAAGATTTGTAGAACTGATGGTGCTGGAATCCATTATCAATACTAGGAAATCGGCATGTTCTTCATACTTTGGATTGATAATGGAGCCAATATTTCGTGGATCTGGTTATATACCACGCCGAAAGACGTGTTCATTTATTCTGTATATGAGGATACGATAACTTACCAAGAAAGTAACCTAAGGCAGTTATATAGGAACTGTGGTTGAGAATAGCATCCCAAGTATCCTTATACAAAAGAAATGTGTGACGAACGACTGGAAGCTTAGCTAACTCGCAACTTCGTCCATTCAATTTCTAGGCTTGGCCGGTAATATTCGTTAGAACATCGTCGGATTTTTACTTGCTCATCGATAGGGGGAGATCAGGCCCGTAGTCGATGATTACAGATATACTATCAATATCCCTAGCAGTATCGTTCCCTTACATATATAATTCAAATCTTTAATACTCTCAGAGCGACCTCCCTCAATTAACGCGACCAGCTGTCTCGAGGCTGGTGAATGTGTAGTCTTCCTGTTGGTGACACGAAGATACAAAGAACATTAAACGGGGATTATATGGTGGAAGAATATATGCCAGGAATGGGACAAAGTATTCTAGCCCTTCGGGGGCAAATACGCTTTCGGTTTATCAAATCATTAGGCAACTCTGAAGCGCCCCGATAATTTCAAGACACTCTCGCTTTACCCCAAGCTATTGGGCAGTTTAAATCATATGAGAGTTAAGATGCCTATCTTTCGGTCGTTCTGATCTTCTCGCAAAGTCGCCAACTTTCTATAATGACGGCTACTAATTATAAAGCATGATCATCGATATCATACAGAGATAAACTTTCGAACATCTTCCTTGGGACCTATAAGCTGAGAAGATATCGACTCAGATACTCATACAGTATTAGTATTCTTGGGCTTTGTCTAGAACTTCTATTACTATGGAATCGTGGTCTCCCTTCTAATATATGTAAAGTACTTTACTATGTCTATACCGCTAAGTAATTCTTAAATTGGCACACTACAACAATGAATCCCACCCCAATTCACTACTAGGAGAGAGTGTCATTGAAAACCCACTCTGAAACGGTAGATATTCTCAATTGTATATATCATTGTAAAAAGTTTACGTTCGAAGATATTGAGCACGGGCAGTGGTGTGTACCGGAATTGCACCTTTCATGACTAAGACAGAGAGACTTCTTCTAACTCCTAAAGGCTGGTACTCTGGTTCGACGGTGTAAATTTGAATAACTTGATGTAGCACTGACTTGTCTTGTTCACATTCCTTTGATTCCCAAACCAGCATGGTATATACCTGTCTTCCTATGTGCGAGAATTTGCCATAGACCAACTTCTGTTCTAGAATATGGATTGGGCTTCTAATCCACATCTCATCTAGAGAACGGCGATACACTCGTATGATCTATAAGGTGAGACCATAACTTCAGAACCACCACCGAGCACAAAACAAGGACGAGGTAACCAGGTTCTTTGGCTGGCTCAAAAAGCACAGATTCGGAGCTGTATTTTCAGATCCCCTAACAAGATCTTTCGATCTTGAAAGTGAAGTTATCAAACAGTAATCCCTCTCTATCCACAGAGTACAGAACATTCTATCGATAAAGTGTTCCAACCCCCTCCATCCAATCGCAACATATACTTCCAAGTCAAAAAGATTAAAACGAGACTCACCACTTCGTGTTCATGACCCACTGATTTACCAATTTGTGGGGTACTTAGTCTCGGTACTTACGGTACTTAGTATCTCCAATTTTCCATCAAACCACCAGATCCACTGATCCACAAGCGCTCGAATTGAGAGTTTGAGACAAAGAGAGGCCAAGTCAGCCTTGTTTTATGACTTTCGGAGGGTTTGAAACTTTCATTCATTCGATCTACGCGGATCAAATTGTTACGAGTGAGACCGAGAGACATGTTTATTTTATTTGTGTTGATTTGGCGAGGGTTTAATTAAGGGTATCTGGAAAGTGTGAGGTACAACGCGCGTCTGTGACGAGGAGGGTTTGAGATATGTAGAAGGATTGATAATTCTAGAAGGTTGAGCAGGGAAGCGTTGAAGTGGAGGATGGTTTTGATCTGATAATCTGAGGAGAAAATTAGAGACAGGGATCCTATTCCTTCCATATTCGTCATTTGATTTCTTTTGAAATGAAGTTTATTTTAACAGGGTGAGGACTTATCTGATGTGAATTGAGTGAAGGTGAGCAAGATTGAAAGGGGGCTCGCTTAATTGGGAAGAGAACCTTTGGATCCCCATGATCTGCCATTCTGTGAGAATATTAATGCTGCAGCATAATAAAAGTATGATGCATGAGACAACTTACGCATGTTGTGTACATGCAGACCGGAAGTTAAAAGGTCCGTGTCATCTTTTCCGACGCCGTCGGGGGACCGATTCTCGCCGGAGAAGGCACGTCGCCGGTTCGGGATATCGAACTTGCTTGCAACTGCAGTGAGTACTATGAGTAGCTGAGTAGTGGAAGGGTAGCATGGATATCCTGACGTCGTATCAATACCTGCAAGAATATTGAAGGTAGTAATTGCAACATGCCCACCGAATCCGTGGCTATGCTCTAGAATTTCGGAGCAGATAACGGTCAAATTGTAGGCTGCATGCCTGTAATTTCCATCCTGTACCTCACATGTCCGTCCATGCTGTGAGCGACTGGTACAATCGGGATACCAATGTATCTTTCGCGCCGACATTATGCAGCTATTTTGATTTCAGATGATAAAGAAAGGGCCGAAAAATCTTGGTGTTATCCCGCTCAAGAATGCGAACCCGAATAGGCAAATTCACATGTCGGTGGGATTGACTTCAAGGTCCATTATCTCATTCCTCGTTGGATTCTCTAATGTCCCACCCGTGGTCGTGTGCATGTAAAATTGTTTTCGCATACACATTAAATTTCCTTTTCTATACTGTAGCTGCAGTTATTCACAAAACCTAGTCAAAAAACATATTCAATTCAGATGAACCATCACTCAACTCGAAACACAATCAATCTCCACTAGACTCCACGCCCACATCGAGTAAACACTCACAATCTAATCTAACAATCCTAGTGCGTGCAAAACAGGGGTCTGCAGCCCTGCCGAATGCCAATCTCTCGGATCAATCTCCGTCGAAGTGAGCTATACCTAACAAGGCAAAAAAGCGTTCTTGTTTTGATTTCGTGACTTTTCAGTAACGTCTTGAATTGGTCATGGCTAATGAATTTGGTAGGTTGTGGCTTGAAGTTATGTAAATTTCAATCTATCTGTTACAAGACCTTGTACCAATTAGGCTGTATATTTTCCAATAGTGTTGTTTGTTATGGTGCCGTTCTCAAATTATGTGAATAATTTGTGCAGACGGCAGTAACATGCGATGAACAAGAATGATAGAATTTAGATGATAGGAAAGCCATGAGAAAAAGACGAGATACCCATGCTCTCGCGCCACGGGAGTATCCATACTTCAATAGTACACGTTGACAGATCAAAGTCTGAGAACGGAATTCCCTGATGCGGATATGATACACCCATGGTAGCATCCCGAATGTGAACGTTCCACGATGCACGAAATTGCGGAACCCTGTTAACAAGCCTAAATTACTCGATTTGCTCGCGGGCCAGCCAGAAATCTTTAAATTTGATCAAGGACAATGCGAGGTCGAGACCTTGGACGAGGATTCGCAGATTACACGCTTGGTCCTTATCGTCTTACCCCTCTTCTAATCTATCATCAACCAGAGTAGTAAACAGTGGGATGAAGTGCCAGTTCAAACCTTACTTGTGCGAGGCTAGTATGCCTCAGACGTTAGAGTAGGTATGTAAATGTAATGTACCACCTGCCACTATTCTTCTTTCTATTCGCATAAATCCCCTGTCTAGCATATCTGTACGCGCTGCTCGTTTTTAAGCTGTAACCTTACTGCGTACCTGAAGGTTAGTTACCAACCATGTTGCTTTCCAAGTATGTACGTTCTACTCGAAAAATCGTAATTACAAACACTTTAATTCAACAAACTTTTTAATGTACAAACCGTCGAATCCCTGCTTACCATTTCCGTGCTGACCACGGTTCGGTAATGATATGAACAAGCAGGGGGAGGGTAACCAATTACTTCCGGACTGCAGTCCAAACATTGAGAAGCCTCGGATTTTTGAAACTAATTGGGACATTCAGACAAAATTTTTTTCAAGAAATCATATTAAATGATTCAAATCATCAAAACAATGAACTTACTCAAATAGTTAAACTTTTCCAACATGGAAAGCTTATATCCAATCTGCTAATCGGAATCATTGGGAAGCAAAAGTTACAACATCTAGCTTTCCTGTGCCTTGAAACATGCATAGTCACATTCCTTATTTCATTGACTTTGTCCATCTCCAGCAATACTTGCGGCTCTAACAAACAAGGGTACCAACGACTTTTCCTTGTTCTAGACTCCTCATCCGATCCACTGTACCAGGATAAATCAAGGTACGCTTTTTTTGGTTGAAGTGGCTGACTGAGGGAGAAGAAATCCCCTGCCTCTCTCTAGCTGCATGACGCATTTGACATAATTTTGACGCATGTTTGGTTGGATTGAAAGGGAAAAAAGGAATTTTGAGAAATTGCTTGGCTTAATTTGATGATGATTCATTGTCCAGGTTAGTTTGCTATGTATCAAGAAATTTGCTTGACATAAAATTCCCCAAATTTTCTGCAGCCCGGCCCCGTTTGTCTTCCTCTGGTACCTGGCTGCCTATCGTTATTTCCCCCTCACTTAACTCTCCCAGCTCAGATCTAGACTCTGTTATATACATGCCCACTGGGATATACATCCACCACAAGATTAAGAATAGAAATAAGAATGTACATGGTGTAAGTTTTGAACCAGCGCTGCCGTCTTCACATGCGGGTTTGAAAAGAATTGTGCTACCCAGGCACACTAAAAAACTGCTCAAAGTTAAAAAAAAGCACAAAAGGATAATGATACAAGAACTAAAATTGCCTGTCAACAGGTAACAAAAATGGTATACAGAATGTAGAAATGCTCTCAAAGAAAGAGTTTGATGCGCAGAATGTAAAAGGTAAACAAGAAAAGGCTAAAAGGTGCGCAAAAAATGGGTATCTTCTGAATAATCAATATCGAAGCGGGTAGAAGGGAAAAAAAAGGCAACATCTGATGATATGGAAAAAGCATCTTTGATGATGGATGAATAAATAAAGTTGTAAATCGGTGGTGTCTTTGCCGCTGATGACTCGATCGATTCTGCGGGATCTTTGGTTCGGGTGAGGGGTCAATGAGAGCTAGACTGAGTGGTAGGAGAAACTCATATGAAGATAGGAAATTCATGTTCCGCGTCGTAGATCGTACCATACAGTTACAAGATATAGATGATGGTACTCGTAGACTGATTTCCCAACTATGTGTCAAATAAAAACGAACTGCATTCGCTGGAGAATGCTTTTCCGTATCGGTTATTGATCGACAAGTTTCCGAGACGTGTCTAATTTCTTCCATCGTTTCTTTTTTCAGAACGTCGTACATCTTCTCCCTCTGTGGCCTTTTCTTCACGTCTAATCTCCGATACCGCGGAGTAGTGACGTTCTCGGTCTCGCTGAGATTGGCTTTGCTGGTTTTGAGTTTGAGAAAGCGCCCGTGGTCGGGAATCGCTGTGTTCGAGTAGTGATGAAACAGTGTTCGAACCTCCCGAGTGCCCACGTGGCTCCGAAGGCGCTGATGCCTGTTCTTGGCTTTGTGACGGGGTCGGTGAAGTGAGGCTTTGAGTACTGAAACTACTTTCAGTATGCCTATGGCGGCTCGATGGCCGGCCGTATGAATCACCCCCTCGAGCTGAGACATCACTTTGATTTCTTGAATGGCCGTGGCGTCTACTCGATGGCGTGCCTGAAATCGACGATCCTGTGTGTGAGAATGAAGGGGAGGTATACTGTGGCAACGAGCTTGGATGTGGAGCTGGTTGCTGAGGCCCTGTTGCTTTTCGTTTCTTCGGTGAAGAAACATGGTCTGGTTCAATAGTTAGCACATTTGATCCATCAGAAGAATTATAAACGCTTGCCTGAGGGTGTCGGAGGCTGATGGGCGCTACTCGTACCTGCTTGTGATGTAGGCGGTTGCCAATGGTGAAAGTATATCGAAGGCGAAGATTGGGGTTCCTGTTGTTGCTGAGCGGTTTGCAATTGTGCTAAGGGATGACCTGATTGCCCTGGTAATATTTGCATGCTAGAAGCTGCTGGAGGCGGCTGAATAAGCATTTCTCCTGTGTTCAATCTCGGGAGCTGGGAATTTGCAGTGGCTCTAGCCAATGAGCCTTCGGTGTGCCTTGATCTTGACGCTGGCGACATTTGGTAACTAGGGAGAAATCCTGGCCCTGTAGGTCCTATGGGCGTTGATGGTACGGTAGCAGGCGCTGGATGCTGACCTCCAAATGTAGGCCGGGAGTCACCGCGCTGCAATTGCTCCGGTGAGGTATGCTGACTTTGTCCTGGCACTAATCGCTGGTGAAGTTGATGCTGCTGCAGTTGATGTGCTTGGGCCATGTAGTGTTGAGCCCATTCTATGCTAGCACTTGGTAGATTCCCACCGCCCATTCCAGCGAAGACCATTGGGATCATGTACGGAGGGATTCCTCCCGCCAGGGAGGTTCGTAGCATATCCTGCTCGATCTTTCTTTGCTCTAATCTAAGTGATTCTTGCCTCGTCTTCTCTTCCTCCTGCTTCCTTTTATCCTCTTCGGCCTTTGCTTGAAGCCAGTTCCTCATTGACTCCTCTGCACCTTGCCATTGCTGAGGCGGAGCTGGTAATTGTAATGGGGCCGTTGGTTGGTTCAATGCCGGAACTACTTGTTGTGGTGGTTGTGGTGGCTGTGGTAATGTCATCGGGGGTAATCCACGATGGTGAGTCGACATGTTCGTCGATTTTCTGAGTGCTAAAGAAGAAAACGATTGTAGTGTTGCTGATGTAGAAGAGCTTGAAGAGCTTGAAGAGCTAGTACTTGTCACCGCTTGGGGGAAACGAGAGCTAGCTGGTGGTGTTGGTGGAGAATATTCATGAAAAGACTTATAGCCGTGGTGGACAGGCTGTTTAATTGTGAGTAACATGTCGGAATGGAGGCATTCACTAAAGTCAAAAGAAGGAAAGTAAGAACGTGAGTGAAAAAAAAAAGCACCTTTAAAGTGATAACGGCGAGGTGCAAATAGGCAGATGCTAGCCAATGGACCCGTCGACCTTTTATGTAGAACTAGAATAAACCCCCACACTTCTCACCCATATTTGCCAACTCGTACGTGGTAATTGAATGTCTAGGTTCAGCCGTGTATATCAGATATTCCAGATGGATCCGGGATTTAGAATGCTAGTGATGTGTGGGACTGCGGAGCCTAATCTGAATCCGCAAATCACAGGGCCACGAGTATTGACTCAAGATCTAGAAGCTAGAAGTTGACAAAAAAAGGTCACTCAACTGCAGGGACGATCTTCAGGGTAAAAAAGGTTGTGGTGTACATAAAAGTCGTGTGCTTTGTCAAAAAGAAGGACAAGATCGACTGGTTGTAAAGCCTGAAGAACGGAGGAGCAGGCGTTGAAGAGTGATTTCCACTAAAACGCTCGGTACATATAGTGATAACAACCTTGGAATAACAACCTTGGAATAACAACCTTGGAATAACAACCTTGGAAAAGATCCAGACTGAAATTGCCGTTGAGCTCGAGATTGTTTGTGAAGTGCGAAATAAAAAATGGAACAGGGGTATCCGATATTACAAACAGCGAAGATGGTGGGGCAAGTGGGAATTTTGCTTTTCGAGTTTACTGTTTGGACTGTTTTGACTTTAGATGGTCTGCAAAGGGTAATAACATTGCCCAATATACTAAGTGATACAGGCTTGGGATCTTTTCGTGAGCAAAGCCTTATCCGAAATGGCAGTGGCAGACTACCAAGATGTGCATGTAGTAGCCTGTACTGTAGGAAGGTGATTGGGTTGCCGGTTCACCAAGGGCACCTTGGAATACAAAAAAGTGTAAAATGTGCCAATGGTTGATGATCAACTAACTAGGTTTTGGATCCCGACGCCTGGGGCTGAGGTTGGGGTGGAGAAGAAGCAGCGGAGTATTTTTTATCGACTGGAGACGTCGGCCATAGGGCCACAGAAGAAGAAGTCGAATGCATCAATGGAAGCTTATGTGTGCCAAGGCCAGGGTGCTGAATGGTCAGAGCCCCCTTCCGGCTGCTCGAGAAAATCGGTTCCTGATGAGGGAATTGAGTAGTCACAACATTACGGGTGTATGTATGTATGTAAGTATGTAAGTTGGAGATTGGTAAGAAACGAGATTCCCTCCCCCAGCTACATACCTACCTAATACGGTATACGTATGGCTGCTAGGCAGTGTGTTCGTTGGTTTCTTCTCGAAGTGCGATCACCTACCGCAAGGTTTGCAGGGATGAAGGATTTGTGGGAGGTGCATGGCGCTCCTCTCTCATCCACTTGGAGCTCGTGAACATATCCAGGATGAAGGTTCTCCATAATACACTGGCATCTTAAAACGTAGTTGGTTGGCCCTAATCTTCTAGTGCTCATACGTCAGGTCGCCCCATACTCGATACAATTGCGAGACCGACATTAATTTCTCACCCTGTATGATTAACACTTTTAGGGTCCTCTTTCTCGTCTGTTAATTGGGTGTTTCGACAGATCTGAATTGATGGTTCATCGGTGGTCGTTAAAATCCTGTGTCTCTTTGAAACACAAGGCAGATCATCAAATTCAACCGGTACGGGCCTGGGCCAACCAAATAAGGTATAAGCATCGAATTTTCGCTAAGCTCCGTTATGGAAGGACCACTTCATCTCCCAGTTAATCAAATCTGACCTGACAATGATGATGGCGTTGATGAAAAGGGAATATCATTTTGTCACTTGTGTTCATTTCAGGTTTTGTGAAGAGATTAACTACTAGGTAACTACTAGATAAAGTACTGAAGTTGGCAAAACGTTATACCTCGGTTGTACCAATTTGTCTCGAGCCTACCCTGACCTGGATATTATCTGTTTTAGGCTAGAAGCCAGGGGCTAGAAGGCGTATAAGGTAGGCCGGCGGTGGGTTAGCTGTCAAACATAAGAGAAGACTCGGAAGAGACTTTTCTGCCTAATTACCAGGTTATGGAGAATTCTTATTTTCCGACAATGCACTGTTTTCTTCCGTGTACCAGAAATGTAAATTTTCGAGTCTTCATTGACTGGCAGTCTCCCATAGTAAATTGGTCAAAGCTTGCCAGTTGGGAAGGCACCGCAGAGGTAGGTGTCATGGCTTAATGCTCGTGTTACTTGATTTCGAGATTGCTTTCCATTATAGTATACCTGGGTACCTGGTACCTGGTAAGTTTTCTGTCTAATGTTCCTGAATGGGAACGGTTGAGCTCCCGAGGTCGGCGTTAGATTCAGCTGGTTACATGAAGGTGAGTTTTTTAGGCTTCTAGAGTTTGCTTTTCGTCCAAGTGGTAGTCATCATTGGCAGGGGAACGACAACGCGTGGGATTGTTGCATGTTACATGCTTATTCTTCTTTTGTAGCACAAATAGGTAATCGCAGAATACAGTAATGAACCTAAATGTTCTCTATACAATCAATTTCTCTGAGCGGATAGCATCATTAAAAGTTCTAGGAATCACGGGTGCCCGTGCCTTGGCACTCGCCAAATTTCGTGTGAGAGATGAAGGGGCGTCGGATAATTTTGGTGCTGAAGCTTGATGCAACATGCCCGAATTGCTACGCTGGTGCTGTAAGTTATAATGCCATCTGTATCTTTGTGCTCAGGATACCTGATTGTGTGCACATGCTGATATTAAATCAATCAAAATCAATTCCTACACCGTTGGTTTAAGAGAGATGTGAATGGATAAAGGGGTTGGTGGAGCGGTGTGTAGTCGCGAAAAAAGCGATTCGTTCTCGAACATGTAGCAACGGTACGAATACTTGGCTTCCACCACACCATAATAAAACAACTTCACTCTATCGATATTGAATGTTCGAGAATATTCTTTCATGACGCATTGCTGGGCTAATCTCCAAACATTATCAAAGTGCATCTAAGATGATGGCCGGGACCTCCGAAGTCACCTCCCAACCAAGGATACAGATGGAATTTTAATGAGTTTCCAAGCTGTGTGATAAACGCATTAAAGTGTTGGAGTCTATCAAGATTCAAACGACTTTAGATTCTAGCAAAATTCTTAAGTTCAAACATTAAGGGGTTGCCAAACACGGGATAATCGAAAACCTTGTATCCCATGAACCTGGTTGATGCTTTCATCGCTCATTTAGTCCTTGTCATCCTTCTTTCTTCTGTCCGTATGAGATCGTTTTGGTAACTTGCTACTACGAAGGGACGATTATGCATAGAACTCGAGCCTCCAAGGGGTCATAGTGTCTTTGTAAGTGTAAGTAATTTTGAGACCTATATACGACGGTGGTACATAGATGTTTTCTTTTTGAAATTCCTGGTTATGTCCTTTTTTTTCTTGATTATGAAGAGATTGACGTACTTTTTCGGACTGGAGCACAGAAAGGGCTAGTAGTAGAGCCACAAGTTGGAGAATCCTAGATGCCTATTCGACAGCAAGGTAGCTTGACGCGTACAAACTTTTGCCTCCACCGACGTTCGTTAACCTTCCTTCTGGCGGGGTTGGACATCGCCCGTTAGGTAGTTTTGACAAATCCTCTTTAGGAATCGTAGCACATTCACTCTACCACGTGTAGAGAAGCTGTAAATTCTTACTTCTAAGTTCTGAATTCTAATGCTGTAGATCTCATTGCAATCATGCGATTTCCGGACAATGTAGATCTCAATGAATCATACGATTTCCCTAGATTTTTATATTGAGAAGCGGGACATGAATCCACAACGAGAAAGATTACCAATCAATGTTAATTATTACTGCCCAAAAAACATATTCGGAACAAAAGTGTTTGGTGGAGTACACGAATCTTCAATACGATCGACAACTCTAGACGGATGCCCGTGCCCGATTTTGGCACAACCGACTCCATCTGACAGCCTGTCCGATAAGCACTTTATAAGTTCTCAACAGCAACATGTCGATCATTCTCTTGCCTTAACGTTGCGAGCGTGAGCTTGAACTTGGAGATCCCAACATGTGGCGAATCAACAAGCCATCTTTGGATTCCGCGTTGACCCCATACGTCCATTATGAAGTTAGTATGAAGCTTTGCCTTCTTCGATCCATCGGAAAATCCCACTTCTCGTGACATGAAATGTAGTACCTGGAAAAATTCATACCCCTCCAACCGCCCAAAATAATTATCCGGTCACGGAAGAATATCAAATACGGAGTATTAATCGTTTGAATCAATACATCTAGGACATTGAAAGACAAATATATCTGTCTAGATACGAAAATAATGCACCAGACACAATGAATTTCAATGCACGAAGCAGAACTCTGAATACCTGTTAGACTAACGTGACGACACTCGCGCCGACATGAATAAAATTTTCAGGCAAGAGACTTAGGTTCGAGGACACAGATTCGGCCTTGAGCAACGATGATCATTTCACCACTTCCCAAACAAGCCAAATCGTCGTCTAATGCTGTTGTACATCCTAGCAACAAATGCGAGCTGTACAAGCGAATACGTCCACAAACTTCACAGATATAAGCTAACGTGCCACTCGATACCAGCCAAGGCGGTAATGTCTATCCACGAGGGAGAATGACAATGGGGATTATTCATCCGGCCGGCATCATACGCTGTCACGAAGCCGCCACGAGGAAACCATGTGCTGGGAAGAAGCTTGGATACTAGTAGCCAACTATATCGGTTTGCGATCTACACAGATATTCATTTATAACCTTTGGGACGGCCAAGTAGCTATTGAATTTTGTACTTTTAAAAGCCCTTTCCGTTGGTGCATTGAAGACGGAGCATCAGCTTTGCGTCGTTCCTTAGTTCCATCTGCAGAATCAGACAGCTTTCTTTCTTTCCTGGGAGTAAGATAACAAGAATTACACCTCTATCACGCTAAAGTCTAGATATACTACACTCCTAGAATCAAAGTCCGGTTTAATGCCCCTCCCCCACTTTCTATCTGTTCTCCCCCACAACACACTTTTCCTCTGTTCTGGCATACTTGGAATTATGAAGATGGAAGTAGCAAAAGTTTGTAACCACACGGGGAATCGTGAAAAGTTGCACAAAATCTATTTACACTCATCTACATGGAATGGTGACTCATGAAAAGTTTTCCATTTTGAGTCAAGACAATAATCTTACTAAGGATATCTCAATCGACTGTATACGAACAAGTACCGTCGTCAAAAACACCAGCTTGCGGTGATTTTGTGATCGCACTATCTGGGATGAGGATTTCTGTGGAGGGAATATCTAAAGATCGAAGCCCCGTTCAGTTCCAATTACAGCTTCTTGTTCAGTCAGTTTGAAACTCACTACACTGAGTCTCTCGCATTCTATTCCATCATCTCTGGAATGAGATTTATTCTACCCCATGCTATCTATTGAATTCTTAACATTTTACCCTCAAGCTTAAATGAGAGGATAGATACTTATTAGTTTATCGATCTCTATTCATCTTCACGCCTCCACTCCGCTGTATCCGATCCCAATGCAATCACTATCCTACCCACTCCAAGTTTATATCTATCCTATCACATCCTATCTTTCAATACCAAAAAAGTGTTTCTCCTCTCGTCCAAGATAAGATCGATAGAATAGGGGTTATGGACCATAGTTATTTTTTGCCGCGTTGCAAGCTTCGAGCATTAGGTTATGTGAGGTACGAGGATGGTAGATTTTCTCCAACTTTAAGATATAGTCTAGCTAAATGGTCAACGACTTGGCATAGCGCCTCTTACCGTCCTCTCTTCATCTCAGAGGCGTCTCATATGAGTAGAAGGTTACAAATTCACGATTGATGAACAAGGTTTGTATGATTTGCCATACTCTTTCACTTCAATAATCCTCAAGGGAACAGGCAAAGTCATGCACCAATTTCAGTATGCAAATTTCTCATAATTGCTTTTTCTATACCACAGCTCGTATAACCAGAAAGCTTCATGTACTGGAATCCAAAGGATAAGCTAGCCAATATCACACTTGGCTTGCAAAATTATCATTTATCGACTTCTTTCTCAAATCCAGGAAGGTCCCAAGTCTTTTCGTACATTCACTGCTCCCTTTTTTCTTACCTATTATTTTTAACCTATGTCCAAGTCTCAATCTTCTACTACAAAAATCGTCAATCTCTCTCTCCATGCTTTATTGTATATGTAACACACAATTAATCTTGACACATCACATATCCAATATATCCAAATCCAAAATTCAAGTCATAATTCACAACCAGCTTCTAAAGAATATATACCAAGTTTCCCCACAACCCCCGCCGCCCCAAAACAATTCTTCCCAAACACTAACCACACCTGCACTGTTTCAATGATGAAATAAATTGTACTACCGTGCGCATATAAAGTTCCAAGCGCTTTGTTTCAAATCATGATCAGGGGCGGAGATCCTATCACGAAAGACTGGTGGACTTCACAAAGTAAAGGGACGACCAACTATTATACTTTTAAAAAAGAATTCAATCCTATAAATATACAATACTACCTGTTATCATCCCATCAACCTCTAAAACCCTGAATACTAATTATTATATTATACTTTAAAAAAAAATTCATCTATATAAATACTTTTCAAATATAAAAGAGTAAATTAAAGATAATCTTGATTAATCAAATAATAGATTTTTATTTATATATTTATGTCTTTTGTATTATTTACTTTAGTATTCAATACTCAATACTTAATTACCATCATATCACATCACCATATCACACCACCATATCATACCACCATCCCACTCAACTAATATCTCACTCAACTAATATCTCCCTCCTCCCTCCCTCCCTCCCTCCCTCCCCTCCATCCCTCCCTTCATTCTTCTCAATTATTCAAATTTATTACTTTATTATATTGTAAAAGTGGTAGGTCGAGATACGTGCATTCTGATAATATGCTATGAGGGGGAATTGAAAGAGAACGCTGAATTAGATCACATTGTAATACGTCACTTATGGAGAAAACGGGGTTCACAATGGGTTTGGGGTTGATGTTATATCTGTTCAAATGTATATATGTAGAAGGTTGATTATTGTAGAAAGAAGAGGCAAAAGCTTTCCTTTTATAACTAATTATAGGAGGTCATATGATTGACTGGTTAAAAACCTCTATGTATTTGGTCTATAATTCCAACTTTCTCACAATATTATTAGACTTAAAGATTTCTTTTTAATTAAATATCGGAGATTTATGAACAATATAATATAATATAATAAAATAAAATAATCTATTTATTTATTTATTTATAACTTGCCATCCATCCATCCATCCATCCATCCATCCATCCATCCAAATTATCTGATTTTGGATTCTTCATTTTGCATCTCCATCTTGCATACCTATCTATCTTTCACCCCTATCTTTCACCTCTCCCTCTTTTCCTCCTCTCATGTCATATTATATGACAACTTTTCTACTCTAATAAATCCCACTCTCCACATCACCCTATAGTAAACATTATATCCCTTCGAAGAAAGACCACTGGTATAACACTCAACATTCCCATTCCCAATCGCCTTCTCCTTATCTCCTCCAATTACCTTCTCTCCCACAAACCATCCAATCCAATAAATTCTCACTCCCATCCCAAACCTAATTTTCACCTTCCTTCAAGCAAAAATTTAAAGGCTATATCCATAGCCATCCATAGCCATTTACTGCTATTTATTATCCCACCCGCTGACCCTTTCCTCCCTAAAAAAAAAATGAAATATACAGTGAAGAATAGAACCCCACTTCACCTTTCTCTCTCAAGAAAAGCCAACAGATTAAAATGACATAATATAAAACCCACCCCATGCGTGTATGGTATAGTGCAGTAAAAAACGAGCAGCAAATGACTTTGAAAAGGGAAAAAATTGAATGAGCTAACAGCCCAACATCAAGGCATCAAAACAAAGGAAATATTCGTCCTCTTAGCAGTACAGTAAAATGTACGGCAATGTGGTGACGATTTTGTGACATCGTCGGGTATCTTGTTTCCCCTTCCTTAATAACTCAGCTCAACTTCTCCTCTTCACCCGATGTAACTTCCATTCCGCTTTCGCAACTTTCATCAATAATTCCTCATCCTTGACTGGGATCCAGCTGGTAAGGACTTTCATTGAGCTTTCAAAATCACTGTCGAGTAATATATCTCTCGTACCATCGATTAAAGCCGCACTAGTAGCATGAACAATATCCAAACCACCTGAGAATGGTCGATCTTTGCAGCAAGGTAATGATTCATCTTCATCTCCTAGAAGCATAAATACATCCCAAACACGAAGTTGAGCTGGGAAAGGAATTGAATAGTTGAAAAGAGTGAGATACCATCGAGTACCGTATGCAGTTGGTTCTATGCCGAGTTCATTCTATCAAAGTCAGTGGTTTGTGCGAAACAAGTGGAATATAAAAACACTTACTAGCTTAGCTGATACCTCACCCTTATCTAGCCATTTGGTTGAAAATTCATCCAGAGCAGCCATCAAACCTGGAAATCCTGGTTCGTATAGTTTCTCCAAACCACGTAAAGTCCACATGCGTACTAGCATGACGAAGCATTTTTCTTCATCATAGTAACACAGAAGAGTAGCTGCTAATGATGCCATACCCTGAACATACCCGGTAGCTGGAAAGTATAGTGACAAAGCGTGCAGTACCCTAAAGAGTAATCGCTGACCTCCTCTATATCTTCTTCTAAACATGATGTGACTATTGATTGTCCGAGGAACGTCCAGATCGATCTGAACATCATCCGCCGAACTTTGATCCTGTAGCCTATGGAAAGCTTGAATTATACCTTCCTCCTGTGGGCTACCCTTTCTCTTCTTGGCTGAAGAAGCAAGAAATGAATACCATGCCGCAGACCGCCAACGATCAGGAATCCCTTTCCACGTCCGTTCTATTAATTTGGAACTTTTCGTATCGAATTCGAATTCCATTCCTTCTCCATCCTTGCCCTTGATTATTTTCGCCATCCTCCTCCATTTCTCTGTTCGTTCCGATTCTTTCCTCTTCATCAACTCCATGCCTTTACCCCCTTCCGCTTCTTCAGCAATATCTGCCAGTCCAGGAGGTAAAGTCAACATATCACCTGCCTCGTCCATCCATCTTCTATCTTTATTCCCCGGTAAGCGGTTGGCAGCCTGCCTTAGTTGAGAGCTTCGCGAACTGCGTATTGATGCATTATCCACCTGTGACCTTTTTGATGATCTCGCCGAAACCTTTCGACTCGGCGTACGTTTCAGACCACGCTGGGAAGTCGCAGTAGAAGGTGATCGACCGAATGTTCGTTTTCGTCGTGGTGCCTGCGAGGCCAAGTGAAGTACGGTTGACACGCGCTGTGGTGGCTTTGGTTCTGGTGTGCCGGGTCTGGAGGTGGTCCTTTGACTAATGAAGCCATATCTATCGACATCATTTCCATTCACATCTTCCCAATCTTCGATTCCCCCAGCTAACTCGGCAGGTCTTCTGCTCGATAATGCGCTCGCGGATCGGGGTGGTGGTACTCCTATGCCATTCGGAGTCAGGTAACTGTTTGCCCTAAATTAATTAGTGGAGAGCGGAATTATCAGTAAGCAGTTCCACACTCACGTAACAGGTCTTTCGGGTATGGATTCCCCTCCAACAGTTAAACGATTATCAGTTGCGTCGCCCTTCCCATCGCGCCAGTCAAACCCCGACCCCGACTCGTACATAGATCTGACCTTTTGTGATTCCATTTCCAAATCGTCGGATAATACTTTGATCGTGGGCGACGTTGTGGCTAACATAGAAAAGCTGGGTTGTCTATTGATGTCTCTCGTCAGCACAATAAGCTGGTACGCTACGGGGCTTTGATTCAACCCACCTTCGCGTCGCATTTGTCCTCGCTTGGCCATTTACTGCCTTTCTTCCGCCCAGCATCATACTACCTCTTTTTGAAAAGGACATGGATTGCATAAAATGTTCCTCTAATATACTTTCATTGGGTATTGGAGTTGTGATAGGTGAGAAATCCTCTTCTGGGAGATGGGTTGATTTACCATGACCAGTACCAGTACCAGTACCAGTACCGGTAGAGGGTTTTGCATTACCATTCTTCGTCTTCCATCGTCTCAAGGACCCTGCAGAAGATGGCCCAAAGCTTTCGTTTTTCATTAATGTTAGTGATTTTGCCAATGCGGGTGATTGCACATCACCCCATTGAGTTTGTAGAGTGGGACTTGAATTTGCCATGGCCACTTTTGAATCAAAGTTTATATGGATCCCCAAGACATTATCATTATCGACTGTGTTAAGCAAGCCTTCGCCTTCGCCTTCGCGATCTCGAGTAACGGTACTGGTGGTGGGAGCAAGACCAGAATCTCTCTTTGCATCATCCTTTAATCCTTCTAATTCATGAGCGAGGAATCGGGGTCGAAAAGCAGGATGAGTTTCTGCAGGTGGAGAAAGTGGAGGTGCGACAGTAACGGGAATTGGAGCCCTTGCACCAGGGAACATATCCTCATACCTCATTGCAATTAGCCCCTCCTGGGTTACCGTATCTTGTGGGGTATTGGTATTGGTATTGGAATTGGAATTGGAATTGGTGTTGGTATTATTAGAATTGGCATTGATATTGGCATTGGTAGACGATGATGACTTCCTTTGAATATTCCTAAGACTTCCAAATCTTTGAAGTGGTGCCATACTTCATTACCGAGTATTTTGATTTGAAGAAAAAAGATTGAAGAAATTAGAGTTTGTGTATGGGATGTATAATTCTTTGTTTATGAGACGAGAGATTGGAAGAATGAAATGTTGTCGATTGAAATTTCCCTTTGAAACATTTGATTGAAGACTTGAGAAGCGATAGATCGGATGTATTTTATTGTATCGTATGTATGGATGCATGTATGTATGTACATAGTATGTACTGTTTTATGTATGTATGTATGTATCTAGCATGTACCCGTTTTATGCTTTCGCCGTAAAATTCACTGTTGTGAGTGAATGTTTGATGTGGGTTTTGTGTTGTGCAGTGGATTGCAGGGCTCAATGATTTAATGTGTGGTGCTGTGCTGTGCTGTGCTGTGCTGTGCTGTGCTGTAAGGTTGAGCTGCAATTCTAAATTCGAATAAACTTCGTATACAAACGGCAGATAGAGGTCAGTGACGAAGGTGATGAAAGTGATGAAGGTGAAAGAGGTAGGTGCTTTTTGAAGTAATTTTAAGAAATTGATTTGGATTTCGATTTCTAGAAACTTAATTGTCTCTCAAAGTCCTCGGTGATATATTGTATTGTATTATATTATATTATATTATATTATAGTAGTTCATAAGGTTATCATCATCAGCTTTCTATATTTGATAGGGTGTTTTCTTTTTTCCAGCTGCATATATATATATATATTTATCCCAATTGAACTGTTCTCGAGAAATATACTATGAGTATTTATTAAAGTTATTCTATAGATCGAATGACAACATAACACAATAGATTCTGTCCATCTACTAATAAATACTATGCTTAGCTATACAAGAAAATCTCAATCCCCTCAATTTCATTCCATATCCATATCCATTTCCATATCCATATCCCATTCTACCAATCTCAAATCTCAAATCTCGACTCCGTACCTGTATACCTTTCACACCTCCCGAACCAAAAGGACCCGACAACCACCACCACAACAACATACCGAGCTGAGACATCAAACAAAGAAACAACAATGATTTCATTTTTCTTCCATATACATAGCGTAACTATCCTACTCGTACACTCCGCATAACCAATAAACAGCACTCTCCAAATATCAAATAATAGCCGTAGGTCATATCCTCCCTGATACCTGTCAAAAGAAAGTTTGGTCTACAAGGTTATCTATCACCTAGATAGGCAGATATGTATATTATACCTGCACACCCATCTCTATCTCATCTCATCCCCTAATCGTATTACAATAGTAAATCTCATTCAAAGCCCTACACCTACCTGTATACATATACACGCATATATATAAATCAATACCCTCAAATCCTCACTCCTCACTCCTCACCACACAACATATTCCATACACACCACACCACGCATAGCTATTCCAACCCCTCCCTCCTCTTCTCCATTCTTCCACTCCCCAACCAAACCCACCAATCCACCAACCAAATCCTCCTTAATTACTTACCACTAAACCTTTCCCAAAACAGCCATCCTACCTACCTACCTACCTACCTGCATCTCCCCATCCATACCTAGTACAACCTCTTATACTCTACTCCGCACAACAAAAATTACTATCCTCCGAAATAGACAATACCGCTACTCATGACACACCCCCCCCATCCATCCCGAAAAAAGCTTATTTTGCGCTTTCCGTCCCGTCAAGTCCGATTTTTTTTAAACGTCACATCATGATCCCTCTTCATCTTCATCCTAGTACCCAGTCCCTAGTATTTAATTTTACGACATGTCAAATATCGGTAGGTACTTATAGGTATTGAATTATTATATTGTATATTGTATACGGGATAAAAAAAAACATCCAGCAACATCATCCATCTTTAGGATTAAGAAACGCCTATAAACGCCACGCCACGCCATGCTTCCTAGGTACCAATAAATAATGCATGATTTTGCTTCTCACTTCTCACTTCTACTTTCAATTCCGCTCACTCACTCTCACTCTCACCGTCACTCACTCTCACTCTCACTCTCACCGTCACTCACTCACTACTACTTCATACGGCTTACAGCAAACACTCAAAAGTAAACCCACAACGTCACATCCATCCATCCATCCATCCATCCACATGCATCACACTCAACTCAAAGTTCCTCATTCTCCCAATCTCGCTCATGATAAGTCGAGTGTGCTCTCCCACCACTAAGATCCAGCTTTGCCAAGAACTCTGGAGGGACTGTAGGAATATATTTTCTTTCCCTCTCTCGATTCATCCCACCGAACCCAGCTCCATAACTTATCAACATATCTGTGCTAGAAGGAAGAGAGAAAGGAAGCATGAGAGCTGGATCCAGGAGAAGATTTTCCGGTGCATCATCTTCCTCGAAAGGTTCATCATCGAGGGATTGCGGTTTTCCACCTCTACCATTCGAATCAGGGGTATCAGGTAATGGTTTGCTTCCCTTTCTAGCTGGTGTTGATGGTGCACTCATGCGTAAACCTTGTGAATTTCTCTTTTGACGCTCTTTTCGTAACCGGTGCTCTTCTTGTAGGTTGACCAAATAATTCATAGCACTTTTGGGTAATCCTTTCTCTCCAACTTCTGCTCGATAATGTTTTACCGAATGTATTAATTGCTGGGGTGTAAGTCGCGTGAGTTGCTGTAATGTTCCAACTAAAGCTTCTAAATCGTCTTGTCCCAAAGATGAGAAGCATTGTAACCACTGTAATAGTTGAACTAAAGGTGCAAGATGTCGTCGGGTTGCCTCTATAGTCATTTCTCCACTAGAAGTCATAGAACCATGCTCATAATGCTCAGGTTGTCGATTGTTCGTTCGTGCCCATTCTTCAAGGCTAGAAATATTCATACGTATTTGCATTGCTTTGGTTCTTGCTAGATACTTTCGATTAGACATGATACGATTGAAAAGTTCGGCACCAAGCCAGTAGAGAAGCTGTGCCAAAATTTGAGAAGTAATGACAGAATGTATGTCATAAAGATCCAACACAAAGAGAGTAGAGGATAATAATGACGTAACATTGCGGGGTGATGGTTTAGCTCTAGCCTTTGGCGAAGGTGGTCGAAACCGTTTTTCAATGGGAACTTCTTTAACAGTCGTTTTTCTTTTAAAGAGCTTCCATTCGTTTTGAAATGTGACATCTTCAAATCCTGGAATAGTTTCATGTTCTAACATTGCCGAATCAAGAACTTTGTCCATTCTCCTTTCAGCATCCCGGATAATCAAGATAAAAATTTCATTAATCAACTCCGCAAGTTGAAGCTGAAACTCTGTTGTTGATTCGGATAATCCAGCATCCTTTTTCAAATAGTGTAATAACAATGTAGCATTCGAAATCCAGAAAGCTAATATTGTCATGTCCCATTGATGTGTTTCAACCACATCATTAATCTTATCCATCGCGCTGATGAGAAGCTTGGCCAGAAGATCATGACTTGCATGATAATGAGCATATCTCGCACTGAGAAATATCATGTTCGCTGGTACGGGTTTCTGAGATGGTGATCGTTGGGGGGACATATTGGTGATAATGATGTCCAGAATTCGACCAAGTTCACTTTCCTGAAACACAAACATTTGATCATGTAAACACCGGGTCCAGTCGAAATCTTGACCTTCTTCTTCCAACTCCTCTGGTGATTCAGGTTGATCATCGATACCCATATTACCCAAGTCAACCTCTAGATCTCTGGCACTCTCCATCATCATTCGGCGCCTCATCTCATTTTCTGCCATTTCCTCCTCAAATCGATCCTGGGAGAATCCAGGATTGTAAAAGTCATCGGTAACTCCAGCATTTCCAATATGATACCCACCATCCTGGAGATAATCGGCAATTTCGCTATCTGGAGCAATAAAGTCAAATGCCGTTCGTCCCGTTGATGATTTAACGTCCCTGGACGCTCCTCTATCTAGAAGTGCCTTCGCTATTCCCTTGTGCCGATTTGTCATTGCCCACATCAAGGCGCTCCATTGATTTCTATCTTGTTTGTCGACATCGGCACCGGCATCTAGGAGTGCCGTTACCACAGCTTCGTGACCCTGCGCAATCATTAATAAGTGCATGATACATGTTGCCTTTAGCCAGGACTCACAAAACAACTTGCGTATATTATCGGCGCCGTGCCTTCTTCATCCGGCGCATCCAGATCTACAAGGTCTTTTGCTTTACCATGAAGGATCCTCTCTATGCGACCAACATCTCCGTTACTAGCTGCCATATTTAGAGCCTTCTGTAGTATATCCTTTTTCTCTTCAAGTGAAAGCTTCTCATCCATCGCCACAGCATCTTCATCCTCACTAGCCGAACCATCTCGATGTGCTGCTTGAGCGGCCAACATTTCCATAAGTCTATTATCGCTATCCCCTATCTTTTGCTTTGTAATATCGTCGCCGAATTCGTCATGATCGAGTGAGAGATTTTTGAATTCAAGTGGTTTAGCCAGGACCGGAGTTGTTAGAAACTGCGATTGTCCTAAATATGTTAGTTGGTAGATTTTCCTCCCCTTGTATTGAATTGTCATACCTTGCCATGCATCATACATCTCAGTCTCAGGTGCATACTCTGCAGATACATGTTTCCGATCGTCAAGCGACTTAGGTAAATCATCAGGTAGTGGCCTTGGTTTTCCCCATTCCTCCCCAAATCCACCAATATCTTCATTATTGTCCCCGATGTCCATGACAACAGCAGGAAGACCACATGCAACCAGCAAACATCTGTTGAGAACTTATTGAATTGAGTCCCTTTCCGCAAATTGTAGTATTTAAAGGAGTGTATCAAGTTTTCGAAACTCTTGTTGGTCCCACAGGGAAGCTGTTGTGTTGACTTGGACTCTCTTTACATTTATGATGTAGGTGCCGGGGCTTGCTGCTGCATTAGAAGTCATCTTGGGAAATTGTCCGAGCGTTTACAAGGTTTCACTAAGGTATGGAAGGGAGGGCAGTGGGCAGTTAAGTTAGTCTTCAGCCTTACCATTGTTTCCTATAAATGAGAATTAGATGTGGGAATTGTTTTATGACTTGAAATATATCTAATATGGATAAACCTATTAATGAGCCGTCAGGGCAGTGGCAAGGAGTAATATCATGTTATAGTTTTCATTTACTTCTTCCATGCTCAAAGCTTTGTTTCAACTGTTGTTTCTTCCAATTTTCACCAGGGGCTAAAACTCCTGTGGTATTGTGAGTATTGTGAGTATTTTCTCCCTATCTCATCTAAACACTTCTCTTTCCGAACACCCTAATTCTTTTGACTCCTCCATCTGGAATCATAATTAACTTAACATGCGTAAATGTTTTATCCTTTACCAAGGAATCAAATTCATGCTCCTTGTCAGCACTAGTCTTACTGGGCTCAATAACCGCAGTCCATCCTTCAGCTGAGTTACTAGGCTCCCCTTCACCATTCCAACTTATAGCCTCAACCTTCACTTTTTGTGGAAAGTTGCCCCTAAAGAATGCTGTATCAACAATCAGATTTTCAATAGTGCCTGGTGCACCCAATCGGATGATAGCCCAATCCACATGATCTTTTCCTCTAGATCTTGATGTTTCCCAACCATCTCCCATATCTTTGCCACGGCCGGGTAATATGAGGTTGGCGATGACTCCAAAGTGCTGATCACTACAAGAGATAGCAACTGCTCCATTTTGAGCGGCAGCTAAATCGAAAATGGCACTTTTGTCTTCTGGGAAAACTGGTATGGCGTGACCAAAGAGTCTGAATCGAGCAATTCCACCATCTGGATACATATTGAGTCTGACGTGGGTAAAGGCTTTTGTGGTTGGAACGGTAAGCTTCCACCCAAATCTCTTGGAAGGACCACACTCTTGAAGACCAAGAATTGTCTCCCATTTTCCTCGACCACCTTTCCATCCAATCACTTCTTCATCGTTGTCACTAAATACACCTTCAACAGAGATGGCAGGTGCATGATTTCCAGAGAAGAAAGCTGTGTCAACTTCAATTCCCTCGACTGTTCCTGAAGCAACTCCAAGGCGAATCACGACATAATCGAAAGGCTCAGTATTATGTCGACGAGTTTCCCACCCATCATACCATGCACCGGTATATACCATCTTTCCTGGTTGTCTGATGGGTGGGGTAGGAGTAAGAAGATTATTTGCTTCCGCAAACCATTCATCTGAGAATGAAAGAACTTTTCCACCAAGCGTACCAGATACCAGATCTAGGATGAATGATTAGTCAAAGAACTAACGTGGAGCTTGTTATTGAAACTTTCGAAAATTTGAACCATTTGATATCGCACCTGACAGCACAACTTCACCCCGCTTGAGGTGTTCTATATCAGCTTGTAGCATACATGTTATCTATTGAAAGAGTAGACAGCTTTTCTCCCATGCTCTTACTTGTAAGCAAGACAGTTTTTAAAAATCATCAAGCCATTCTTGTCTCAAGAAATGTAACACCAACATAAATTATGACTTACCAATACAGGATGAACGAAAAGTGGTATCAATCTCATCGGATGGGACAGATGTTACAGCAACATCTTCAGTCTTGTATTCAGTTTCGAAAGCCATCTTGCGTTATTCCAGGAAACGGTTGAGAAACAAAAACGTTAAAAGCCAACTTTACTTTGAGAAGAGATTTCAGAACTGAAGGGGGAAAAATAGACAAAAGAGAGTTTTTATGATATTGAAGTTTATAATTTCCATCGAGTAATGAGTTATAATGTTAATGCTGTTTCCATAGACACTATCGGTGTCCTCCGATAAGTTCTCCGATAAGCCCCGCTATCGAGGAAAGACATTTGACCATCATCGTCTTTCCTCTGATGATATCTACGACTTATTTTGAACTTTGGAGATATTTTGTACATGTAAAAGCGGTTATGTCTATATAGAGTATGAGTGTTTTTGTTTGAACGACATTTAAAAGCGACCCGCGAGAGCTCGCTATCTGTGCATTCATTCATCTTCAGTTCCCCGGTTTCTGGCATGTATCTTTCTGTTCATCCGTCTTCTTCTTTGTATCAACATCAACATCAATGTTAATATGAATATCAGTTCACTTATCCACAATGGAATACAACAGCTTTGCATTCATTCGTTTTCCGCCCAGAAAGGCCCCCAAACCTACACAGCAGTGTCCTCATCCTACCTGGCACTCCTCATCAACCCATTGCGAAACCAATCCCACTATCACGAAATATGCCACTAATACTTACAATGACCAAAACAGCCAAACCCGTTCTCCGCACAAAAAGTGATTACGGAAGCAAGCTTAATGATTGGCTAACCTAGACACTCATTCCCCGCAATCCTAGATCGATAAATCATTGACGCCATCTTATGATTTGTAAAACCGTAATAGTCCGAATCTACGATCGTTGGATTGTTCTAATGCTTGTTGTGAATCTCGTGCGTAGGATATCTTATCGGAGTATATATAGAGAGAGAGAGAGAGGGAGAAAGAGAGAGATGGGTATCTAGTATGTAAGACAAACATCTCAATCTTACGAAAAGCCATCTGTCGACCCAGCTACATACCCAAGGTAACTGTATCGAATAATCAATCAATCATACAATACATATTTGATAATCCCATCCTCGTCTTCATCTCATCTCATCTCCATCCTCGTCTTCATCTCATCCCATCCTTCATCCTCACTCCAAATATCAGCCATCAACCACCCCAAAACCCAGCATCAACCAAACAAACAATCCCACAACCCTCATAAATAAATCCCCATCCATGGCATCCGTAACAGGAATCCCCGAAAACCCACGAGTAGCCACCGGAGAGCTCCAAAATCCCCACGAAGCAGGTTATGGAGAAGAAGAGCCCTTGCTCGGACGAGCAGGCGATGCATCACAGCAAGAAGGACGACCATTAATTTGGAACCTCGCACTTGGTATTTTACTCTTCACCTTCTCATCTATATCCCAATGCCAATCCCAATCCCAATCCCAAGCAAAACCCATCAAAAACTAACCCTCCCTTCCAAAAACCCAGGAACCGCAATAATAACACAAACCGGCCTTCTCCTCCTCATCGCCCACGTCTGGGCTAGTATATTCCTCTCCCCGACTGGTTTAATCCTCTTTTCCGCACATCCACTTCTCAATTCCGGCGGACTCCTCTTCCTCACGCAAGGAATCCTCATTCTTCAACCTACGCATACGGCGGCCCAGAAACGGCAGGGTACACTCACTCATGCCGGGTTCAACTCTGTAGCATTAAGCTTGCTAGTTGCCGGACTTGTTGTCATTGAAGTAAATAAATTCGCGCATAGAGGAATTCATTTTGAATCTGCGCATGCTATTCGTATGTACTCTATTCAATTGATACCCTTCACCTAGCCTAACCTTAACCTTAACCCCAACCCCGTCAACCTCATCAAAACCCATCAACCCCCAACTAACCTCCTTCCCCCCTCCCCCCTCTTAGTCGGCCTAACAACCTACATCCTCCTCCTCCTGCAATCCCTAATCGGCACAACCCAATACTTCACCCCCACCCTCTACGGCACCCCATCCCCCCAAAACGCCAAAAAAATCTACAAATACCATCGAGCAAGCGGCTATCTAATTCTTCTCCTCATGCTCGCTACTATCGCCGCTGCTACATGGACGCCTTTTAATGAGAACGCGTTGCATATTAAGAGTTGGGCTGTGATTTCCTGTGCGGTATTGATGCTTGTGGGGATTGTGCCGAGGATTAAGAAGCAGAAGTTGGGGTTGGGAGGGGGGAGTGAGGAATTGAGGTATTGAGGGGAAAATCCCTTGTGAGGTTTGGCTTGATTGAGTTTGAGTTTGATTTGAGAGAGAGAGAAATACTCCGTTAGTATGGTATGCGACCTTTGTCGGCTACGTAATATGTAGCATGTGTGTAGTTATCGACGCAATACCTTTTACCATTTGAAAATTGGGGGAATATGGGTATTTGCTTCTTTGCTTCTGCTTCTTTGCTTCTTTTCTTCTTTAGCTCTTTAGCTCTTTAGCTCTTTAGCTCTTTAGCTCTTCAAAGGGGCCGGCGTTGTACCTTATGATATGATATGATTCCTTAATTAATACACGAATTACACGAATACACACACGAATGCATACGAATAAATTTCACAGGTACTTAACAAGAGACAATAGAATCACCAATTACAGTATGTAGGAAGAATAACAATGAATAGTTCACATCTATCTATCTAATACTCAGGAAAGATTATCTACTTAGTATATCTATCCAAGAAAAATCTAGCTATTTTCAAAATCAAAATCAAAATCAAAACAAATAATTTACATGTAAATTTAAAATTCAATTGCAAAAAGTTTCATTTTCGTACACTATATATATATTTGAGTACTTTCAATTACGTTATAACATATAATATTAACCAACACCCTTTCTCTTCGGTTTCTCCTTCCGCGTGTATAATACCATATACATGTACACGCCTCCATTACCAAGACCAACCTCAATTCATCGCATTAAAACCTATTCTCGTATTCATATCCGTCCCCATATCCATATCCATATGTATGCGTATACGTATCCTTCCTAACCATATCAATATACAATCTCTTATCAAATTCCCATGCATCCATGGAAGTCCTTTCCCAATAGCCTTAATCATACCATCTAACAACCTCCATTGCAATCCCATCCCATCAAGATTCCTACCGTGCCAGGTCAAATCCATACCACATCCTCATTTCCATCTCCACCATCCAAACACCCAGACCCTACCACAACTCACAAACCGGTTCCTTCTCCTTACAACTAAATGCCTTCTTAAATTCCCTACTGTTCGCCATCGTCCCCAATACTCTCGCCCATTTCGGCGCATGTGGATCCGTGTACAGTCGACTTATTGCAGTTTCCTTAGTACTCTTTCCACACCACCAGTTAGCATAACTAACAAAGAACAATTGATCTTGTGAGAAATGCTCCGATAATCCTGGTAAATTTTGATTCTTATCATTACTTTCTCCTTGACGTCTTTTCCAAGCAGCATACGAGGCAGATAATCCTCCTGCATCAGCAATGTTTTCACCTAGGGTGAGTTTACCATTGACGTAAAGGGGTTTGTCGTCTGGACCAGGAATGCTGTAGTTACCATATTGGTCAATGAAGCATTGGGCGCGTTCTTTAAATGCGGCAACTGTAGTTGGTGTCCACCAGTCTGTGTAGTTTCCATTTTGGTCATAATGACGACCTGTAGAATCAAATGCGTGTGATAATTCGTGTCCGGAAACAGCTCCGAAAGCACCGTAGCTAAGATATTGAGGAACTGCTACGTCGAAAACTGGGAATTGCATGATACCAGCCGGGAAGACAATCTCATTACCTGGCGGATTGTAGTAGGCGTTAACCGTTGGTACCGTCATACCCCATTCTTCTCTATCGACTGGTCTTCCCAAGCTTGACCATCCACGGGCAATTTCAAATCGCCTCATGTCCAGGGAATTTTTGAAGTAAGTTGATTCCGATACCTTGACCGAGTCATAGTAGTTATGAAGAGATTGCGGATCCATGATGTCTGGGCTCTATCTCGACAATTAGTACATGCAGTTCACAATATCAGACATCGACATACCTTTGAGGGATATCCAATTTTCTGAACAATTTTGTGCACTTTTTCAATACCTAAATCAACGACACTTGAATCCATCCAAGTAGTTGCCTTGAGCTTTTCAATGAACATATCTTTAATATCAGAGACAATTTGGTCTCCAAAGTCCTTGGCCTCAGCAGAAAAGGCCTTTTCAACGAAGAATCGACTCAAAATCCAGCCGAGTCCATCGTCAACATGCGAAACGCAAGTGCGCCATCGTTCAGGTTCCGAATTTGGATCTTTCCCTTGAAGCTCATTGATGAATTGACGGTATGGTTTTAACTCATCTGCTTCGATCTCGGAATAGAACGTCTGTATAAGCTTCCAAATGAAGTATGTCTGTAATACCTCTTTCGGAGTAGTGTTCAGTATGCCAGATAACGCATGCATGTACTGTGGTGATGCAACAATTAAGCGATCGAGTCGAACATCTGCGGGAACCAAGCTATGGATTATGTCTGAAAGATGAATTTCTGGGGTCAGCTTATCAGCCTCTTCAAGTGACATTGGATTGTAGTATTTCGTGACGTCGTTTCTGTCCTCGTTATTTGGAGAGGCAGCTGCTAACTTCTTCTCCAGGGCAACTACACCACCTGCAAGGTTCGTTGCTTTCTCTTGTATACCAGTACTGTCAGATGAATGTTTGGTAGAGGTTTGATGCTCTGGCAAAAACTTGGGAATGACCTTTGCAATCGTTTGGGTATAGTCCTTCACTACCTTTTCATCATCATAATATTCCTTGGATGGGAGACCAATTTTGTATGGTGGTGAAACCTGGATGACGACGGTGTCAGGATCCTTGTCATCCGGTCCTGTGCCAGATGATATAAATGCCGAAGACCCCAATTTCGCCATGTATTCTATAGTATCCGCAAGGCTACCATAATCCTCCGACTTGAGGAGCATGTGTTTAGAATTTTCCGCCGAAAAGATATCCGTCACTTGTTGAGTTATGTCTTGCAAGGGGGTGATGCCGACACTCTTGATTTCCGTTTCGTTCATGCATGCATCATAGCCTGCTTTAAGCTTGTCAAAATTCTCTTCGTCCAGGGAAGCGGGAGATGTTGATAACATGGCCGGAGAGAAGCTCGAGTGCTATCATATATTAGCTATATCGTATTACCGGAGATTGAGTGTTGCTAACCCTAGATTCTTTGGGATATTCTCCCTCCAAAATATGCCTCAATAAAGTTTGTGAATTTTCACTCATGATCGTTCCTGTGAAGGCATCCCCTTGATCAGGCCTCAAATCATGGTGATCTCTCCACCCTCCGCAGACCAATTCCTCGAAATTCGAGCACGCGTCAAGCTCCTTATATTTGGGAGATAAGTTGTATAAAATCTCGGAAGCAGCATGAACGCATGCTGGAGAATCGCATGTACTTTGTTGGAGAACTCGCTTCTGAGGTATGAAAACTATGGTTTGATTTCAAAGTTAGTGATCCGCAACTTATCCTAGAATATCTCTACAATGAGATAGAATTTGTGGACATCTTTTAACGTTGGAGTTGGATTAGGACAATTAGACGGTGAAGTGAGGAATATCAAAAAATTCATACCGGTAAAGAATAGACAAGCAGTAACGATCATAATTGTTGCCAACAAGACGCCCAGAACCCTAAAGGTATTTTGAGCAAACCATCTCCATTTCGCGTTTTGACTTTTGATTTTCCAAGAGCGAGAAGTTGAATAAGAGTCTTCTGAGCTATTGGCTTCTTTTCGAAGAAGTGGTGCTTCCTCTGAACCATCATCTACATGTCTCGAAGACGATGTGCACATATTTAGCACTTGTTCTACTACACTCGGCTGCCGTTGCTCCTGCAGCTTCTTGGTAGAGGCACCCATATCGTATAGACGCGTCGACACCGCGGTCAAAAAACCAGCTAGAGGAATGACAAAATTCGCAAAAGTATTCTCGGCTTTGGTTGTTGCCCGTATCCTAGTAAGAAGAGTTGGTCGAGGAGGAAGGGGAGTTCGTGGATGGAGAAGATGAGGCAAACGAGATCTTGACTTTAATCTATTACTTGATCTTCTAGTAATCCTCTTCTTCTGCCTGCACGCCAGATTGTATGAGATTGTTTAAATGAATACAGAGGCAAAAGAGAAAAGGAAATCAAAATTGTCCAAAAAGAAGGTCAGAAGGTTGAAGGTTGAAGGTTGAAGGTTGAAGGTTGAATGTTGAATGTTGAATGATCGAGGAATGTTCACGATAAGAAATGGCTGGGGAAGGGGGATGCAAGACACAAGAAAGCGGGGAGAGCTCCTTTCCCTATTGGGACGTTTGAGCAGCCATATTAGGAAAGGGAAGACACGGGGATAGGATCCGAGCAAACCTTGGCGAAACATCTCTTTTCTTCTTCGTGTGCTCCAATAATGTTCACAGTGCACACAGATTGGAAGTGTACAGAGTTACAGAGTTACAAGGGTAAAGATTCAAACATCACGATGTTAAAAGATCCCCTTGAGTAAAATTCAATAATGGAATTGATTTATTCATTCTTAGCTTTAGCCGTATTGTGTCGTGACCGATCATTCGGAAAGCCGACTATCCCAGAAAAGATACATACCACATACCACATACCACATACCACATACCACATACCGCATACATACCATGACCGATGGATACTTCCTAGTACCTAGTAATTACTGGTATCGAGGAGATACTTAGAGTTCGAACTTAGAGGTGATGTTTGTCATGATATTAACTTTCAATCCCGGATACTTGTATTCGCTGTGCTGTCGGCAATCTCTTTATCAACTTTTCACCGTGGGATCGATCTCCAAGGAAATCGATCGTATTGTCATCGCCGAGACACCAAGTCTTCTCCTCCGTATGCTTACTCGAGTGATGCTGTTCGGTAGGCGGCTAAAGCGTTCTGAAAGACATCCAGCTGCACGGCATTCGGTCGGGAATCACTCTCATATAAGTATAAGGATACTTAGCGCAGTATTGTATGGTCTTCATTTATACTCGTACGAGTATTCGTACCCCTCCGAGGAAAGTCCCTGATGTCGATCATCTTGTGGATGGTGAAGTTGGTGACAGTCTCATCTTTCTTTCTTTGAAATCAAATTCACATAAACTTTTACAAGTCCATCGAGAGCCCCTGAATGCCGAACTTGGAAAATGGTCTAAATCCATTTCTACGGAGTATTTGCTGAATGTGCAGCCGGGCTAACCCTTCCCTTTTCTTTCGGCCGGCAGGTCGTGGACGTGATTTCTCTCTTCCTTGTTCGATGAGATGCACGTACGGAGTAAAACACAAAATCTCCCAGCGCAATAATGCATACTGGGTAGGTATGTACACATTGTAACCTTTACCTCTCACCGGTCAACGCATCAATCAATTATGATTATGCCGAGTCTACAACCGTATGAAACGGAGGATTCCATAATTTTTCCATATTCATATTTTCTATCGGTACTGCTGATGCCTGATCCATTTATGCACGGGGTAACAGATTAATTTCGCTGGTGGCCGGTTGCTGTTTTGTACTCTCCTCCGTATAACTTCATGAAGAAAATCCTCCCACTCTTTTCAGGGGGTTGCACACGACTCACGAGAATAAATCCAATTGGTTGTTGTGTGCACAAGTTTACATAAGACATATGAAGTCATCATGCAGCCACTTTCGTCACTGTTCCTATCCAGGGTCCTTTTAATTACATATATTATTGGCGCAAATTGGAAAGAATGGCTCGCGGATTTTACCCTCTTTCTCCAAACTTTTTTTTTTCTTCGCTTGCTCTGCAGCTTTTGCGACCTTGCCAACAGCCATCAGCGTCCGACCACGATCTGGTATATCTCCGCGCTGCCGCCACGATCCCATCGCTTTTGTATAGAGTCATCCCGTAGTGGATGTCTCCATGGTGTAGTAGTACGGAGTACAGAGTGCCGTCATTTTCATGATTACTCATCAAAACTGTTCGCAACTTGTCTGTCAAAAGAGGCATGTCTCCATAATAGAAGAGAGATGCCCTACGATCCTTATCATACAATAACGGCTGAGCTACATACATCCCTAGTACATGAAACTACATGAGCATTCAGGATCCGTTCAACGGCCCTACGAGGCTCTTTCAAGGTAGAAAGAAGTTTGTAGGAATAATTAACTGTGTGAGAAACATGCCATGTGGAATTTGAACGATCCACAAAATCTAACCCGCTTGCTATCATCACATCAAATGGATGAATCGATCTCATCTCCATCCATCCATCCATCCATCCATCCATCCATCCATCCAGGATCCATCCCTCTTCTTTTTCGTACCCGGAATTCCGCCTTCGGTCTCACTGGCACGCTACACGGCGATCATATGTAGAGTTATTCATGCTGCCATCACTACGCAGGCTTGGCACATATATGTCTGTTTTTCCGATACTTTCTATGGGTGTGCAACTGCAATTCGACACCAAGAAACAAAGGAGGTTGGGGAGTAAAGTAATGAATGTGCTGGTGTTCAAAATATGAGTAAGATGAGCTTTGTGAGGTAGTGATTGTAACCATAGAAATAAATAAAAGGGAGATGTGAAATGTTGACAGAACCGCAACTACATTCACATATGGATGGTATGGTATGGTATTATGTGTATAAAAGAGAGACTGGTAATACGTTGAATCAAAGTTCGAAATCAGTCCTCAATGTTCAAGCAACGTGAAGCCCTTCTGAATGATTCAATCTTGGGATCTTCGCAAAAGTTATTATAGAGACCCGACCTGTATGCAATTTCTATCTACCTACCTAGTATGTAGGTGTACTAACAACATACCGAGTATTGCTTCCCATCTCTAATCTTTGCAAAAGCTAAATCAGTCTAAATCCGTCGTCAATCTCCAGAATCCAACGTTTTTTCGGGAGGGTAAAACATCTAGAAGCAATTCTTAAAGCTAGCTTGTATCCACTATTGCCGTCTCATGTTTCCTTTTCTCGTCTTTTGTTTCTTCTTTAATATTTCTAATAGTCTCGTGTGCAAGGATTTTGTGGATTTCCTGCATCCGTTGTAACTTGTAAGGAAAAAAAAACCCTCCAACCATAAAAAGGAAGGAAAGAGTTTGTTCCACTCTTGTCACTTTAGTTACTTCTGTCATGTTCAAAATGTTCTCTAGTTCATCCCAAAATCTTAGATCTTTTTTGGATGTTCATTCATTACTTAATATACCTAGTATAGTATACATACAATACAATCAATTCGGTACAATTTTGTACATCTTGTCATAACGAACCTATGTAGCTAGGATCTACTTCAAATCGACGATAGGGATCTTGAATTAATTTATTTATACTAGTAGTTCATATTTTACTATATATTATTATTATTACTATTATTATACTAGATTGTGCTAATGTTATCCCATCTACTTATACCTACAATCCATTCACGCAACCTTGTTTAACAAGCTGTGAAAAACATACTTGATCCAGCATTATACTGCGTGGTACGGAGGATCCATTCATTACATGCACCTTGAGGAAAAGAGACCATCTGTGCCTTTAAATCTTTTTTGGTACCTACCTAACTAATTATCTGACTATCCAACTGCCTGCCATACATACCTTACCTTACCTTACCCTACCTATACCTTGGCTTGAGAACATTCGAAAATGATTTGATGTGATCGGACTACTCGTTTCTTTATCTACATATAACCTTACCTGATGTTTGATTTATTTTTTTACTTTTTGAAGAAATTCATATATTGATCAGAATCGAGAGAAGACAGCAACAGAGAACAGAGAACAGAGAACAGAGAACAGAGAACAGAGAACAGAGAACGCAAGAGAAAAAAGAAAAGAAAAAAAAGGAAGGAAAAAAGAGAAACGAGAGATCCAAACCAATAGCGGATAAACTTCCAGTTACCATTTCTGACATTTTCTGACATTTCTAACATTTCTAACATTTCTGACATTTCTGACATTTTTATTATTATTATTATTATTATTATCATTATTCGTCGTCTATTTTTGTCTGCCGGATTGCCTTAAATTCTGCCCTCTACGTCATTTCCCGAGTAAAGTCTTTCACTTCTCACTACATGCTAGCTACTAATTAAAACAAATCAAACTCAAAATCAACATTAAACCACCAAAATCTCCACGAATGAAGAATCTGGCTGCGGCGGTTTCACTAGCGATCGCAATAATTTTTTGTCTGGGGTCGAAATAGCGCCAGAGGTTTGCAGGAGGGTCGACAAGGGAGGACGGCATGCCACCTTCGGATTCTCCTCTTGACAAACCATCCTCATCAACTTCGAAGAAAAGCCGTGGATTGCGACAATCCGGTGGCAGCGACAAACTTGACAACTCATCCACACATTTAGCTTCCTCATCATCGAGTAATCATGGATTGAAAGAAAGGCCACCATCAATCTCAAAGGCGAAGGACTCAATGCCAGGTTTCCCTACCGGTGCAAAAGCACCGTCAATATCCAGCGATGTGGAAATGGCCAGTGATAACGGGCTTCAGGATGTGGGTCCCTTCCGTCTTCAAAATTCCAAGGACGAGAATGCAGAAGAGTCAAGGAGTTCTGCGCCGGGTCGGAAACAAGGCGTGCCGCCAGGAAGGATACCATTGTACGACCAGGCCGAGGAGGTGGAGCGGCTTCGAGCCATGAATGCGCAATTGCAATTGAATCAGCATCGAGAGAGGTTGGCAAAGCAATTAGAGGATAGAGAAGGACTTCAAGGAAACCTGACACTTACCGGTACTGGTGGTAAGGCTCGAGTATCCCCCATCCATGAAGAGGCCATGTCCCCATCACTAGAGGCGGCATTTTCCAGTCCATTTCCCGCTAGTATGGAGACAGCGTCGACTGAGTCCGCTAGGACTATACGAGGAGGGGAAACACCAGCTGCAGTACATGCAAGGACTCCTTCGTACCCTTTCCCACCGATGCGGACTCCGAGACAGCTCAGCTATAATGGCCACCGACCCTTCACTGCCCTTTCACCCACCGTAAACCCATCAAATTTTGCTGGCGGCTCGTTTTATGATGGACCACACGACCAGGTTTTATCAGGACCAATTACACCAGCTTCAGGTCTCAACTTCCAGCCAACGGGTTCACAGATGTCTGGGGATAGTTCAAGATTTGAAACACCCAACCTATATGATCTTAGTCTCATGCTTTCGGCCGAACCTGGTCTTGATCCATGGTGGACCACAGTGGTAAAAATTATGAGAGATGTTTACAAGGCTGATAGAGTAACTTTATCAGTACCTGCAGATTCTACTGACATCGAAAAT